GGAAGGGCCCGAGCCCCATGCCCCCCGCCCCCCCCCCCCCCCCCCCCCCCCTCTCCCTAGCTACGTGCCTGTCCCCATGACAGCCTGTAGGTAGGATTCCTTCCTACATTCCGTTCATTCCTTGCGCGTGTGCAGTACCACTTGCGGCTACACGATTGTTTCCAAACGGCGAGTTTATGTTTACGTGTACACGCTGATAGTTGAACGACCCTTCTGGGGCATAGTAGGCGAGTTTTCCCAGCTCTCTCGCGGAGTCTTCCTTCGTGAACCGTGTCCAATGAGGCGTAGCCGCCCTGCTGTCCACCCATTGGCGACTGGGGAACTCGGAGGTTTCGGCAAGCCACCCGAAACTCGACAAATGCGAACAGCTGGCAGGTCTCTCCCCGACGCGACCAACTCCGCCATCTCTGACCGTCCGTCCCTCCGGAGTCGTCTTCGTAGATTGCGGAGAGCAAGTTGGTTCGGGGCCCGGAGGCGTCGGAGCGTTCCTCCGCAGAAAGGGGACGCCTACGCGAGATACACCGCGCATTCTTTTTCTTTTTTTTTTGCTTCGAGTTCGACAAGAGGGTCCCCTTTACACGCGCTTGGGACAAGAATCTCGGCTGCCGAAGATTGCGTGCCAGCCATCTGCGCGACGCACCGCCGGCGCTGCGGGCTTCCCTTCCAAAAAAGGCAACCCGGTCTTCTTTCCTTTTTTGGAAGCGGTTTCGGGGCGTTGTTTCTGGGCGCGATTAAAACAAAAAGGAGCCTCTTTTCCGCCGCCGAACCCGTATATATCGAGGCGGCCCTCGAGTGCCGTACTTGCTGTCTTCTGCGTCCCAGCTGGGGGCCCGCCAGGTCATCTTCCGGTGGTCCGCAGCGGACGTTACGAGCCGTCCCACCCAGTCCAGCGCTGTGAACGGGTCACGTGACTACGCTCCCCACGCGTCACAGCACCCCTACCGATGGTCACGTGACATTCACGAGGCATTCCCTTGGCTCCTAGGGTCCGTGGCAGTCCATCGAAGGGAAAACGGATCATAATTCCTTTTTTTTTTTTTCCTGCGTGGATGCATACCCCGCTTTCTTCTTATACTTTTATATCTCGACTTCTCACTCTCCGCACGTCGCCTGAGAAGGTATCTCCTTTTTGGTTGTTGTTGCCGCGTTGCTGTTTGCTTGGCCTCCTCGAGAAGTGCTCTTGCTTTACGCGGAGGCCGCCGGTCTGTGTGGGCGGCCGCTCTGGAGGAGCTTGCAGTTGGCCGCAACGGTTGGACGCTTCACTCGCCGACCGAGAGTGAAGTGGGCTCGGCTGGGACCTGTCTACCATGCGCCTCCGAGCGGACCGGCGGGCGGCGCTCTGTCTCTTCTGCTGCGGCGGCTGGTTTACGGGCTGTCTCGGGGAAGACGTGATGCCCATGCCCGAGAGCACTGGGAGACGATGATGAGCAGCCCTGGAAATTTTTGCATTCTTTTTGTATTATTCAGATTAAGCGGTCGACGCTCAGATGCCCGCTTTGTTGCGCCGGCTGGAAGGGAGCCGCTTTCTCGTTCATCACCCTGCCTGCTCTTGGTTTGGTTCATCTGCGGCGCTGTTCCGTCGAAACCGTTGAAACGTATGGGAGAACGAAGGTATTTGGGAAAGGAGCACCTGGTGCCACGGTGATTCGTAGAGCACGTCCAAGGCACCCATAGGGCAGTGCCGTGCCACTTCTCAAACAACACATGAAATGGGTTCGCAGGTGCGCGCTGAATGTATCGCCCTGTTCCACCGCCTGGGTTCCCATTACCTTACACGCTTGGTGCTCACTCAGATCGAACCTAGGACTGGTCCTCGAGTTGGGGAGCGCGAGCTTTCGCCTTGTGCTTCGAGCGGCGGCGTGGCGGTCTATGGGTGGAATCTTCACTAATTGACTGCATTTGCTCGGTGAGAGCCCTGTAGGACGACAAGCGTCAAGTGCCGGGCACTCTAGACGCTGCTGTTTTTGTTCACGTAGGCGCCCCTTTTTCAGTTCTGTCGTACACCTGACGATCTTTTCTGTGTGGCGTGAGCGCGTCCTTGGACCTGGAGCGGCCGGAGCGCTCTCGTACGAATGGGTGGTCGCCGTCCAACGGATGAACGGGCGACGCTTCCGACTTATCGGGATCGAGATTACAGCTGTTCGGCCGAGGTCGCCTGGAAACCCGACCGGTCCCCGCGGCCGCCCGGCGAACCGCGCCGTGCGTGGGCAACCCGGCCTCTCTGCCTTGCAGCGGCTTTCCGGTTTATGTATTTACTCGAGTATTTCCTCCGGACGCTTTGGGCAGCGCTGTACGCATCATTTTCCGTGTGTCGCCGCTCAGAACGCGCGTTGAACCGGTGTCGATTCCAGGGCAGTTTTGTTGATTTATTGATTGCGGAATATACTCGTATACGAGGTGAAACACCCGATCTAGCTTTCTTCTGCAGTCCCCTCAAGCAGTGGCGTAGTCAACTGGGAGGAATATATGAAACATCACCTCCTCCCGAAAAGAAATCCTGGCAACGCCCCCCACAAGCTTCGTTATCTCTGAATTTGTGAAATAGTCCGAAGTATGGGACCTCAACCTCGCATTCCATTCCTAGTTCAGACCACAGCTAGATCTCACCGGTAGGTGCGCTGAAGCATCAAGGACAGTTTCAGCTAACATTGTCCGCGATAGTACCTCGAGGGCCCAAGCACTTTAGCGGGAGGGAGGGAGGGAAAAGCAGATATCTGGAAAATTAGGCGCTAAAAGTGTAATCGATAAACATTGCGAATAAGATATATAACTGGCAAGCAATCAAACAGGTCGTGGATCGCCTCAAAAATGGTTAGTGATTGCACTTCGGATCAGGTTAGGGCCAGTGATGGCAGCAATCGAACCCGGAGAAGTTGGTTCCACTCCTGTGCTGCGCGAGGCAGGAAAGATGAGCTTTCCTAATTTTTGGTGCATACTTTGCTCCGACAAATTTGACGTCTATCAGTGTATATCCCGCAGAAGCCATATAATTGTTTTGCTTGAATTTCCTGACTTCCACCGTACCATTGTAGTTTCGTGAAGGACAATATCTTGTGCAGAACTAATTTGTGCTGTCTGCTCTCCAGGGTGTTCTTTTAAACCTACAGATTTGTTAAAAAAAAAAAAAAAGCCGTAAATCTAAATTAATGTGGTCTGTGCCCGAGTTATACGGCCAGGGGGACGTAACCAACTCACGAGAATAATCGTAAAAAAAAAAAAAAAAAAAAAAAAAAAAAAAACTTTACAAAGCTTTGGGGCGCATAGAAAGCAGGGTGCTGTTCTAGAGTTAGCACTTGTGCAACGGGCGCCACGCTGGCGGCCCGAAAACGCCTGTTCCACAAGGGGTACCTTTAGAGCACCACCGTGCTTCCCAAGCGCCCCAAAGCTTCGTAAAGCTTACTTAGGGAGTAGTTTTTGATGACGCTGAGCAAGTTTCCAATGGTCCTTCTCGTGCGTCCACCCTCTGCCCTGGCCTTGCTTCCGGCGGTCGCCATTTTCCGAGGGCGCAACCAACATTGTCCGCACCTACCCTTGCGCGTACAGCAGACTCGCGATAGTTCAAACTCGGATATTTCGTACTTCTGGTTAATTCAAACACATTTTCAAATTTTGCTTGTCACGTTATGCTTTTAAAGTATTCATAAGCCGCTTAATTCGAACGGCGTTTTCGTACTTTTTGCTCTCTCCGCCGCCTTGAATGCGCTTCTTTTCGAGCACCGGTGCACTGGAGAGGAGCAACACCCGCGGAGCTTGCTTCCGCGGGTGTTGCTTCTCCACAACGCACCGGTGCGGGCAGGGAAGCGCACTCAACGGGGCTAACGCGGGGCACCATGAGCTACGAAAACGGGCACCACGCGGACGCTCTGACGTGGAGGCATGGCATAAGTCCACGCCACAGCGTCCGCGCAAGTTGCCGTGAAAACTGCGGCGTGGTGCCCGTTTTCATCGCTCATGTGTCCCCCGCTTAATTGTCCACATTTAGACACCTTCTTGGTCCGACGAACAAACTTAAGTTTGTTTGGGTTGCTGCGTGCTGTCTAAACAGTCCGGCGATAAACAACATTTTTGAGGGACAAATAAACTTACGCCATACGTTTAGCGAATGTTTCTTGTGTGGTGTGCCTGCTTATGATCAGTAGGCCAATGTAGCGGAAATCATCAAATATCTGCTTCGTATGCAGATATTTCCCATTCGTATGGCAAATCTTAATTTTATTTTTCATCATATTTAGGTGAATTTTTGGTAATTCAAACTTCCAATAATTAAAACGAAATGCATTACTTTCTGGAGTTTGAATTAATGAGAGCCTACTATTTTGTTTCCTTTTACGATCCTTTTTTGAGTGGTAGTATCAGTATGGGGTACAAAAAGGAATGAAAACTGATACAAGAGCACAGTACCAAAGTGTTCTGACGGGCAGAGGTATGTTGGGTGCAGGGGCCAAGCCAGAAGTGTGCTTATCGGGATTAGGCCCCCCCCCCCCCCCCCCCTTTCTCCGCTCCCGAACAAAGAGATGGACACCCCAGATGCCTGAGCCTCCCACAACAAAAAAATTCCTGGCTATGCCAGTGGTTGCGTGGCCCTACATTTTGGAGTTTGCAGACAACTCCCCAGACGGTGCTCGTTACTGGAAAAGGGACCATTAAAACCATACATTAAGTTTACTAATTCGCAAATTAATTAATAAAGTTGAGTTAATTATACAATTTATCGTGATGATTAGCCATCTGTTATGTGTCCCCTAGCCATATAACTTACCTGTACAGGCAGCATTAGCGTAGCTTTTAAGGCTACGGTAATGCTGCCTGTGCAGCATTAGCGTAGCCTAAACAAATCTGGGAAGCCTAAGAAAACATCCTCTTTATGCCTTGGTGTAAACATTGCCACGGAGTTCCTATTCTAGTTGGGGATTTCTGCGTCACTATGACATCCCACAGCCATGCGTATAAATGAGGCAATCAAGGAGTGATATGTTTTTCGTTTTTGTCTTTACCTGCAGGGCTACCTCAAGCCAATATCTGAAGCCGCAGATGGCAAAATCAGTCAGGATGACCTGAGCAACTTGTTTGGGAACATCGAAGATATCTATTCATTCAATAGGTTGGTTTTATTTCTTTATCTCTTTATTTCTAGAAGTACCGGTCTTTCAGTCGTCCTCGTTCTTCCTCTGACAATCTGCTGGACTTCTCTCTTGCAGCACATTCCTGGAGCAGCTGGAAACCTGCGGGTCCAACCCGGTTTCCATTGCGGGATGCTTCGTGGCAAACAGCGACGGATTCTCGGTCTACTCAGAGTTTTGTACAAACTACCCACGGTCAGTAACTATGGCCAGTGTTCCTTCCTGTCAGAATCTGACCCAGTAATGCCAGTTTTGGAAAGGTGCTGCCTGACTCCCTTTAATTTTTTACTCACTCTGCTAACATGTTCATTTCATTTATTCGACCCTTAAAGGCCCAATGGGCATTACATAAAGGGGGGCAAGGAATATAAAATCGAAAATACAGAACACTGCACGAAGCAAAAACAACAAACAAAAAACATCAATTATACATTTGTACACGCTATAAAAATAGCAGGGAAAATCCGACTTCCCTGGGCAAACGCGCATTGTTGCAGATATCCTGCAAATATTCTTGTGCCACTGAACTAAACTAAAGCCCCTTGATGTGTCTGTTTTACAAGTAGCGTCAAACGCTCCAATGCTCGCATCTTGTGCGGCCCTTGGAAGCAAAGTGTGGTAAAGCACTTGCTGGTAGCACCTGTCTTGCACATTCTCAGAACAACGGTTGTCAGTTAGATGAAACGCAAAGCAATATTTTTATCTGAAGGCTCGGGATTAAAGCGTGGGACGAATTAATAACCAGTACTTCGCAGCTGCTCTGTGCAGGACCGCAGACCATATGTGTTGCCTGGATGTCTCTTAATCAGTCTAGGGTTATGTACTAAACGGCTTTATTTTTAGGTCATACTCTTTCATGAATCTAACCAGAAAATAAGGTTGTAGGGGAACTAGTTACAACTACTTTGAATGACAGTATTTTGCAATTGACACTTTGGGAATTTTCCAAAGTAAGATATTTTAATACAGTTTGTGAAAAAGTAAATTTGTGTTTCAATGTAAACTAAGTCCCGTGCATATATAGACAGTGTATTCACATGATAAATTTTTCGTGGTTGTTTTGTATTCACAAAATTCCTTGAAATTGATTTTGCATGACTTACAAATTGTTTGAGGTGTTATTCTAATTGTGTAAAAATTTGAAGGATTAAACCCGTCTTTAGAAGAAAATAAACAAAATAAAAATGGCCTTTTTCGATAAAGTGGGTTCAAAATATCAGTTAATTTCATTTTCAACGATATTTCAAATTTTATACCCAAAATTCAGTGAAAATAAAATAAACTAAACTTATGCCCGTCGATATTCCATGTATGGGGCTACACCCGCATAGTATTTGGTAAGCAACAAATATAATAACTCATGAGTTACAAGGCTCTGAAGATGTCACCGGATTGTCAAAGAGACAATGTCATTTTTTACCTCAATAAACAAAAATACAAAAGTTTTTTTCCTTTGAACTAAAAAATAGTTAAAATAACATACAAGATCCCAAAAGATTACTGTGAGTTTTGTATGCTTTCCGTATTCATACCAGCGATCAGAACTGGGTAGAAAAATCACGGAGTAAAAAACAGATTTTCACCCTGCTCCACTGAATTATTTTTTGTGAAGCAAAATATTTTTTAAAAAAATTTTGAAAAGCGTTTTCTTTCCAGAAATAAGGCAATTACATATATTAAAAAAAAAAAATGGAACGACCCACTTTGACAAGCGTGTTCGATTTCAAATGAAATCACCCTTCTTTATATGTTGGTGAGGTGTGCTGCACGGTGTATCACTCCTTTCTCATCCACAAGTGAAAATAGCTGAAAGCAATTTCAGTATATCAGAAGAAGTTTGAGGAAGACATCACGTACACTGCTCGGAAAGAACTTCTGACAGTTAAGACGCAAAAAGAAATTTTTAAAACGTCATCTTGAAACTTCAAGTGCATTTATCTCAGCTTCACTTTTAGCAGCAAATCCCACCTTAATAAAACTATTGTTTCAGTATGAAACTACCGAGAGACTTAATATTTACGGATTATATGCCGAAATTTTATCGAGTCGGTTACTATGTACTTAAATTTTGCATTTTCATGTTCCTTTATTATGAAAAATTGTAATTTGCAAAACTTGGCAAATGTGAAAAAAAAAAAATCTTTCATAAATTTTTTTTTATTTGAGAAATGCATATTTTCTGAAATTTCTTTTCATAATAACTGTCAACAAGTATTCCAGTATGCATTCCACAAGAAAAATATGTGCTGATCAACACCATTTCTCAACGATAAACCCATTGAGCAGATTCCGTACAAAGCTACGTTCTGGAGGTATAGTACCTCATAAAATTGGTTCACAGGGCTGAAACTTTGCATGCTCTCCTTCTATGTGGCTACAAACACCACCTGCAAATTTCCCGCCAATTGAGTGAGCATTTCAAAAGTAGACATGCCCAGGTAGTGTCCCCCCTTATTTACTTTTAAATTGTAGTTTTTTAAGCATTGATCTGGAATAGCGTGGGGGTATCAGACGTTTAAAATGGGAAAGATTAAAAATTATTAAAGCTTTTCCAAATGAGGTCACTGCAGCTCAGTGAAGCCAGCAGGATGTAACTTCCTTGGTCGAGGGAGTGGTCCGCGTTCGCTTGAGCACATGCTCGCATATTTTCATACCAGAACCTCCTGAAGTGGTGATTTTTAAAAATGGTCCATTTTGAATGTTTGAAACCACCCAAGGATTTGTGCCCCTGCAATAAACTGGTTTGCAATGTAACAATTTCGTTGCACGAGGAGAGCGGAGAAACCGTCACTAGCTCTAGATACATAATTGAAAAGTTCTGTCTTTCTTAATTATCAAACTTTGAATCGCTTTTTTTTTTTTAAATACCCGCAAAAATGAGCAAATATTTGCCGACTTTAATGTTTCCCCCTGCTGTTTCATGTGTGGTAGAAAATACAATGGCACATTTTTTCTGAACATTGCAGGACGGTGTCTGTTCTGACAGACCTGGTGAGAAAAACAGAAACAGCAGAAGTCATCAAGGTAAGCATTTGTGTTAGATGCAGTTTCAAATACAAATAAATAGCGTGCCTAATCCTCTAAACTAATTTCTAGAGTGCTTTTGCAGACAGCTTTTCTAAAACTTGCAACAACTTAAGCTCATTCTGTACTGACTGTCTTAGTAAGAGAAATAGTGCCTGAAATAAGTCTTGTAGGGCTCCAATAAACTTGCTGCCCCATTACTTACGATGGGCCACCTGAGCAAAGATTACCCCCCGCACAAAAAAAGACATCATGGAGATGTGCACCATCAGTGTGAATGGTGTGCTCTTTCGTGTCCGGTGTAGTCTTCCCAGGCAGCACACCAATGTCGGTCCGACGTTGGCCTAACATTGGCAAAGACCGGCTGCAATATTGGACAATATTGGAAGCGCTACCCTTTCCAACGTTGGCCCAGTGATTGGTGCCAATGTTGGGCCACTGTTCAGCCATCGTTCCAGCCAATGTCGGCCCAATCATTGGTGCCAATGTTGGGCCATTGCTAAACCATGGTTCCAGCCAAGGTGCTCCCACATTGGCGAAAACCGGCGTAATAATGGACAACACTGGAAGGGCGACCCGATCCAATGTTGGCCGTTATGCTGATTTTTGGCCATCGTTGCACTCGCCCAGCTCTTTGCAAGTGCATTCACCAAGTTGTTTGCAAAAAGGAAGGTAGACAGACACAAGGGATTGTTTTAAAATCTTCAAAAAGTTTATTACACACAGCTTATTCTGTAGACAGGCACAAAATCAGCAATTTGTAATATGTGAAGAGGTACTATTCAACTGTGATACAACTAAGAAGATTGCAAAGTAAACACAAACCGGGGTAATTATTGTGGAGTGTCCAGTCTCCCGGCAGCTGGAAGAATTTTTTCCCCCAAATTCTACCGCTATTCGCCCTTCATTGGCGGTGCAATCAGTTCATCGAACGACATTTCATAGACAGATCGTTTCATCAACACGCGATGTTTCATAAAAAAACTCAAAATACATCTTTTTCCCTCTTTTCTTTTTTGTTTTTTTGCAATGAACAGCTTCAGACTTGGCATGAAGCGGCGTGAAAGGGTGGGCTGGTTCGGTGAGCACGCGCCTCAGGAATACACTTGCGTTGAAATGCCCCTACAGCGTGCAATTCGCGTAATGCATGTCAAGGAAACGTTGCGCCTCAGGAATACACGCACGACGAAATGCCCCCACAGTGCGCAATTCGCGTAACGCGTGTCGATGAAACAAAAATGTCGACGAAAAGGTGGCCACGAAACGTGTTTTCGCGAAACGCACGGAGAATAAAAAAGTCAGCATTCTACCTGCAGTTGTGACATTATTTCAGACAGATAATGGCAGGCGACTGTCGGTAAGATTGCGGGAAACTTATTCTAACGGCTGCCAGGAGATAGGCCCTGCCCAAGTCTAGAGGTTATCCGGAAGATTACCCATACAAGAGCGGACAATGATCACCAAGTAGGTTGCAGCGCACTTACTTTGAAAATACCGGACTTGAAAGATGTAATCCGACATATATGTAAACACGGGCACTGCACAAAAACCCCTCAAACACAAAAACCAGAAGGAAGTGATCCGTGAAGATTCAACACGATGTAGCACACGCTGCCATTTGCCGAACCGAACACTAAACGATTCACAAGAATGTCTTGGGCTTCTATGAAGAAATCGACACGGGTGGGACTTTTCGAACGAGATACCATTTACCACAGAAGCGAAATCCACAGCGGGCCCGCACCCCGCAGGCCGCGTCACACGCGAAACTAGGTCCGGTCTTCGCGACGCAGGCATTCCGAGTTTTTCAACGGCTAATGCGTCATCCGTCAAACCACGTGATCACGCTTCTGCCGTTACCAGCGCACAGAGAGCGAACTCAAGCGATAAAACGTGTACGGTTCATTGGTCCGGCGAGTACGGACCGTCTACCGCGCCTTCAGCTTAGGGAGAGAGAAAAAAAGAGAAGGAGGACAAAGCAAGCAGGCCAGAACGGGGGTGGGGTGCGCTTACAAAAGGCTAATCTCCAGGGGCATCTCAACAATGAACGCAGCGAGAGAATTTGTCACTTCTACCCAAGGTTGATAGTGCAGTAGATGTTATGCGTGACCTTGGGCTTTAGGCAGGTTCCGTGCTCTGCCTTATCACCAGCTTCGAGACCGTAGTCAAGTGACCATAACCGGAGACACGATTGGCCTTAAACACGCATAGCGTCTACCCTGCTGTCAATACCGATTTAACAGGACAGCTCTTTGAAGGTCAGCTTTTGAACTTCTAAAGACGCTCTCCAGCCCAAAAGTGGTTCTAAACGGGGCAAGTTTGAAGACAGTATGTTTTACGTCGTATAACGTAAATATAATAATATATAAATATATAATATAATGTAATGAAGAACTAAGCGCGACTATTTTTTGCGCTCGATGTACACAAATATATCTATAAGTATATAAATATATTTTTTATCAATAAATTTAAAACTGTTTGTACGCTGTTAGGTTCGCGTTTTTAAACTTCAAATTGTTTTACGAAAGAGTTACACATAAAAGACAGCCCGAGCAGCACATCGTCCGAATTGCAGCACACGATTAATCGCCCACGCTCGCCGACAGAGGGTTGCGATGCTGCGCGAACGGTTTCTGAAAGATGCTGGGTAGGGTACTCCGAGCGCAACGGCTTCGCGACCGTTCGAAGGGCAAATGATTCGCGACAACAAAGTAGGGTCTAGCAGCTTCAGTAAGCTAACGGGGCTCGAGAGTCCCACGCTCACATTTCCGCAGAGCGAGCGCGGCCGGCCACATCGAGGCGCAGTGTGCTCTCGCGTCGCGATAGCTACGTCGTTGCTCTGCCTACCCTGATGACATGTGCACTGGCAGTCGAAGCAACCCTCTCGAGACTTCACTCGAGTTTAATATATGACTTTATATCGCGATATACTCTCGTAAAACTGTGAGTCACTTCGGTTGCAGCGTAAGCGGCGGCTTTATGTTTGTTGACACCTGCGTCGACAATGACTAAATATGCACAGAATCATTAAATATAAAAAAATAGAGCACGCAGAAAGAAATACAAACTTGACAGGGGCACGGACAAAGAGAAAACGTTAACGCTACGTATATATAAAAAATATATTGGAAAAGACAAAAATACTTAAATCTAAAAAAACGGAGTTAAGTTGTCAACGCCGAGGTAAGGCAATGCGAATGGAGAGCAGCCAGCAAAAAAACTGCAATAGTCATATAGGCAGCTAAGGACGTATTTGTGATTGCGGTTATAAAGCGCCGGCGACGTACGCCCCATGAAGTTGGCTAAATAAAATTCTCGCCCGAGCGAGCTCATGAATGACTCTTTTCCAATTTCCTATTTCTGCAATGCAAAAAAGAGGTTCGCGGGTCTATAGCCTAGGCGACGTAAATATCGATAAGCCATTGGTTATGGCAGTACCAATATTGACCAGCCTATACCAAGACATCACCAATATTGGAAAACTCTTGGCTTTGACAGTTTAATATTAACCAGCTTAAGCCAACGTATATTCAATATCGGAAAACACATTGGCTCTTAAAGTTCAATATTGTGCAGGTTATGCCGGCGTATATCCAATATAGGAAAGCTGTTGGCTTTGACAGTCCAATATTGGACAGCTAATGCTGGCATGTATCCAATATTGGAAAGCCATTGGCTCTGACAGTCCAATATTGTACAGTTTATGCCAGCATATATCCAATATCGGAAACCTATCGGCTTTGACAGTCCAATATTGGATAACTTATGCCGGCATATATCCAATATTGGAAAACAATTGACTTTGACAGTCCAATATTGAACAGGTTATGCCAGTATATATCCAATATTGGAAAGCCATTGGCTTTGGCAGTCCAATATTGGATAACTTATGCCAGCATATATCCAATATTGGAAAAAAATTGGCTTTGGCAGTCCAATATTGGACAGGTTATGCCAGCATTTATCCAATATTGGCAAGCCATTGGCTTTCACAGTCCAATATTGGACAGCTTATTCCAGTGCATCACCAATATTGGAAAAACATTGGCTATGATAGTCCATTATTGGCCCAGGTAATTCCAATATTGGTAAACACATGGCTCAGTTGGGCCATTGTTGGGCCGTTCTTTGTCCCATCAATTCCAATGTTGGCCCAATATCGTGTGCTGCCTGGGTTTGTTCAGCTGGCCCATCGTAAGCAATGAACCAACTTGCTTCAAGCTTATGACAAAGCGTTCCATTAAAAGATGGCTTTCAAAAAAACAAAAAAAACAGCACAGCTTTTAGGCGCCCGTTTTCGGCTTGAACGGTGTCGGCCGTCGCCGTCACCGTGTGGTGCATTATGAGAAATGTCTTATAATGCGTCGCGCGGGACCCTCGTGACGTGACACAGGACGTCACGAGGGTCCCGCGCGATGCATTATGGGACATTTCTCATGATACAATGCGTGGGAAGGAGGAGGAGGACGAGGGGGAGGAGGAGGGGGAGAGGGGGAGGAGAGGGGGGAGTAGCTTCAGGGATAAGGGGAGGGGGAGAAAGAGGGGAGGAGTATCAGGGAGGATGAGGAGGTGAGGAGTATCAGGGAGGATGAGGAGGTGAGGAGGAGGGGTATACTCTTTCCTCCATACCCTCCCCTCTTCCTCCTCAAGAGCTGCGCTCTAATTCGGTGTTACAGGGTGTTGTAAACGTCTTTCATACGTATTAATCCCCCCCCCCCCCCCTCAAAAACAAAAAAGAGGAAATGCAATATTTACTTTGTGCAGATGCATTTAGAGCTTGGATTGATTTTGTCCCACTGGCTGCGAAGTGCTTCCTATTTTGATGTCAGTGTGACATCAAAATAGATCTAGCTTTGTAAGCTTCCCATTGGTTGGAGGGGGTGTGAGGCAGGCCCATTTGCGTGTACCGCATTCCTCTCTGCTTCTGCGAAAGTGCACGGGAGTGAGAAATGGAGAGATCTCCAAGTGGCGGGTTGGAATCTCAGCTGAGGTGCCCGCAATCTGATGGAGGCTTATAGACCTTATTCAGATTCGCCCGCCATGTATCGGACGTGGCGCGAACCTCCCTTCCGACGCCATTTTTGAGGCGACTGGCAAAGCGCTGTGGACGTTTGCGGCTTTCGATGCGCAGCGACCGTACGACTGCTCTGTTCCGCTACGTATTCAACAAGGAAATAAAATTAACAACAACCGATTTGAAGCTCAGGATCGTATTGTTTTCTTTTCGAGTTAAAGGTATTATAGCCAACGTTTGAATAGCCGTAGCGCTTTCCTGTACTATTCATGCTCCTAAAAAGAGCACCCGCCCGTTAGTGTTGCGTGCTTTTACCGGGCTCCTAAAACTTTCTTAATATATCACACTTTCACAATCGCATGAAGGGCTCATGATATTTGTATGTAACATCAGTGAGCATCTATCATTGTATGTGATTTTTTGGAGCTTGATGTTGGCTAGCATCGTAGCTCGCTCGCGCAGAGGAACCGCGAAGTCCATTCAACATACCTCAGATACACTGTTTTGCTCTTGTTTTTGTTTTTTTTTGCTCTTTCTTTCTCTCTCAAGTAAGTCTTTCACACCCGGTTGAAGGCTAATGCAAAGTGCAGAAAAGGAAGTCAACGAAACAACTTCGTTTCGCACATGAATGACAAAGACAATGGTGCTAAAAGCAAAGGTGAACTCTCGCTTACGCCACTCTCGTATTTCGAGAAACATTTTCGAAATGCACGAAAGCACAAAAGCGGGCTCTTGACTGCTAACCTGGACTTGTTGGCGAGTTTAACAGCCGCGCTTGCTCACTTCCCGAAAAATCGGGTTTGCTCTACGGGAAAAGCTTTTTTATTTGTAGCCGCCACTTTGATGAGCACTGGTCATATTCTATTGCTAGTAAGCATGAAATTTAACTCTATGCGACCGCGCTACCAGGAGGAACACATTAAAATGTCGCTGACATTTATTAATGCATTTTCTCTCAAGGAGCCAAAGATATATGCGCAAGTACTGAATCAATTTTTTAGTATTCTTATTATGATTATAAAAGGAAAATGTTTCCGCTTTTAGTAAAATAGTGTTGTTGTTTTTTTGTGTGTGTTTTTTAATACGTTACTTGCACCGCGGCGACACGTCCGTCATTTCATTTTACGTTTTTGTGCCTCGCATACGCTTGTGTGAGTATGCTAGTGTAGATCTTCAGCGTAGTTTTTATTTTTTACCTGCAACAAAAATACTACAATCGTAGATTCGTGCTGTATCACACATTCCTCATGATAATGTTTTGAGCTACTATTCGATGGTCTCCCCAAGGAACTAAATAAAAATGTATGTAGTAAATTTAATTCCATGTTTTTTTCTGTGTGTGGAATCATATCTCCAATATTCCTCAGGTTAAGACAACAGGGAACCAAGATTAAGCGTTCAACGCCGCCATCATAGAACTCAGCGATTCGGGTCTGCACACGCTGGGTCAAGGCGCACTGGGCGAAGAACTGTTCGCATTCTTTAAACTCGCAGCCGCGAATGCCAAATAAAAACAAACTCACACGGTGGCTGACGGCCCTGCTAAATATATTGTACAAATCTTCCTTGTGCAAAAAGGCATATTAAGCTGGCCAGGCAAGTTAACGCACAATTCTAAAACAGTGCGTGAGTCGGCCTGTTCTGGTGCTGGAACGAAGCTCATTTTTATAAAAAGAGATTCGTAGTAAAACCACTGAAAACAAACTTGAGCTTAATATTCGCAAGTTATTCCAGAGCGGCTGTCCCCATCAATACAAAAAAAAACACGCGCACAAAAATAAAAATAAAACAAAAAACAAGAACGTGCACGAACGTAACGCGGGGAGAGGAGTTTGTACTGCGACGGGGCGGTGGCAAAGCCTCAAAGATGGCGCCGAGCCTCTGATAGTACCCGTGGCCGCCGAGAGATGGCGCTAATAATGAATAATGTCTATTGCAGGGAAGGCGAGTGTAGCTGAGCTTTCGGTTGCACGTCCAAAGATGGTCGAAATTAACCTTTAATGCTGGGACGTGCCAGGTGCCTTTCGTTGGTTTGGCACCTGAAAGCTCCACATTTGAAATTTGATTTGAGAAAAGGAGAATTGGCCTGTGTGCTCCATCCATGGCTCTGCCTAAATTGCTTCTTGCGGGGTAAATATTGCACTAAATATTTTTTCCCTCCTCGGAAAATGCATCCTGTGACATGAAAACAAGTTTCTCGATTGTGCCCCTTAAAAGCTGGGTCCTTTAAATGTACACAACATTTCGTAGTGCTCCTCAGGAATTTATTTTGGAAACTATTTATTTTCCACCGTTAAAATGAACTGCGCGGGCTCTCAAACTTTTGTCCCGAAGGATCCTGGCCTAGGTGTGCCTGCTTTCAACGGTGGCTGAGGAATCGACCATTATAATGTTTGCAACAAACCATCGCAGGTTTCACAAGTTTTGGTAGAGCTGTGTGGCTTAGAGCCGCGCATCACTGCGTGGATTAATGCGAGCCTCAACTGGACAATAGATTAATTCTTTAATTCGGTAATTCTCGACTACCATATTTACTCGCAGAATGAACGCACTTTTTTTTCCCCGAAAAATCGATGCGAAGTTGGGGAGGGGGGGGGGGGGGCGTTCATTACGCGAAGTAAAATTTTTGCGTCCGGATTTACTCGCATAATGAACGGACCTTTTATCCTGAAAAAACGAAGTAACTTCTTATCTGTTTGCGCGCGGCGCCCGACCCTGTAACCAAACTAAGCTGTAAAAAAAAAAAAAAAAAAAACTTTTTTTTTTGTTTTTTGGGTTTATTTTTTTGTTTTTACGCCTTTCGCAAGCTGTTTTGTTTGCTTAGGCGAGGGCTCTCCGCTTATCTTTATCTCCTTGCGCGCGGCGGCGCACGACCCCCGTAACCAAACTGCGCTGTGCAAAAAAAAGAAAAAAAAGCTCCTCTTTTCTTTTTTTTTTTTCAGTTCCGTGTTTTTTTGTTGTTTTTTTTGCCGCCTTTCGCAAGCTGTTTCGTTTGCTTAAAGGGCTTCTCCGCTCCTGTTTCTTACCTCCTTGCGCGCGGCGGCGCGCGAAACCTAAATCCAGACTGCGCTGTGCAAAAAAAAAAAAAGCTCCTCTCCATGCTTTTTTTCTTGCTTCCCTTGCGTCTTTGCGAATTTTTTTAACGCCTTTTGCAAGGCGTTTTGTTCGCCCACGCTGCCCATGCATTTGCGACCTCGCTGCACCAGGATAGAAAAGTGCGTTCATTTCGCGCGCGTGGGGGGAGGGGGTCAAAATTTTGACTCTGAGTTGGGGGTGCGTTTATTACGAGAGTGAAAAAAAAGTCGAAATTTTGAGAGCCGACTTGGGGGTGCGTTCATTACGCGAGTGCGTTCATTGTGTGAGTAAATACGGTCTCTTCTGGGTTATTCCAACTCAACTCCAGTTACTCAGTGATTGAGTTCTAGAATTTTGGCTCCAGTATTTAGTTCCTCAATACGAAAGACAGATTTCCCTAAGTGGGTAGGGGAAGACATTGATGATGTGCCAGGGAAAGTCATTGGCGAAGGTAGGGAACTATGAAATGGCATAAAAACTTTCTCATGCAGCTGGGGCTCCGAAGCACCGGGGGGCAGGTGTGGAGTTTGATGGGTGCCAACGTCTTCTATTCCCCAGGCTCGCCAAATCTCGCTGCACCACAGCTTGCCTCTGGGCTCCTATTTGCTCAAGCCCGTGCAGAGGATTCTCAAGTACCACTTGTTTCTACAGGTGAGCTCTTGCTTTGCGCTGCCCAATCCCTTTCTAGGTGTCCACCCCCGTTGGACATCCCCAACTTTCTCGAACATCAACGTCTCAATGCGAGCACTAAAATGTGAATTTCAACTGAACAACAAACATGTTCCCCGGTAATATTTGAGATGACAGTAATAGAGCATCAATAAGCAGTAATTAAACTTTTGGACGCGTATAAATTTTATTCCACGGCTATACAAATTTTTTTGCATTGAATCCTACGGGCCACATTCATGAGTGTTCAATTTCTTCTTTTGTTGACAAAAGATTGTGATGTTCCCCATGGCTGTAATTACCTGGGTATCATAAAATGCCATTCAATTAGAATTTTGATATTTCCCTGAAAACTTTTTGTTCCACGGAATGTTCCAGAATGCCATGGATGCAGTTTGAGGGTCCCGTGGTAAGGAACTCAAGAAAACAAAGAGAACTACGAGGAAGAGGAGGGAAAAAGCTTCTTTGCATGAACTCGGGGGCAAAAGATGAGCCACAATGGGCACAAAAGCAATGTTTCGGGAGCAAAGTCTAGCTCACCAAAGCAGAACCTAGCTTTATTGCTGAACGAAATATTTGCGCTTAAGATCGTGCCACACCTACTCAACTTTGTACCAAAAACTCTCGGACCAGGAATTCGGAAAAAGGCAGATTTTACGAGGCTACCGTTTTAGGGTGGCATCTCTAGCCAAAATGGGCGTAAGTCTCGATGCTAAAAGTTGCGCAGCTTGAACCAAGTCGCTAGAATTCCCTCCCGGAATAATGTGGGTTTTGCCACAAAGTCGGCCTCAGAAAACGGATAAAATCTGGCTTTGGGCCAAAAATTGCCAGAGGGGGAATTTTCCGAGCACAGGGTAGTGCATCACATTAGACTCGTTCAATTTCCCTGCACCGGTGCAGAAAAGTGTTGGGTGGCACACCTAGGATCATATTTCGATAGCCATACCCCAAATACGCCGCCCTACACTTTCCTGTACCGGTGCAGGAGGTGTGGGTAAATTGAGCGAGCCCATATTGTTGCCTTGATAAGTGCGTGCAAAAAACCCTGCCTTCAATTTTCGACCATGTAGTCTCGGCTGTCAGTCGAGAACCACGCTACTTATCCCGTTGGAATTGAAATCAATTTCTGCCCCCGCAAACTCGTGCCACAGAGGTCTGGTTTGATTATTGCTGGGGAAAAAAAAGGAAGTTTTGCACAATGTTCACACGCCAGGTGAAGTAGTTCTTAGAAGATTTGGTTGTGGGATGCTGTTGGCCATTTAAAACAAGTACGTCTTGCTAAGATAACATATATCTAATCTGAAATGCACCTACATACAAATCTTAACTCTCCATATAGAGGGGGAAATTAGTAATGCTTGGCAAGGGGCCAGACCTTTCACTCTAGTTCTTGAGGTGGAAACGAGCATAAGTGGATTTGATCTACTAAATTAGGCCAAGAAGGTTGCTCAAACCGTGAGAGAAAAGACCTCCCCTTACTCTTTCCCAAGTTCCCTGGAAGACACGAAATGTGGAAATAGTATGATTGAAGTTGCCTGTCTTTTTTTTTACCATTGAACTTGACATCATGGTGAGGGCAGCAGTTCTCCACCACCCTCGCAGCTGCCTCGATATGTCAAAACATTGTGCCGTTTAACGCTTAATTATTATTGATATTACTCGTTGCAATCATTTAGACTCCTTTGTGCGGTTAGTTTTTCTCCCCACCGAGTGCTGTTGGATTCCTTTTCATGCAGAATATAGTCAAGCACCTGGACAAGGAGAGTGAGGGCTACCCCGACGTGAAGAACGCCCTCTCGGTGATGACCGGCATTGCGTTCCACATCAACGACATGAAGCGGCGGCACGAGCACGCCGTCAGGGTGCAGGAGATACAGTCGCTGCTTTACGGCTGGCAGGTGGGCAGACCCGCGGTCCCGAGATCGCGTCTTTGGCCGGGGATGTTCGGCGTCCTGCGCTGCGGACCCACCGGAAGTGGTTGTGAAGTGGCAACAGATTACCGTAATATCCAGAGAGATGGCCCACCTCAAAGCAAAAGCTAACTTTTGATGTGTGATCAAAAAGGTGATAAAATGGTAGTATTTTTTTAACCTGCGAAACTTGCGATCGCAGGGAGGGGCAATGAGCCAAAAATGTCTGGATCCTTTCCAGTCAGCGACGTTCGCTTATCTCCCGCTGTGGCTAAGTAACACCCCTTGTGCGAGGTCACTATTGGCCAAAGCCCTGCTATTACTTAACTAAACTATCTTTCGGTACTTTTAAAAAAAAAGTGCAAATTGTGTTAAAAAAGGCGGCGGGTTATCTTTGGGGGTGAGGCATCCCTGTGGATATTGTGGCATGTCACGGGAGCCGGGGTGTCTTGCTGCTGGGTGTCGCGACTCTAGCAGCATTTCGTAGGAGTTCCAGCAAAACGGACGATTAAACGCAAGTGGCACCGTCGTCGTGACCTACAACTCGAGAGCTCAAGAGCGACCTACTGCAGAACAGGCATCTGTCGTGTGCAGTTCCACTGCTGTGCCGCCACTAGGATCATGGCGTGCCATAAAATGACACTTTCATGACGTCGTTGGGCAGAAATTGATAGATCCCAAGAAGAAAAGCCTTCACAGCGCAAGGTCGGTCTTCTCTCGAGATTGACGACACTGGTTTCCGCCGTAGTCTATGAATTTAGCTAGGTCAATATGTCTGCTAACTAGGAGTCTTAATAGCGCGCATCACGCAGTAGTGATTACACGAATGCACGCTGCAACAATACTCCCACAAATGAAAGCGCTCAGTGGCAGGAATACAACGAAGGAACTCCGTGTTCGGTAGCGCGTGCTCTCTGCCACCGATTTACCCCGTCCACACGGACTCGCGAATGATGCGTGCATAAGTGCGTGCTCAGAAGCTGGTTGGAAAGGGGTCTCAAAGGAAGGGGCTATTAGGCTTAATGCTGAAGGCATATGATGCAAAATCATAATGTCGGCAGTGTGCGTCAGAGCAGTGACAGGCAAGCACTGACTGCTCTACTTGTCGAGCGATAGATGCGTAACCGAGCTTGGGATGAATGCAGAACCGTGTCAGCGGCGTGCAAGCTGGTTGGATGGCTCTTGGAGCAGTTTGCCTAATTTGCCGCAGACTGTGTGAGCAAGCAAAAGCCAATACCCATGCCAGGCAAAATTCTACAATGTTGAGATTGTGTTTCCATATTACGTGCAGTGGTAAAAAAAGTTTGAAAATTATCACAAAATATGGTGTAAATTTCAATTGAAAGTGCAATATCCTATATCTTTTTTTTTTTTTTGCCCTTTAAATTAGCTTTTTGCTAGGGAAAAGGGAGAGATCTATTTCTGTGAGCATTGGGGCAAATGTAAAGTTTCTTAAAAAGAGCCCCTCTTAGTGTTACTCAGCTCATTCTAGTTTCTCCTAATGCCATACTTTTCTAGCTATTGAACATCTCGCTAGAGTATCATTTTGTCTTAAAACAAGATTTTGCTTATTGCATACCTATATTGTATAAACTGGAATATAGGTCGAACTGGAATATAGGTCGAACCCCCAATTTACAAGTTGCAAACAGTGAAAAAAAGTTTTTATGGCAAGATAATGCAACCTTACCTTGGTAACAAATTTGGCCAAGCATACGGAAGGACGAGAAAACACGGCACAATGATTTAATTGCTTCGCACGCAATAAAACAGGAAGTGCACGAGCGTTACTACTCAGATTCCTCAGAACCTTTGTCCGACAAAGGGTTCACTAGCACAGTTCAAAGGGGCGATGCCTTTGAATGGCGCCCTCAGAGCCCGGAGGCAGGAGCGACCTCGACGGCTTTCGTACAGATTCACTCTAGCGTCACAGGTAGCGATCTGGCACGCAGATTCCGAATGAAATTTGTAGCGCTGAGCAATTGATCGATTAACCTACCGATTAATCAATTAATGCTTTAGTCGTGTTTAATTTTTTTAACCGCGGTTAATCGGCAATATTTTAGCGAACCAAAATAAAGTAAAAATTAAACGGTTTTACCACGCAGATGTGGACGAGGACACCTGTATGAAAGGCAAACTCTAGGTCAAAATGTAGTCTAAAGTGAACTCTAGGGGCCAGATTGTTAACTCCTGAGAAGTGCAGAAAGTTACACGTGTAGTTCAACGCCACTCGAGTGTCCGTTTAGCGTAGCAGAGACCATAGTTTGAACAATCAAAGGAGGTCGCTCTCGCCAGAGAATTTTAATGAATCTCCTTACCTCATGCAGCTGAAGTAATGATATGGGAGTGTGAGTGCCTTTGAACTGTTCATAACTACACATCATGGTTGATTCATAATAAAGATTGCATATTCCGCCCTTTATCTCATATTCAGAAAATGTAAAAACAGAAAACAAATATTAATTTTGACTTTTTAAAAATATTATGCATAAAAATTAATGAGACCGTTTAATCGATTAAATAATCGATTAAAAGGTTGCGATTCATTGGGTTAAAACTTTCGATCGACGCCCAGCCCTAGAAATTTGCCACCTTTGTTTCCCATTCGGGGTAGACCGCAGTCCACGAACTGAAGTTTTCTTTGCCTTTCTGCACGCTGCCAATTGTTTTGTCTCTGGCCTCGCCAGCAGCGTACGCTCTTCTCCGATGCACCCAGCTCTCGCTGCACTGCAAGGTTCCCGTGGACTTCTGCATAGGCGACTGCTCTCTTCTTGACCGTGAACTGTCTTCTACTTCCGCTCATTATCACTCCGGGAGCGGCAACGGTAGATGGAACAAAACAAGGAGCACAAGTGAAAGTCAATTGTGATTGTCAGTGTGTGTGTGTTTTTTGTTTTTGTTTATGGACCTTGTCTCTATTATTTTGTTCTGATTGATACTTACAATTAATGCATCCACCCTCATGTAATGGCCTTAATTGGGCCTTTGAGGTATCGTGAATAAATAAAAAAAATAAACAAGTGGTCAAGTGCTAGGCGATTAAAAAAAAAACAGAAAAAAACAACAAGATGGCGGCTTTAGCCACCCAATGTCGCGAGATTATTTTTGTTTTCCGCTAATGACCGGAACTACACACTGCACGGCAAAGTTAGGACACTGCACTTGGGCTTGTTTGCATTGTGCTCGTTTTGATTCCCGTTTCTGTACGCTAAAAGTTTTTAGCACATGCATTGCAGCTTATTTGAAAAAAATGAAGCTGGCGACGGCCTGTTTGTGCTTACCGTGCTGTCCTCTGTACCGCTACTATATGCTCATTGCACACGAAAAGACAAACGACAACAACAGCCACAGATCCCAATGCTAGCGACAGCAGTGCGGCCCTAAGATGATATACGTATTGTGCACTGCCTTTCTCAGAAGAGGCTGTATGTACTAAATATATAAAGTGGGAGAGACAGACCAGAACACAAAGAAGACGGGACAGCACTATTCTTTTTCATGTCCGTCTTGTTGACGACCTCGTCTGTCTCCTGCGCTTCTGGGATGTTGCACCAGCTAGCCCACCTTAATGTTTTAGCTCTGAGTAGGGACGCCTGGCTCTCGTTGCCCAGGGCAAAGACCTGACGACGTACGGAGAGCTGGTGGCGGAGGGCTCCTTCCGGATGCTGGGTGCGAAGGCCCTGCGGCACCTCTTCCTCTTCGACAAGGTGCTGCTCATTGCCAAGAAGAGGGAGGAAGGCATCCTCAACCACAAGACACACATCATGGTGGGCCCCCTTGCCTGCGCCTAGGAACAGTTTGTATCTCTCCGAATATAGATCGCACCTGGAGTTCGGGGGCAGCACCTTGACATTTGAAAGAAAACATGTTTGTGTCCAGCATCGCTCTTTATCTGTTCTCATGTCATCCGACCCTCGGGAGTTGCTTGGGTTCAGTCGTGTCTACTGCAGTTGTAAGTGGCAGTGACGGCAACACACCGCCATGTTTTTCGTTTGTCTGCGTTGGAATATGTCTTGACCAAGCGCTTGTGTGACCGATGGTCCGGAAATCCCTACGGGATGACATTCACCAGTGCCAGTAACTGATCAAATCTGCGTGAGAAGTATTTTTTGTTCCTCTTGTCTTTAGAATATACGAAGTATACACGCAGTTGAAAATTCCGATTAAGTTCCAATTGGAATTTTCTGATTGGCATCAATGGGGTTTTTGGACAACCAATTGGTCACTGCCATAGGGAACTAACAGGAACCAATGGGAACCATTTGGAACCCATTCAGGTTCCAACTGGAAAAATAATTACAGTTGGTGAGACCCATTGGCCTGTGCTTCCAGTTGGAACCCATTAAAACCAATTGGTACTCCAGTTAAAGCCAGTTGGAATTCCAATCGGATTTAATGGGAATTTTTAGCTGGGCATGGATTGATATGATTGCAACCCACCATTGCATGTAGGGGATCTGTGTTCTCAATTTCCAGCAGGGCAAGATAGAACGCCATTCGTGTTTTTTCACCGCAAGCCTTGTGCCTGCTGCATGAGTGGAAATTTTGGTGCACTTCCACGCTTCATACCTGCATTAACTCTTCCTAAAATTGACACATTGGGGGGTTTTCGGGGACTTTCAGCAAGTTTCTAATTAGAACCTTGTTTTACTAATTAAAAGATTAGTTAACATTCTAATCGTTTGGCTAATTAGTATGTTTTTGTCCACTGTGGCTGCTAGTTTGTCCCCAAAAATAGTGTATTTTTTTTCTCAACCATCCTATTGGTAGCAATGTTTCAAAGTCTTCGTTGAAACACCCGGTAGAGGGCGTTACCAGTACCGGGGCTTACTTTAAAATAGGCTGAAAAAATCGGCGCCTGCCAGCGATCTCAAATTTTCATCGCAGGTGTATTTTGATAGCAGATTTTTCCTCCCGAAAAATTTACGAGGCATAGCTCCCTTCGTGTGAATACAAAGAGCAACGCCTTCTACATGGTGGACACCGACGCAGACGGCCAAATTGACCGAAGGTTGTGCACATGGCACCATTTCCCGATAAGCGCAGCAAGCAGACGACACACTTGCGCGGAAGCAGAGGACAGTCATCCGCTCGCTGCTCCCGTGGAAAGATGGTGCTACAATCCCTCAGTTAGGGAGCCCAGATTGAAGAGAAGGTCCATCTCAAACCACGAGGAGCATTGGGAATTTAATTGCGGATGCCTCCTGCAGCAATAGGTTGCCGGTGCACACGCACTGCATTGTCGCATGGCGAGGAGGAAAGCAGGCAGAAAGGCGGAGACGCCTGCAAACAATCGATGCTTCCGTCACTCCTTGCAGCTCGTATTGCAAACGTGGCCCATAAACCACGTGACCTCGATGGAGCGCAGTTGGAAGCCCTCCGTAACCTAGCCCCTCTACCCTCAGTTAATTTTGTCGCTCGCCTGGGGTCTGCCATTGACCATGTCGAAAGCGCTACACCACGATAGCTACACCACGATATCTCGCGAGGTAAAATGCCTCACTAAAATATGCTTCCGATGAAAAGTTGAGGTTACAAAGTGCAGGTGCCAATGTTTCCGGCCGATTTTCCACGTTGTAGGCGGGTGCACCAGCTTGTGAAGCGCCAGCAACCAGGGACCCTCGCGACAATAGTGTCGTTTCTTTCCCGCGCAGTGCTCCAACCTGATGCTCATAGAGAGCATCCAGGGTGAACCCCTCTGCTTCCAAGTGGTGCCTTTCAACAGTCCCTGCAACCAGTACTCCTTCCAGGTGGGTTGTCCCAGGCATCTAGAAATCCTAGTTGTGCCAGGGTACCCAAGCCAGCAGTAGTTGCTCGTGAAAGTGAGAAGATTTTAGACAACTCCTTAAGCACTTTAGCGCATTGTATGTTTCGACACCCATTAATTTTCTCAAAACTAGAAAGGTGCGGGCAATTTGAAGAAAGCCAACATTAGTGGGAGTAGGTTTGTAGCTGGAAAGAGTAAATCTACAAAAATGAATGAGATAAGTGACTGCACCTCACACGTAGGAATGATCCGGTTGTACCCTTGTATGACTGGAATGTAAACATCTTGGACAGACGTTTACGTTTCTCGTTACCATTGGTCGGAGTCGACTCGGTGCGAGCCTAGTGGCGGGCTTCATTTTTTAACCCCAGTTAGGAGGCCCCTAGAGTCGCTCAATAAGTTACGCGCAGAGTATCGACGCTCCGCTCCTCGATTCTCTCGCGGTGCCACCATCTTGTTGCTTAGTGCACTGCGGGCACAATTGGCGGTAGTCGTGGTCCGAAGATGCGACCTCCTAAACTTGAGCCACGGTGCCGGGAGGCTCGATCGCCGCGGCTTCGCTTTGTCGTGGACCGTTTTGGCAATTCTGGAGGACGAAAAAGTGTTTCTCGCGATTTCGAGTAACTGGTGACAACGAGTTTAAGCAACAAAACGGCAGACCCGTCGTTGCTCCGAAGCTTTGCCTACTTGGGCCACGGTCCAAATTTTGTTTGAATGGAACCAAGTTACTCTGGCAGAACGCGTCGGGTGACAAGACAGTTACGCTTGACGCAGGTAAGTTTTCAGACGCCAAGGCACAGAACCTTTACCCTAGAGGGAGATAGAGTAAATGTTGGAACGTGGCCTTAGTGGTACTGGAGATGCTCCAGGAATCTAGAGTCCCTGGCAGGGACTGCGTTATTTGTGCGGATGGGCACTGATCCGGTCTTTCCGGTTGGTCCTCTCTGGACAGGCCCGTAGCCTGGAGCAGAAGCGGGAGTGGTGCCTCCAGCTGAAGCGCGCCATCATGGAGAGCTTCAGTGCGGTCATCCCCAGCCACGCCAAGCAGCTTGTCCTCGAGCTGGGACAGACCAAGAGCCAGAGTAGGTGCCCTCCTTTGGCTGTACTGGGGTTTCGGAAAGCCGGGCTCTAGAAACTAGAGGTGTGCAAATACCGGTTGGAGTTGAACGGTGCAGTGTCTTTCCTGGCTTCGGCACTGTTAAGGAAACTGGCTGTCATGGCTTTCCCTTCCACTGAAAAGGTTACGAATAACTCGGTACGATTTAATTCAAACCGGTATCCACGCAGCCCTGCTGGAAACACCAATCCAGATCTGTAGACGGAAGAATAAATTGGCTTCCATCGAAATAAAGTGCAACTCGAGCCGTGAAGGCGACCGGTGGTAGCTGAAATAATCCGCCCGATGAGGGATTCGATCCCGGAACCTCTCTGAGAGTAGCGGAGAGCTTTGCCATTGGAGCTAACTAGGAGCTGGCAGGTGGAAGCCAATTTATTAATGCGAAAGCATTAACTGTCCCATGGAGCGAGCCGACGTCATCAGTTTGAAGCGCAAAAACGGCACCTAGTTTCCACGACTCTTCGGTTCTGTTGGCTGGTGCGCGTCGACGGGGCTCCCATTGGCCGCTGCGCTTGTCTGTTTCCTCGACCGCTCACCCCATGACGCTGTGCGTTCATCAGTGTGCCGTTAACACGGAGCATTCAAGGACAGCGTGGCCAGGGGAGCACGCGCGCTGACTGGCGACGAAAATTACGCAGCAGGCGGAAAAGGGAGCGGACGAGCGGCTTGCATGCTTTCGCATTCACAACTCTTAAGAAGTGCTTAGGAGTACCTTGAGCCTTTTTTCTTGCGTAAACATTCTCGACCTTGGAGTCTTACCCTAGAATCATTATATCGACTACCTGTAGACCACCCAACAAGCCCTCTTAGTAATAGCTTTGCATAGCAATTCAATACAGACTTTGCTTGTTTGTGCTGGTGAAACCGTAGCAAGGCTATATGAAGGCATGCCAGCAGCAAAGCACGCGGCTCTTGGTTTGTTGTCCTGACACACTCAACCAGTGGTGTTATGTAACGCAGGGAAGGGCAGAGGTATGCAATGCGTTAACAACCCCCCCCCCCCCCCCCCCCTCTCGCCTGCATAGGAAGGAAGCTGTATAGAACAGTAGGAACTGCACATTAGTAGAATGGGGAATGGGTGGCCGAGTGGACTAGCGCACATCAGCTCGGAGTGCGTGGAGCGAAAGCTCGCGTGCTCTGGGCTTTTGACCCACGTGGATGGTAATTCTCGACAAACTTTTCGGAGCGCTATCTCCTCAACAGCGTGGTTCTTTATAATGAATCACCATTATTTGGAAAAGAAAGCTATACAGAAACTTAAACTAAACTGTATAATCTAACCATCAGATGCATTGACAACAAGCACAAATCACCCGGACTTGCACGCGAGATCAGCAAAGAACACGAAGAGCAAAACCAAAACGAGCTTTGCCCTCGCACAGTCGTTGATGCTACGGACCAACTTGACGAATATTAAAACTAAAATATGATGGTCCGTCATCATCTTTTAACTCGCTCGTGCTAGTATTGTCAACAAAATCGACCGCAGGCATGCTAGAATCGCGAGACCTCAAAGGCTTCCGAGGAGGTGTGCCATGTGGAAAGCGCTCTTCGTCAGCTGTGCATTTGATCATCTCGTGGGACAAAGATAACCATACAAAAACCGGAGCTAGTGTCTAACCCAACTACCAGGCACATTGGCAACAAGCAGAAACTGCCTGGACTTTCGCGCGAGACCGACGAAGAACTTGAAAACCAAAGGCCAAACCAAAACAAGCCTTACGGACGCGCAGTTGTCGATGTTTGGGGGTTATTTGACAAGTCATCGCTGTTGAAACTAAAACTTGATGATCTGACATCATTTTCCCACTCGCTCGGTGCTAGCGTAAGCAACAAAATTGACCGCACACACCCTTGAGCCGTGAGACTTAGTACGCTTCTGAGGAGGCACGCCAGGCGTGCCTCCTTAGAGTGTTTCAGAGCTCTTCCCCGGCTGTATGTTTGGTTATGATAAATCGCCATCCCATAGGAAAAAAAAGAATAGGTATACAAAAACTGAAACTACCACAAAATTCTGAGCAAGCACCCACTAAAAATTTGGAGATAGCCATGTAAAACTGGGAGATGGGCAGTCCTTAGGTCAACAGTATGTGAAGATATGTTCTTTGTGTATTTTTTAAATGTTACAAGATTGAGCGGTGGGCACTTATTGTGGAATGGACAGATGCTTGGTATTTTACGGTAGATCTGTCTATTCCAACCACCAGATGCCGTAACTTCTCCAGAAACGTTTCGGAGGCTTTGCAAGGGACCGCGCAAATCATCCGTCTAGGGTGGTTGATTTTGATGTGCGCTGCATGGAAAGAGTTAATAGGCATGGAATCTATGTTTGCCTCCCATTGGCGTAGAAGTTGCCCGTTGAACTGGTCGGTGACATTTGAAAGACGTTTTCAACAGCATTCCCGAAACCTTGTTTTTCAGAGGATCTGTCGTGCGACAAGGGTTCTGTGAAGAAGTCCCTTTCGGCACCTGAGTACCTGAAGAAGCGCAAGTACGACAGGCGCAAGTCTGAGACCAGCCTTCAGAAAGCCTTCAGGCTACGCAGGGGTGAGACCTTCTGGCTGGCAAAACGCCCAACACGCTTTTGCTCAACACCGTTTCATTTTGTTTCGAAAGAGCCTTGTTGCAGAGAGAGCTTATTCCTCGTTTGAAATGTGCTGCTTTTCAGTGGAGTCTGCCCCTCTCTGAAATTGTAGGCTACGTTAATTAGTGTTGGAAATTTCTGAGTGTGCATCAGTGTGTTTGCCTTCCTGATAACCCAGCCATCGCACGTCACTCCAGTAATGGTGTTCCAATTGCCTGTGCCTTGTGTTTAGGCATTTTTGAGCAGCTATTTTAACCACACTTTATGAACATAACCCCTTCAGCGTATACTTCACTTTCATCCCAGAAGTGCAACAACACACTGTATGTGCAATGAACATAACCCTCAATCTTCAGTGTATAATGCACTAGTCTATGTGCACATTAATTGAAAGGCAGTGTTACCCTGCCTTTCAGCTAACATGCAATACACGAGGTATTCATTTGGCAAGAAGTTATAAAGGCGTACCACCCACCATGCTTCAGCTTTTTCCTCTATTCAGAGCTGCCAGTCTTTTATGACCTGGCTGTTATTCCGGTGGCTTCTGGCACCCTTTGCCAGAAGCCACCGGAATGATACGAAGGGCAACTGGAGTGCCTTTTGTTCATATTTGCAAGGTGTTGATGAACATGCATTCTTAAGTAAACAAATTCAACAAAGTTTCTGAACAATGTTCTCTTTTATTTTGCAGGTCTGAAAAAGGTGAGAGGCTGGCGTGAGAAGGGAGTTGGTATGGAGATTTCACCACTTTATTGCATAATAATCATAACAATAATAATATTAATAATGATTTTATTAATGAAAATTGATACAGAACATTTTGTCTGTAGGGCCAGGGAAACCTGGGAATGAATGTAGAAAGTAATTACATTTCCTACACTCTCCAAGTGTTTTCACTACAGGGTAAACAATGCAAAAAAATTCAACAAAAAGCAATTAGAGAGAATACAAAAAACAGGGTTCAAGCAAATTCATTACATATATGTAGTTCTATCGACAGCCGTTTTTGGGCACTTCCTTTGTTTTCTTCGTAGAGGATACGCCGACTAAGTCATATCATAATTTATTGAAGATAAAAAAATAACATAATGTCGAGACCGATTATAACGAAGTCAACAAGAATAGGAAATCACTTCACTATTTCCGCTATTTCGTTATAACAGACTTCAGTTAACGAAGTGCGAAAGGGAATAGAAAATCATGATCGCTTTGCTGTAACCACTATGTCGTAATACGTAACCAACTTCGTTATAACCAATCAATAAAAGTGGCATTCTTTTTTTTTTTCCATAGTTGGTATGTATTTTATGTACAACGTATCTTTTAGTATGTCTCGGGTTTCTTTTTCTAACCTCTGTTTTTGAGCTTAAAGGGGCACTGACACATCAAAATCATATGTCTTTTTATTATCCGAAACGATTGAAAACAATGCCGAGACATTTCCCTCAAAATTCGAAACTTGGGAATCCAGTATTTGGGAAGTAAAAAAAGAATTTCCAAATGCCGAATTCGAAGTTCCCGCGCGGTCTGCGCCGGTGCGTTGACGTCAAATGTTGCGGAGTCCTGAGGGTCGACTTTCTTTCACGACTCCGTGCTGTTGCCATCGCAACCCAAAGCGAGGAGGAAAGTAGCAGAAGATGAGGGTGCCGGCGAGCCGAAAAAAAAACGGGTTTGAGCGGTGTCCCCTGCCCAGGCAGCATGTCTTCCAACAGAACATACAAACCTAGGAGACATCACACCGGACTCCGATTTTAGGTATTTCAAAAAGTGTAGTGTAGTTTGTTTGCAATTGCTTTAAAAAAAAACATGTTTTACGATTGCCATTCTTAAATGTTATAGAAATGTCTCCTACAAAGCTTCTAAATTTCGTGATTTTTGATGTCGCAAATCAAAAGAAGCAAGGAGGCGCAGAGGAAAACGCCAAATATAAAAAGTCATGCGCGCGCAATAAAATTTTTTTTTCGCAATGGATTTTTTTTTGCGGGTTTATGACTGCAACTTGCATTGTTTTAGACATTAAAAAAGATACGACCCTTGGGGTGTCAGTGTCCCTTTAATGGCGCATTAATATTACATACTCGCTCAGTTTCCAAAGAGCAGGAATTCTTCTTAAACTTTCCCCTCTCGAGGAACCCCTATTTGCCAAGACTGGTGTCCGAGGAACGACTCCCCAACGCAGCATTTATTCAGTAAAGCAGTTCAGGAGCCTAGAGGCCTTGTAAACAATACTCCTCATGCTAGGCAGTGCTTGCTCATAGTCACTCATCAATGGATGGCTTAGCTCTGCAAAAATAGTGCTTAAACTGGGAAAACACCTTATTGTGAAATCCCGCAAGGGCATCTGCCAAAAATGAAGAGATCATTATTATTGCTTATTGCAGACAAACAAAGCAATTGTGAAGTTGGACCTTCCACAGCCACATTGGGCTTGACTGGCAGCGTCTTATAATCAGTGAAACCAGTTGTACGCAAGAGGAATCATGTAACATAATATCCACACAAAAATATATTAGAATAAAAAAAGGCAAACCAGTGAGCACTTTAGAAACTAACATTTCTCAGGGCTTTCTTGAGCTTGTATTTTGTTCTTAAGAATACCAGAGAGTAGTTTGTTCAGAAATGCTGATTCATAATAACTACAAACTTTTTTTTCCAAATCTTGTCGAACATTGAGGTATCCGGTAATGCTCCTTAGGTCTAGGAATACAACAAGGTACACATAAAACTTTAAATTGACTATCCCAAAAATGCCTGTGAACAGCAGTTTCCATCAGTAGCGAGTTAAAATCGCGCAAATGCAATCCTTTAAATGTGTCAATGACCTTTCCAAGGCATAAATCATGTGAAATATTTTTTAACAAAGGAAGCAGGATTGAAATAATTCTAAATTGCCAACGGAGAGCACAGTGACCATACACGGTAATGCCATAACGGAGCACACTGTAGACTAGAGCATGTGCAATAATTTTTCCAACGGATATATCGTGTTTTGTAACAAACAAGACACTGCACAAATTTTCTTACATTCCAGGTTAGGTCACTGTCAAAGAATAAGCCGAGAGATTTGATAGAAAATGTATGCTGTGTAGGCTCACATGCATACAATAAACATTCAGACGTATGTAATTGTAAGAAAGATGTTATATAAACCTTTTCCAAAGGGTTGTGAAAACATATAAGTTGCATTTTGGATGCATTAACTTTAATTCAATTAGCTTCAAACCAGTCCATAGTTTCAATCGCCGCAGTTTGTAAAGACAGATAGGCATCTGAGTAATTGGACAGTCTAGATAAAATTACGGTATTGTCAGCATATTGAAATAGTAAAATTGGTACCACAATGGAGAGGTCATTAACATAAGGCTTATATGATAGAGGACTTAAGACTGAGCCCACTTTCGATTGAAAAGAACACCAGCTTTGATTGAAAAGAATCCACGTTAACACCCTCCAAATGAAAAACATTGACGCCTATCCTGTAGAAAGTTTTCCAGTAGCAGTAGAAAAGAATTCCGAAAGCTTAGCTTTGAAAGCAAAATGTGATGGTTAACATTATCAAATGCCTTGCAGACATCAAGGGACAGGTGCAGGCAACTTGATTCCTTTCAAAAGATAAATTGAGCTACAATTGAAAACGAGCGTGTTGGAATTAATAGATACAAAACTTGAAAGTATAAAACAGGACATGTTTCATTTAGCAACAACATATGTTGTTGCTAAATGAAAGATGTCCTGTTCCTGTCCTCGTTTTCGCTGTTTTATACTTTCAAGTTTTGTATATATAAATTGAGCATGTCGGAAAAGTCGTCAAGAAGCATTTGGGTAACTGTGTTTATTTAAAAAGTTGTTATCCACAAATGTTTTTCCGGTATTTTAGAAAAATAAGGCAGAATGGGAAGAGGTCTCTAATTTTCTACATTAATTCATGCACCTGCCTTGAAGAATGGAGTCACCAAAGCTGTTTTCATTGCTAATGGAATGATACCATTAGATAGAATGTGATTAAAAATTGAAAGCAAAACAACCCTATCACTTCAAAGTTTCTGCGCAAGTCATTAACTGAAATACCGTCAGTACCTGGAGATTTGTTGGGCTTAAGGCTAAAGAGGATTGACCTAAGCTCTTCTTCAGAGAGAAGAGGGAGATATGCCAATTCGAAGACACTATTGTTTAAAGTGCATGAATCTGGGTGTTGTCCTGCTGGTGAAAAACATGAGGCGGGCAAACTTTGGAGATGAGACAGGAAATTAATGATAAACGCAGGGGCACCCGCCATAAACCACATGATGCAAAATCTGATACCGCAGATCGCGGACAGAGCAAATTTCCATTTCACAACACGATAAACGTGCGGGAATTCGCTACAAACTCTTGTCATAGGAAAGGATACTGCAGATTGTGGATGCAACAGATTCGTCTTTGGGGCAATGAACAGGCGGAATCTGGCTACAAACTCACGTGCCACGGGAGCCTATATTGTGCACGCAGATCGCGGGCAGAAACGCGAGCACTTGCTACGAACTCGCTTGTCACATGTATTGGTACCGCAGATTGCGCGGTGGATGGGATTCCTGTCCGCTGTTGAGTGGTGTCCGACGGGAAGCGGGGGCTGGGCGATGTTTCAGAATTTTTATGTTACGAATATTTAGCCAGAAAAACTGTATGGGCAGTCTCCCTGGAGAGGATGCCCTTACGGGATTCTACGGCATTCATTTCTTAAAGTGTTAAAGCATGAAATGCTTTTTAATGCTACCCGCCCCCCCCCAATCCCAAACTTTTTCCGTCCGGCCGTCACATGACCCATGGACCTTGTGGAAATCGACGGCACATGACCTGTGCGTCAACTCGGTTTCCCTGCCAGATTTAGCGGGAAAATTGATGTCTTGTGGCCAAAACATCAATCCAGTTTGCCCGCCAAATTTACCGGAAAATTGTCGTCACGTGACCTATACATAATTCAATTACCCGCTAAGTTTAGTGGGAAATTCCGAGTCTTGCGACGTAGACAACAATCCAGTTTCCCCGCTAAATTTAGTGGGGCGAATGGACGTCATGCGATCCGAAATCACATGACCTATACAACCATTCAGTTTCGCCTCTAAATTTCGTGGGAAAATATATGTCACGTGACACGCCAACTACCTCACTGCATCCCTCTCCTCCCTTCCCTCTCATTTTCTCTCTCCATCTCTCTCCTCTTCCCATCCTTGCCCCCTCCTAGATAACCCTAGGTGATGTTGCTCCCAGGGTGTCCTCCCCATCCACCTCCCCCTTACTCCCCACACACCTCCAATCCTATAATGTCCTATAATGCATTATACCGTAGAATACCGGGGAAGCACCCACCCCAGTTTCACTGAAAACTGGGGTAATCCACACGCAGGTAATTCCCCAGTGAAATCGGGCGCTCAACGTGCAATTTCCAGAATTCACAAATTGAGCAATTGTTAATAGTGGGTGCTTGAATGGAGTGGGTGCTTCTGCGGTGTTTTGCGTCAGTCCTAAAGTTGCATTTCATGCATTAAAAGATTTGAAGCTGAAGGTGGCTGCCCATTTTTTCTTCCTCTGTGAACCGTCTCCTGGGGAAGTTGTGACGTGGGGGCATTGGGTGCAGGGTTTCTCGCAAGAGCTGTGCTGCACGTGCAGCTGCCACCTGGGCCCCTCCGGGCCGACGAGGAGGGCCAGCGCGGGAGCCTTGGGACTCCCAACACGTTGCCCCCGGGTGAGCCCCGCCGCCCTTCGTGGCCAGAACGCGCCTGGCGCCGCCAGGGGGCCCAAAGAGCCTCTCCGACCGGCGCGTTTATTGCGTCCTCAAAGTGGCCCTCAATTTCCGGCCTACGACGTCGCGGAAGTGCGTCGCCCGCCACGATGCCGGCGGTCGTTCTGCTGCGGGTCGCTCTGCAGTCGGACGATCGACGGAAACGAAAGCAGACTCAAGTCGGGACGCTGCAACGAGGGCGACGCTCTCGTTTGCTCGCCTTTTACGCCGCAGTTCGACCGACCGCCAGGATAGCAACGTTCGACGGAACGACACGCCGGCTCGTGTGGTGCAATTTGCTGCCGCTTTGAGACCGCTTTCGGTGCAGGGAGGGGTATAGAAGGGTAAATGCGCCAATCGAAGATATGTTCCAGGCATTTTGCTACTACGGAGAAGGACGAGCGCTACCCAAGTTCTTGTTAGTGTGAAAATTAAAGATAAAAAGGAAGGCAAGAGCCTCGGGAATGGGAAGTACAAACAAAGAAATATGGCCTGGCTGGTATTTCACGATTAGAAATATAAAACAGTGCAAAGACACGGACAAGAACGAGAAGGTGGACAAACAGGGTACTGACTTATAACTGAAGTTTATTTGTGCTAACATCGAGTATAAATACTGCAACTTAAAAACAAATAAACGAACCGAGAGAAAATACACGACACACTGTTACTGTGCGTGCAAGAAGCAACCTTTTTATCGGACAGAGATAGTGATGAAGCGCTTGACATAATGTTGCTTTTTAGATGCACATAATGTGTGACGGTGGCTTAAGGAGCACGTGGCACCTATGTCATGTATTTTCTCTTGGTTTGTATGTTTTGACGTTGCAGTAGTTATACTTGATGTTAGCACGAATAAACTTCAGTTGCAAGTCAGTGCCTTCTTCGTCTAACTTCTCGTTCTTATCCGTGTCTTTGTGCTCTTTTTAATTTTTAATTGTGAAGTAAAAATTAACAAATGAGAGGAGAAAGTAGAATTGAATTAAAATTGAAGTGTAAAAAAACATACAAAATATTACGAAAAGCAAATAGATAGAAATGGCACAAAAATCTGTAGAAAAAGGAAAGAATAGGAGTAGAAATTTTGTATCGACCCGGCCATAGGGACTACGGTTCCTGTAGTGCAGCTCCTTTGCCAACAGTAGCTTCGTTCGATCTGTCTCCTGCCCCGGTGCAGAAAAGTGTAAAGTAAGGTACCTTTGGTCCTATCTAAAAAAAGATTAAGGTACACCTAAGCATTCCGTATGACTTGTGAATGCGAAAGCATGCAAAGCGCTCGTCTGCTTCCTTTTTCGTCTCCTGCGTATTTTTCGTCGCCGTTCAGCGCGTGTGCTCCCCTGGGCAAGGTGACCTTGGACGCTCCGTGTTCAGGGGAGCAATGGCGCGCTGATGGACACACACTGCCATGGGCTGAGCGGTGGTGGAAACTGACGAGTGCAGTGGCCAATGGGAGCCATGTCGACGCGCGCCAGCCAATGGAACCAAAAAATTGGGGAAACTATCTGCCGTTTTCGCGCTTCAAACTGATGACGTCAGCTCGCTTCACGAGACAGTTAATGCTTTTGCATTAATAAATTAGGTTGTGTGTATGTTTAAACAGCCGAGACCTTAGTCTGCCTCAATGGGCAACTTGTCTGCCAGCTGTAGATGAGAAATTTAGCCAGTGCAGTACAATAAAGTCATTAACTTGCACCACGCAGTAGTGATACACGACTGCATGCCGGTACGATGTTCATCCATATCGAAACAGACACGGGTGGTGATTGACCCAAGGGTCCCTGGGTTCTGCAGCGTGAGCTTTCGCTCGACATGCTCCGAGCTGTTGTGCGCTAGCCCAGTCGGCCACCGATCCCCCCTGTGGTCCTATCTCAATAGACATACCAAAAGTAGACTGCCCTGCACTTTTCTGCACCGGTGCAGGTAAATCGAACGAAGCTAGTGCCAGTCCCCAATGATTTTAGCCTCCGAGTCCTCTTGATTGCGGGTCACGATACCACTTCGGGGACTTAGGTTTCGGCAAATAACAGCGTGCATTTGTCGTCTCTAACAAATATCTTATTTGCATTCTTTGCACGTTTACTGCACTAGCCCAGCAGTCCATATCTCCATTTGTATACCTGTAGTTTTCCAAAGAAACCTGAACGAAGGACCTTACTCCTTTCTCGCAGTGTGTGTGCTCCTGCCAGGCATCCACCTGCGCCGGGCCCTCCGGTCGCCTGTTACCCATAAACAGTGCTCCGACGACCCCGCTACTCTCGACGTCGGCCGGCACGCCCAACAGTGCCGGTTTCCCGCGCTCCCCGGACACCTGGCGGCGCTGGGATCCCGGTGACACGAGTGACACCGAAAACGAAGACAATCCGTACGGCACCGTAGACGTGCGGCGCCTCCTGCGCTACCGCCCACCCGCCCCCAGCGCCCGCGCGCAGTCATGCACCACGGAGGACTCGTCCGGGGAGTACGTCACCTTCGAGTTTGCCAACAGTCATGCGCGACGCGAACTCTCCGCCACCTACGGGAGCGAGGGAAGCCTGTCCAACTGCTGTTCCACCGACACGCCCGACTACGCCAACCTCTGGGCGAGGCTGGGGAATGCGGCGCGGAAGGCGCCGGAAGAAATGGGCGCCAAGCCGTCCGTGCGGCGGACGCGGAGCTTCACAGAGATGGCCCGCACGAAAGTCGGCTCGCTGCTGCCGAAGAGGGCGGCGGTTCCAGCCGTGTTGTCCGAGCTCCACGGCTCGCTTTCCGAGCTCGCTGCGAACGGAGTCCAGAACCCCACGGCCGCGGCGACATGGCTGGACCGCCTGGGAGACCACCTGCCGACCGGCGGATGCAGTCGGTGCGGATCGCTGCCCCGTGGCTTCCAGCTTGCGCCAGACGCGCCTCGAGAGCTGTCCAAGACCCAGCAGCTGCGGACGCGCGCCGAGCACCTCAGGCTGCAGCATCCCGAGCAACGTCCCTTTACGATCGCCTCGGACAAGCCAGACAAGGTGGACTTCCTGGACGACCCCGAGAGGTACCAGGAGGTTGCGCAACTCGGAGTGCGTCGCCAGTTGCGCGAGGGACAGGGGACTACGACCGGATGCTCGACGACACCAGCCGCGAGTGTGGAGAGTGTTTCTGCGTCGCCCGTCCACCCGGAGCACAAGATCTACCGCCAGGACGAAGGCCGCTCTTGGAAGAGCGTACTCTCCGGGTTCGGCTCCCGCTTCAGCCAGCTGCGCTCCAGCCTCTCCCCTAGTCACGAGGACGCGCCCGTCTCGGCCGAGTCCGCGGAGGACAAGGGGCGGAGCGCAAGGCTCGAGCGCTTCCCGAGTCGCGAGAGCGTCCGCACCGTCGACTCTCGCACCTCCCAGTCCAAGAAGATCCTGACCTCGCTCAGCAGAGCTTACGCCAGCGTGGTGCGGTCCGCCAGACCGCCCGACCCAACCAGCCCGAGGTTGCACCGGATCCATGGCAGCGCAGCTGCGGCGGCCCGCATAGCGCGGCAGAGGGAGCCAGACTATTTCGCACCCAAGACCATCCTGGCACTCCTGTCCAAGGACATCCGGCCGGACAGCGTCCTCTCGGGCTCGTCAAACCGCACGTCCTCTTCGTCGAGCGACACGGACAAGCTCGCGGAGGCGACGCGGAGCCTGGCAATCCACGAGTCGTTTGTGGACCTCGGGGACGACGCCGAGTCGGACGACAGCGACGCCTCCGCGGACAGCTACTACGAGAGGACGTTCGAGGCCATCGAGAACGTCCTGGCCGAAGAGATGTTCAGGGATTCTGCCATCTACAGTGACCCCGAAGACGCGGACGCCAGTGCCGGCGAGTACGCCTACGAGAAGTCGGTTGTTGTGGAGTCCACCGGCGAACCCTGTGCCCTGAGCACGCTGTGCGTGCGCAAGGTGAAGGGCGCCATCGTGGAGAAGCTGAGGGTGCTCCAGGAGAACTCGACGTTCAAGACGGATGAAGCGGCCAAGCCAGCGGTGGAAGGCTTCAAGTCGATCCAGCAGCGCAGGATGGAACTGGAGCGATGGCGTCGTCAGCGGGGCGAGGAAGCCGAAGACCGGGAGGTTCCGCACGGGGAGGACCCGCCGGCGACGGACACTTCGTCGCAGTCCAAGGGTTGGGTCAAGCATCTCGTGGACAGGTTTCAGACCGGAACGTGACCAGACGCGTTTCTCCGAATGTCGTGCCAAAAACTGACCGCAGGGTCGACAGCCCAGCCAAACTCCTTTTCTTTCTGGCCACTTTTTTTCCTCAGTCTGGTAACACTCCTAGTCACAACTCCTCGGCCAGGGTGCAGCCATTTCTCGGCCAGTGTGCAGCAGTTTTGAAAGCGGCATGGAGACGAGGCGTGTCGCAGCCGTACATTTAGCGGTTTTGCGGAAACCATATTTTTGTGCATGTTGCCACTCTTCTGGGAGCATTTTTTGCAGTTGCAACGCTTACCATGTCTGCCACCGTCGAGTGCCATGGTTCTTCAAGCCCTCCGTTTGTTGTCTGCTTTCTCACGCTCGTTGGCTTTCCTCGGCGCCCCTAGGTCGGCGTCCCTTTTATGAGAAACGAAACCCGCTCGAATGCAGGCTTCGCCCATGTTCCTGAGGCAGTTACGCTGGTCTGAGAGTAGTATTTATCCATAAACAGATGAGCTATTTAGCTGGTGGAAAGAGAGAGCAAGAGTGACATATTTTTTCAGCGTGAGTTGCAATCCTGTGTGGCTGCCTTCAACTTCCTAATGGTCTCGAGCGAAAAATCGGTAGAAAGTTGCCCCCTTCCCAGTGCCTCGGCCGAGGAAGGTCGTCCAAAGATCCGGAGGACAAGCAATGTCAAACACCGGGCAGAAGAGCCAAACCCCAATGTAGCCGTCTTTCCTATAGGATTCCTCGTCCTGCGTTCATTTATACACGACTCAAATGTGTTCATAAAGAGAACTTGGATCAGCTTTTGGATGTGGTCCCTCACTTTTTATGGATGGGTGGAAAGGATGGTGCTTCACGGAGCCGCCAAGTAACACGAGAGAGCACATCGACACCCTGAGGTCATCTAAGAGGTGGCTCTGGAACTGCATTTTACTAGAGCAAAAGTTTTGCGGTATTTGAGAGATCAAGTGTACCTACTATTTATAAAAAATGGTTATTTATAACATTGTCTAAAGTTTTTCGAGCCAATAATGAAAGCATAATGCCTGAAAAAAAAAAAAAAAAAAATATATGAAAATTGCGAGTTCCGCCGCTACCCGATAGAGGTCACCAGTGCATCCTCTTGTAAGAGATCACGAAAGGTTGTAATCGGTTGCAAGTGTGGGAACGAGTCTTTAGTTCACCTGCTAAAATAACCCAAAACGATGTAACCTTTGTGGCTCGTTTTGAGCCTGTCAGATTTCACGTGTGGCGATCTCCGTAAATGACTTAATTTTCGCGGGAATCGGTACTTTGCGATTTTGGTTATGCGCTGCAATCCATTTGCATAGGGGCGATATATTTGCGAGATCAAGTTTTTGCAATGTTTTTCTAATTAGGAAACCTGCGGAAATTAAGTTCTTTACACTATGTAACACCTATAAGTTCCAATCTGATGCTTGATTATTTTTTTTTTTTTTTGTATTTGGTGTTTATTGACAGCATTAGAGGAAAACTTTTTGATGGATGACAAGGTCAACCACCCGTTGCTGTGAGCCTAGCGAAGACGAAGGCGATTAATAAATTGTGAACGATCGCATTTAGTTGTTGCAAAATGTCCTAAAATGAAAGATCGGAAGCGGAAGGCTTTAGGCCTGCGAATTGCAGGGGCGTTCTTCGACCAATCGAGATGGAAGGTATACAGCTTCGATCGTGACATGAGAAACTGGAACGTGAAGCTCTTGCCAGGCTAGCGACGAGCAGCTCCTGCCACTTCCTCGGTGTGCGGTGGTGATGTCAGGAAGAAAACTCGACAAAAATGACGGACAAAACCAATTGGCCGTCTTTTTGGCATTTTCCAAAGGGGTCCTAGTGCGTAGCATTTATACGGCCTCCTCATGCTTTTGTGGGTGCAGTTCGGAGGCCACTCAAGCTCATACTGGGGGGGGTTTTGCGAATGTATAAAGCTGTCGGTGTCTTGTGACATGTCACGTGGCTGCATGCCACAAACACTTTGCAGAGATTTCGAGCTCGAGGGCCGTCGTCGCCACTATGGAAAAACCCTTCCCTCCACTCTTGGCCAGAGGCGAGGGAAGTCGGGTTTTCTTGTCGGCCGCGGAGAGGGGAGCTCCCTGCCAGTAACGATGCGACCGAGAGAAAGTCTTCCTGTCGTCTGCTTCAAACACTTGTTTTCAAACATTACTTGCATTAGACGAAATCCCGCTCTGACAATATCCAGTTGCTACACGTGATGTTGGATGGTTTTAGAAACTTCCACCGCAATTATCCACTTACTCCACGGATCACTCGGATCCGGTGGCGGTTGTCCGTGGCATCCACGACGCCAATCACGACGGCTATGAAAATTGACCATGTTGCTCCTCCGTCCTCAGGTATGTGACGGCACCATTCAACCCGCATAGCACAACCGTGCTAAAGCTATTGCTTTCATTTCTTTGTGCATTGTGGGCGAAAGATGACTTCTTCATTCTCCCGTTGTAGCTCATATTGTCCAAGACTATAGTCTTGGACAATATGAGCTACAACGACCCTCCATGCTTCCTTGGCACAAAGTCTCGGTCGAGAGCAGAGACGGAACATCCAAGTTTAGGGGTCATTCTTTGAATGCGAGAGAAAGGGGAGGGTGCGGGACTGCAGGTGCAAGAAAGGCACGTGAAGCCCAGTGTGGCAGGTCATATTCCCTCTGGGTAGTAACTACTTCACTAGTCAAGGTACCATACTAGATTTACAAGCTGAAACTTCGTGCAGAAAGTAATCTTTGCGTACAAACCAGTATTAAATGGCCCAAAATCCTGCATCGCAAGCAGCAGCTCATCGGACCAAGCAAGATAATAGCCATTATAACTACTTCGGGATGTGATTGATCGGAGTCATTGTGGAGCAGCTCTTGGAGCAGTCATGTCAATTTTAGAGCAGTAAAAAGAGCTTTAAATGCGTAAGTGCACCATTCATTTTTATTTATATCGCTGCAAATATTAAGATTCATGTGTTGGCCTGGCCAACTAAGACAATATCTTCTTTGCTTTCTCACTTCTGTGTAACCTTTTTGTAGCATCAATTGCATGGCACGAATGGTTCCCTCAAAGACCGGACTAGCGGTTTAGTTGGGTGAAGAAACACCACACACAGTAACGAGATGACTGATGAAGGACAGCAGAAACTCACTAAAATAATGTTAAAAAACAATATTTTCGAGCACTTAAATTTGTTTTCTTGAAGTTCTAGAGGTTGTAATAAAACTGCAATTCTTAATTCAGATCAAGAACAATGCATAAAAAATAAACTCGGGAAAAGTTTCTATAAATCTTGCAATACTGGAGTATCCTCGTTAAATCTTGCATTGGAAAAATATGCCACCAGGATATCGCAGCCTATTGACATACAAGTCAGTTTTATTCAGGAATTTTGCCACGTCTTGCTCTGGAGGAGTGCCTTCCCCCTAACATATGGGTGCACTGCAGAGAAGCAAGACCTGCAAAATCGCAACGACTATCTGTGCCCGCAGTTGTCACTTCACTGCAGTACACCAGCAGGCGGTGGGAAGTGCATTCCACAAAACTAACCCGCCAGAAGAGACCATGAACATGAGAACTACTTTGAAACTTCAGAGTGCTGTCTGTGTTTGACGCAAAATCAAATCGAATATAGTATGTTACCCGAGGTGAGTATAGAAATTTGCTCAAACCCGCACAGTCGTCTCAACGATCCGGCCAGGTAGCGAGGCCTGAGCTATTTGTTAAGGCCTTGTATGCCTCATCGTTCAGTCAACCTTCAAAGCCCTCGAGCGAAAACATTTCAGCGACACGAAAGGTACTAAAACATTTACGTGACCACTCGGGCGAATTACAGGCAATGAAATTTAGAAGGATGACAAAATGAATTGAGAGGAATCAAAGTGATTTAAAAGGAATCAAAGTGAAGAAAAATTAAAGTGAATTAAGAGCAACTAAAGAGAAGTAATGGGAAATTAAGGACTATAAAGCAAATGAAGAGGAATGAAAGTTGAGTAAGAGGACTACGAGCAATTGTGTGCGTGAAACCTGGATATAACATGAATCTGAGAATATGAAAAAGAGAATGTGAAAAAAAGTAAATCACGTGCCTCTCTTTAATGCGTCAGCGCTTGGGCTTTCGCTTTCAAGTCGTGAGACCGTGAAACATAAGAGACCGTGAATTTTTTTAGTATTATTAAAGAGAAATGAAGTTTTCGGGCAATGTTGGCACAAATTTCTCACATTTTTTGGCAAAATGTGGAGGGATGTAGTGGGGTAAGCCCCTTAGCACAAATGGTGTAGAAATCGCATCACTACACTTCTACGAGTAACGTAGGGTGCAAGGTGCAACCCCGGTGTCGGGTGGCATACTTTTGGTTTGCGTTTTAAAATAAGCTGCACTCTTCAATCGAATTGGGTGCAGGTGAAAGCATATCGAATAGGCCAGTAAATTGCAAAGAACACGCACACTTTTTCTCTTAAATAGCGAAATATTTATTACGGTGTGGGCATACACACACAAAACACTCAAAATCTCCTTTCATAAAATTGGCAAAACAATGCGTGTTTGTATTTCTAAGCAAGTGTAGCTATGGCCCTAAACTTGCGATGTGTCCAAGCTCCTATGACATGTTTACACCAGCTGTAGAAAAACAGCATCAATGAGCTCGCAGGATGCACTGACAAGACCAAATGTCAATACTACGAAACAATTTGTTCCAGGATGTCTCGACACTGCCTACAAGTGAGAGTACTTTGTGGTACTATATGAAATATATGCATACCGGTTAAGTGTAAAAATAGGCTTCTTATGTCAATGGATTACTGCAAAACAAAACAAAAAAAGCAAATGTTCCTATTAAGCTTGGTGGTCCCTTCAAAACATGCACTAACAGGGCCACTAAAATAGGTTGTTGTTTTTACAAGACATAAATGATTGGTTTTCCGGTAGTGGCACCTAAACACAGAGTATGAATGAAAAATTGTATCATAAAACAATACATGCGACAATATTTCAGCGCTCCCTGTTTTACTCCAATTCGCAAGGTGTGATGCCGCCAAGGAAAGGCGGCTCATCCATGTCACACATGCAGAGGCGAGCTCTACAACAATGGTTGCCTGCATGGTACTTGTAGACGTTGCACCGTTTTTGATTTAAAAAAACGACTTTAGAGTGACCGATTTGTTGTGGTGCTCATGGTATGCAGCATCAATGCTATGAAAGAAGGGACACGCAAGAAATGCTACGACGGACAGAGCAAGGCTATGAAAATGTACACGCGTGGAACTATAATTGGTACGACCCACCACCTACTACATGCGTACGAGGCTTCACTATAAATTTATTCGCTATATTTTTGTTTTCGAGTAGCAAAATACTTTAATGAATTCGGGTCAAGATGTGGCATTGAGAGCCACAGCAGTGTGTAGGCAGTTTGCACGTCCTAAAATAGTGATGCATCTACCATTGTTTTGTGGGTGGCATTCTTGTTTGCTTAGCAATTTCTACAATTTTATCACGAGCCAACTTTGTTGGAAATACATGGCTCGCACGTGACGCCGGTCCGCCTCTCTTTCTGATGGCCAGAAGCGCCTGGTTAAGGCTGCCCCCTCGCGCGCCCTTTCCCCCGTTATGTGTGCCAAAGTGACGTTGGTGCGGGCTACGTAGTAGACAGAGGATGCTGAATGTATGAAGCTAAAACCTGCGCCGCGCATTTGCGAAGAATTCAGTACAATATCTGCGAGCCGTGTCAAATGTGTACATTTTTACGACCTCACACTTTTTTATTTTTTTTCTCCCCTTTGTCTAATCACAAGTTCACACATTGGGAAATTCGACCATGAATACCAAGTGGGCCTCTCTGCTTCTTCCATTATACATGCAAGAAGAACAGTAAAGTAAGACACTTCTCCCACTCCCTTTTGATGCGTTTGACTAGGTGACACGTTACATACAGCAGCTAGCCAAAGTAAACAGACTCAACGCCGTCTTCTGAGACGCCGATATACATGGGTGGCACACTCGCAAGCAGTTTTGCTCCACAGACGGGATAGGAATTCTGCGATGGCTGCATTCAACTTGTCAAGAACTATTCAACCACCACGAATAAAATGAATGCAGAAACCGTTAGTGGTGCGACATAGTGACTATAACAGATGACGGACGTGTCAACACCGTCTTAACTCAAAGCTTGAGCCACGGACAACATGTAGGGCGAGGCATTTCATACGTCGCACCACAGGTACCATCCCACGGCTAAATTTTCTCCACTGTCACGAGGTTCCCAATAACGAAGGAACCAAAGTGTGTCAGTCCATACATTCCCTTGGACTAAGCAACCTGGAAAGAAAGTTTGCTACACCTGGTCGGACGGGAAATTGGCCATGATGCGGGCAATTGCGATCGGCACACCGTGGTGTGGTATTCGACTGGCACACTGATGCAGGTGCTAGTTACCAGCTAATCGTGATCGTCACACTGTGATGTGCATGATGTATGCACAATGATATGCACGATCATGATCAGCTCATCATAATTGGTGAATTTATTTGAGTGATCGTTAACATCCAATCGCGATCGGCCCATCATAGTCTACACACCGATGCGGGTGATCATTAGCGGCGCATCGATGGAGGTGAGTGCTATCGGCCAATTGTGATCGGCACACACCGATGTGGACAATCGTGATCGGTCCATTTCTTGATGCAAGGCCGTGGGGGTATACGGACCTCGAGTCTTTTGGGCAAACTTTGTCGGCGGGCAGGCGGACGGGTCAGTTGCCCATGTGCTCCTCGATGCCGTCGCTCTCCGTGACCAGGGCCCTCTCGAGGATGACGCGGCCCTCCTTGTAGCGCTGACTCTCCTCTGTGGCAAACTCGTAGATCCAGCCCAGCTTGGTGTCGCAGTTCTTGCAGGACACATCGCGTACCATGTGCCGGCCCGTCAGCATCACTCGGTCCTGCACCTCACTGCACCGGAGAGGAAGCTCACTTATTGAAGGGCCACCGACAGCCATAACATTCATGGTGCATTATCCTCAAAATTCAGTTTGGAAATGGCCTATTTGCGGATAAAAATATAATTTTAAAAAGCAAGATTTGGAACTCTCGGCTGAATTAATGAATGATGTAAATGGCAAAATGGTGCACTTTGCGCTTTTTGAAGGACTTCAAACCAGAAGTGTGATTTAGACGGCAACTCTAAACGAAAACGACAGCAAAATAAATGACTGGTATCGCTTTCATGGCATGAAACATGATTGCAACCGATATATTAAGTCAAGTGGAGCCGCAGGCTCCACTTAAACCGATTTTGAAGATGCGACCAGCTGGTCTTTAGCGGGCGGCAAGCAGGTTATCTTTTAGACGGGAAAAATTGGCGCAGTATCCCCGTGATGTCAAGGTGCGGTTGATTGGTTGTACCACAGCACCACGATGATGTCACGTGTTGCCATCTCTCCAGCAGATAGTTTCGATCTTGCCGTAGACGCCCGAAACCAAATTTTTTTGCTGTGATACTGTATTTAAAAAAACCACACAATACCAGAAAAAAAAAAAAAAGATACCTTGTAAGTTGAGGACACTGCTTTAGCTGAAAACAGTCGTAATCCCAAATTCAGAAATATTGAGCAAAGTTGCCCTTTCCTTCCTTCTCAACAATTGGGGCAAATTAATTTTATTCCGAGGCATGCCTGTCCTAACCAGGTGAAAATGTTTTTTTTCCTAGGTTCAGTATTTTTTTTAAGGAGGACACATACCCGAAAAACACAGTTTTCTATGAAGGAAGGAAATTTTGGTGCAATATTTATGCCACGCGACACAATTTAGATGGAGATCATGGCCCACTCTAAGCCCTACCCACATATCAGTGGCCATGCCCATTACTACTGGATTGGCTTGGTTGCTTAGCCAAACACGTAAGCAAGCCTAATGTGTCTCTGTCACGACATCTGGTTCTCTAGTCTGGATCCATTTGCTACTCATGTGAGCTGTGGTGTCCGGAAGCGTACTCCATCCTCCGCTACTCTGCCTGTCTGTAGCGTCTGCAAGACGCGTCCAGGGAAAGCTGCACTGTGGTGTCCTATCGTGCACAAGCCATGGTTCAATACAGGCGTCTGTCAGCATCTGTCAATGCGCACTAAAAGGCATCTGAAAAACTAAAATACATCAACAAAATAAAGTTTTTTTTTTTCTAGCTTTTCTGTACTTGTTTTCTTACATTGCATCCAAGAGCAAGGTCAGTGAGCAACACGATGCAGTCAAAATGCACCTAAATCTATTTGGCTTAACAAGCCAGGTGCGCCGCACAAAACTCTGAAACAAAGTGACAGGAAGGAAGCTACACGTAGAAATTTCACCAGGTAAAATCTGCTACCTTCGACAAAAGTTTGAGCTTCCTTCCCTCCAGCAGATGCCACGTTTTGCAGTGTCAGGATTTACCGTGATGCTTCCAGCCCACCTGTAGTTGAGGTTGACCACTTTGTTGAACAGGAACGCCCTCCCCGTGGCGCCCGTGAACCGGGTGCTGATGAGCTCATTGCGATTGGTCAGCACGGTGTCGCAGCTGGCGCAGGAAAACAGCCGTGCACCGCCAATGTGCTCCAGGAATATACGGCCCATTCTCGGCCCTGCGATTGTGAAAATGAAAACATCAGTTGCCAACGTTCGAAGCTTCGAGAAAAAAAAAAGAACGAGTAAAGGCTAGATCAAGCATTTGCTTTTGAGTGTGCTGCGATTGCCCACAACCCAGTTATAACTGCTTATAACCAATCATCACATTGCTGCCATCTATCGGGTGGCACCGGAACACCTTCAATTTCCGCGCACATTTTCTAGTCTTTTATGGACCATTCTTTCACCGTGGGCTCGGAATAATTGTAACAATGTTGTAAGCAATATTTCTTGTAGAGAGTGCATAGATTTGATTTCGCAAATACTGTAAAGCCTTATAGGCAGATTGGAAGTGTTCCGGGGCCACCTCATAGATGGCACCACCTTGTTAATCATGTTGTACCCAAGACTGTGGGGCAGAAAAGGAAAAAAGAAATTTTAGTCGAAGCAACAGACATGGAAGGGAACATCTACCACCACTCGCCTGCGCATTTAGTCTTTTCTATACAGAGCCCAGATTTGAGAGAGCAACTTAGACAGTGAGAAGCGTTTGCAACTTAATGGGGGATGCCTCCTGTGCCGTGAGTGCGCCGCGTTTTGGGTGGCGGGGAGGAAAGAGGCCGAGACGCCCGCAGACGCCGCCGCCTCGCAACTCGTACAGCATACGCGGCCGTAAACCGCGCGACCCCGATTGCGCGGTTGGAAACTCGGAAATATGGACTCTCGGCATTTTCTCGCCGGAGGTAGTTACGAGCAAGGATCGCACTCTACAGCAAACGTGTGAACCCGCCTTTACCTCGGCAGTGAGACGGATCTTCTCGAGTCGGTGTCACGACTCTAGTGTGCCTAGATTTCAGATGTTGGATCTGGGTGACGTTTACGGTGCGAGTTTCCCCCTCTCTCGAACCAATGCGGAGCGCAAATTCGTCCGCTTTTGCAGGGATTGTGACAGGGGAACGTCGAGCTCCGATATGTTTCGATCGAAGGATAGTGGGTAGACCTTGAGGCAGCTTGCTTTGGGATCCACCCACTATCCTTCAATCGGAGCCAATCGGAGCTCGGCGTTCCGACGTTACCGCAACCCCTACAAAAGAAGTGTACAAACTTGCACTCCGCATAGGCTCTTCACGCAACTCTGGAGGAGGCGACGTGACCCGCTGGCAAAGACGCGACCTTCGGAAAAAGGGAGCTCATGCCTGTCAAAACATGTGGTAAAAACTTAAACGACCTGGTGGCAACAATGCGAAACGGAGCAGTGTATACTGTTGGAGTGGGACGCCGCTAAGCAACGGTAAATACACTAAATGTTCGCAAAGCACCGGAGGGGTGTCCACTGGAACCGAAACATGCCACATGGTTTCATTTGAATGTTTCTCGCGTGTTCACGATGTGGGGATTCCTCTGGTCTTCCTTCCCCGATGGCTGCGACAACGGCCGCAGGTCGGAACACTCGGCTTCCTTCGCCGTGAGCTCCGACCTGTTCGTGAGGCGGAGGGTACCCTGTCTTAGGGGGGCCCCCCTCCCACTCCCTCTCGGGGGGACGGATTTCCGTTCCCCCACTCGGATCACGGCTGACAGGCGAGGAGGTTTCGCCTCTTGTTTTCCCGCTTTCGGGAAAGAGACTCGTCCGGGTGACCGCGAAAGAGATAGGACGTGTGTCGGCGACTTCTCCGATGCTTCCCCGGTCTTGGCTCTCCGGAACCCCGCGTCTGGCCAGGTAAGGACCTTTTCTTACCTTGCCGGCGCAAGGGGGTAGTTTGGATGGGGACATAGTAGTTCATTTTAAGAGTGTTCTAATGAATGCTCTTGAACTCTATCCTTACTCTGGTACATGTGTCTTATCTTCCGCTATATTCGAGAGAGTGAGACAAGGTAGACGATCATTGGCACCGACGGAGGTAATTAATCGAACCAACCCGCAGTAATGTAGCCCTAAACGTCGTCTACATTGCCGCGGAGATGTGGGGACCGCGCTACTAGGTTAGACGTCTCTTTTGAGATATCGCCGCTGTTGAGACAACCCTTTGGTTACTCTATCGGTACCTGTGTTGGTAGCTAGCAAAATCCCACAACATATAGGCTGATGCTTGCACCCCACTAGAGGTACACAGCTTCAACAAGGCGGTAAGTTGGGCTAGTTGGTTGAACATCGTCAAACGTGAAAACAGCGCAAAAAATTGAACAAAGGACAAGTGAAAGAAGTGCACGGACAAAGCGCTGTTGCCGGGAACATGCCCCGAGCAGCACATTTCCCTCCGCATGTACTTTTAAGCGCAACATCCGTCTACTTGCAAGCACACTCATTTTGTCTCCACGTCATTGGCATTATACTCGGACATAACGACGCTAATCAGCTGTTCACAATGAAGCCGGTAAAGTAGACGAGCTTCGCCGGAGTTAAGATGGACAACACAAGAACGACAGAAACTTCCTCCGAACTCATTTTCTGGTGCCAGTGGACAAACTAGTGCTAACGCCTTACTAAACGCGAACGATCCCTTCATAAACTGCAGGTTCAGCTCATATGCTGTGCTTTAATTAATGAACTTGGACACTCTGCAAGTCAACGCAACTGAATTCACGGAATTTCTGTAGCATCTAACACGCTGCCATACTATAACAGCGAATTAAGCATGCTCACTGCTTTTCCAGTGACACTCGGAGCTGTGGACAGGCGACACTAAAACAGAATCCGCGCAGGACTCCGCGACACACACTCAAAAAAACAACTTGTCACCGTCAGTTCTGCCGAGCTGACACGGCATGGTTAACGTACATACGTACACAGTTACTACGCACGCGCTCGCGTGCTTCTATAATTCTATCGAATCACTGGAAAATAAATATTCCAGAACCTAGAAAGCTACCAAGCGGTTTAATCGCGCGTTCACTGTAACCTCGGGGATTTGGTTCCCAAACTGAACAACGAGAATGCGGGTTAGGGCTCTCGACATTTATAAGTCGGAGGCTTACCGATCAGCGGTGAACGCGACGTCCACAACTCCCAGCTTACTGTTGCCGAGTAACCGCTGTATTCACGACGTGCAGGACTGTAAACACTCGGCCAGCTCAGGTCAAAACACTACGGACAAACACCGCACCACCATCGGAAACTAGCAGCACCAGATAGCAACACATGACGTCACAATCATATGTTGTCTGTATCCTTTCCCTTTTACCGTTGCCGTTGCCTTTTACGCCTTTTACCCTCTTTTACTTATATTATTTTTAACACTTTACTCAATCCTTTTGAGCTTTGTGTGTCTTAAAATAAAAAAAAAACTGTCCAATTATTATTATAATAATTAAAAATTAAAAGAAATAATAGATGTAACATTTAGCCCAAAACAGCGTTACGTTGGTTACGTTTAAAACGAAACAAAAACAAGAGTGATAAGAGTTAATCCACTACAATCCATTTCCACATCCAGAATCCAATCCAATGATCTAATCACAAACGTTTTTAAGATGGCGTCGACTCGTAGGCGCGTTGTGCAGACCGAGGATTTATCGAACGTAGAGTTTGAAACCAGCGAAGATGTGGAAGTCATCCCGACATTCGACGCAATCGGACTCAGAGAAGACCTTCTTCGTGGAATTTATGCCTACGGTAAGCTGTGATGCGTGCTCCGAGTATGCGAAATCACTGGGCCTAACCTCACCTCACTGAATGGCGTCTTCGCGGCCATTTCCGATGCGTCGCACGTCGAAAGCACGACCATAATTCAAAGCCCGGTGTCATTGAATGCTCGCTCCCCCTTCGTATCTGTCTAGAGTCGTTATATTCGAGAGTAATCTTAAAAGAGTTCCGTGTTCGTTCGCTATGCCACCCCTGATGGTGGCATGGCTTACGTAAGGCAGTTTTTGCCGGCCGTCCTGTCGAACGTCCCTGGTTTTGTCGCGGACGTCATTTCCATGTGCCCGCGTATGTAGCTTCCTTTAAAGCTACTCGAGGCGTGGCAGAGCTCACTTAATAAAGCTTTGCGGCACGCGTCGCTGTATGTTGAACTGACGTTGGCGAGTCCGGCAGGAAGAATCTTGCGCACAACGGACCGTCGTGTCGTAGTTGTGGACAGCGATCTCAGCACCAATATGGTGCCTCGATCGCGTCTTTGACTGGTGTGTTTAGCGCCCTATCCCGCCCATACATCAAAAGTGGTCCCAATGTGGCAACAAATGACACGGGTGTCATGCTGTTGCCTGTCGCGATCCTGGCGGCTGGCCGTAGAAATGCTGGCGAAAAGTACGAGCGAACGCGAGTGTCGCTGTCGTCACGGCGTCGCTTTAGGCGTCCCAACTTCCGGTTGCCGTAGCTTCCGTGAACTGTCACAATGGAAAGCGACCTGCAGCAGAACAGGCGGCTGCCATTTTTACCACAACTGTTGAGACGCCACCAGGGTCGCAACCGGCGACAGCATGACACTTTTATGACGTCATCAGGCGGAAATCGAGGGACCACTTTTTTGGCCGCGGTAAACACACCAGTCGGAGACGCGTTCCAGGCACCATAGCACCACGGTTGCCGTAATGCAAGCTATGTTGTCGTTAGACGGGCGCGTGTATCAGCTGTCCGCAAGTGCAGAGCTGCCCCGCTGGAAAGAAGAGCAGAGCTCGGCGTTCCGACGTCACCACAACCCCTGCAAAAGAAGCAGACGAACGTGCGCTCCGCATAGCCAGCGTCATTAGATTAGCAGCTCAGTTTCGGAACTGCTCATAGACTCTGCTTGCCCGAGCAGTACCCCCCCTCACTCACCACCACTTGCCTCCCGTCGCTCGATGCGCTGGAATGCTGCTATAATAACTGCAGTGGATTCTAGGGAATACATACATTTCGAAGCACAGCGTCTAGATGGCGTTCAAGGTCTGCTCTATAGAACAGTTATGAAACAAAAATCTAGATGGGGCTTCAAACGATGGAAGGCAGACTGAAGTGAGTGATGGGGGTACCCCCTTCCGCGCGAGTTTCACAACTGAAGTAATCTAGTAAAGTTGGCATAGCGGAGAGCAAGTCGTCTGCTTCTTGCGGAGGGAATCGCAGTGACGTCAGAACGATGCTGAGTTCTGATTGGCTTTGGTTGGGAGGATAGTGGCTAGATGCCTTGAGGTCTACCCTCTATTTTTTTTTTTTCAATCAGTCAATAAGATCTCGGCATTGTGACATCATCGCAACCCCTGTGCAAGAAGCAGCCGAAATCGCGCTCCAAATTGCAGTCCAGCGACAGCAATATCAGCCAAGTGCTCCTCCCCTTCGCTGTAGCGTCGTTGCGTGACAGGAAGCAGAAGGGACTTTTGCAGTTCTCTTACCCGCTTCTTCGCCCAAAGGTGCAGCGAGCATGTACGTAGGAGCCGCGAAACACACAACGCCAAGATGCAATCTGCATATATGGGTTATTTATTAAAACTTCGAATTGAGAGTTCTGCAGAAATCCACAATCTGTATATTGAAAACAAGACCAAAACGTGTTTGTATTTGGTGCTGATTGGGTATAGTCAAATTCACGTAAGAGCTTATCGTGCGTTTTATTTATTCTGTAGGAGTGTGGTGAGCTGGGCTAGTTGTTGTGACGACAGGTGGAACATAGCGGTGCACAAAGGACGAGATCAAAGGAATGGAACTCGCAGGCACCTGTGTGTTCCTTTCCTTTGTCCTCGTCTTTTGTGCGCTGTAGCGTTGAGCGGGTTTCTTATTGATTGCATGAGGGGAACACCCAATGAGGAGCAGTTGTGTGCATCTCGAGGGTGGTGCAGTGAGCAGAACAAAGAACAGGCGGAATGCTAAGCACCGAACATCATTAACCCTGTGGACGTGTTCTGTGCGTACGTCTTGAGGACAATGCGCCTTGCGTTTAACTACACAAGCACCCAAAAGAATGCTGGGAATGTTGGTGCGTGCCTGAGCCTTATCACTTGCAAAGGTTCCCTGTGAAAGACCCAGGTAAGGGGCTGGCAAATGCGTGTCTCAAGTATCATTCGCTTTAGCTTTCTGCTTTGTATTGAAGTCCGAAGGAGATGCCCTGTTCTTTTTATCCTGTCAGTTGCCATAGCACAATTACTAGTTGCAATAACAGTCGTCTCTGGTCGTCGGGGAGGTCCTTCAATTGTCTTGCCTCCAGCGCAAGCTTGTTAGCTGTAAGTATAAACCAGTAAAGAAATGCACACACGCTCCCCATTGATATGTACGGTCGATGTCTAAACGGAAAACGGCCACGTGTACGTTTTTCAGTTTTTGCAAAAGCGTACGCCTTCTTTGCCGGCATCTGCGGTATCCTGTTTGAACGGCCCTCCAACTTCGTCTGCCCCAGTCTTTTTTCATTTATGAGATGTTTTGTTAACCTCCCCACCTATTTGAAACACAAACTCACAGCCATGTGCTCTTTCCCACTTCAGGGTTCGAGAAGCCGTCAGCCATCCAGCAGCGCTCCATCAAGCCCGTCATCAAGGGACGAGACGTGATTGCCCAGTGCGTACTAGAGACCACTCTAGTGCATTACAGTCACCAACATTCTAAAGAGACCATGAAGTGTATTTTGGGCTGGCATAAATGATTTTAAAGTGGATTTCACTAATCACATATCATTTAGTGGGCTGAAATGAAACTAATACATGAAAGTAAAAAAACAAAAATCTGCTAAAAATAAATGTTTCTTTTTTGTTTGATTTTTTAAAGGTTATTCTGGCACTATGCCACACTGCCTGGTGATAGTTACAAAACGACAGAAGGAAAGGAAATTGCAGGGGAGAAAAAAATTCTAATTTTGTTTCTAGGCTCGGTGGTGCAAGCTACTACCTATTACGAAAGGTAAAACCGTTACCGTACATCCATGCTTCTTGGTACGAAAATTTGAAAATATGATGGACTATTTCCTACTTTTATTCCTTTGAAAGTTCTTTGCCTTTTCACTGCAATGCATCCGCGGTGTCCAAGGACGTCAGCCGAAGCGAGCTCACGCATTGGACATGAGCACTGCGTCGTTTGGATATACGCGCTCGTCAACAATTGATCTGTCGAGAAACGTTTGAATTCGCGTTTGTGACCTGTGAGTGCCGCGACGATGCTCGTCGTCATTTGTGAAGGACAAGTTCTGTGGTGTGCCTAAAGGGCCCCTGAAAAGAAGAAAAATGCTTTTTTAAAACAGCGTGTTAAAGTAATTTTATGTGTCCAAAAAAATTTTTAGAGCAATATTGACGGCGAGAAACTTAATTTAAATTCTGCGCACAAAGTTCGGGACGTCACGGGATGGTCATACACTCAACGAGATGGTCAGTCGCTCTTTCCACCTCAACGTGAAGGCGATGCAGATTCACCTCCATGTGCCCAAAAGGCCGAGAGAGAAAACAAGTGGAAAGAGGGGGTGACTATTCACTAAATCGCATCTCACGCCGTCAATATTGCTGAAAACAAATTTATTTTTTTTCGCGTAAAATTGTTTTTTTGACACGTCTGTCCCTAGCAAACTGTTTTAAAAGAAAATTTCTTTCTTTTTAGGGGGCCCTTTAAAAAAACGCTAAACCTGAGAGTTTTCTTTTTTCCATGTTCCAAAAGGAGTTTGTTGAAAAAATATTTTTGCCCAATTTTGGCTAAAAACATTTTCGTTACAATACAAATTTTTCGATTAGTGAATGAAACCGAAATCATACCCCTGTGGGATGATGATGATGGCATTTGTACCTAACTAGTTGGCGCTCTAAGGTTCAGTGAACTCTGAGCGCACACAAATTGGGTACAAACACTATCATCATCATTCCACGGGGGTGCAATTTTGGTTTTGCCCACAAATCGAAAAATTTGTATTGTAGCACAAATGTTGGGCAAAACATATAATTTTTTTTTTTTTCAACAAACATTTATTTTGAGAAATGCCTGTCCTGACTAGACAGAAAAACAAATTTTTTTTCCCTAAGTTTAGTGTTTCTTTTAAGGAGCGCACTGGAAGCTTGCAGTATCGCATCTGGTGAAAAACTGCATCATGACCACACAATTTCTCGTTTGAGTTGAGGAGGAAGAAATGGTAAAATCATGTCGTAATCCCTTAAAGGGGCGGTGCAACGATATTCAATCGGAATGTTTTTCACTTTACACGAGCTTACTGGCACTAGTGGGACTCAAGGATAATCGCACGCTACGCCACTGGCCAAGCAAGTTCTTTGTTGCGCTGTAATTTCGAGGAAAAAACCGAGTGTTTTCATACAATCTCTTCTTCGCAAAACCGGATGACGTAACTGGGCGGTAGCAGTACCGCCCAGTGACGATATTTGAATGCGGTTCATAGATTGGGACCCGAGCATGGTGTGGACACTAGATTTGGGCTCGTAATAATTGATAGCTCGACGTGAATTCGGGTAGTGGCCCGTGTCCAATCGCTGCAATGACGACAACAGCCGAACCATAACAATGTCTGGAACGCGTGTCCTGTGCCCTGCCAACCCCAGCGCGTGGCTATGATCAACATTGGCGGCATATAATCGGCTCCAGATCACGTGGCCGCTTGTTCTGGCTGCGAGTTGAGGGGGTGAACTCTGCTCGTTTTTCTTTATTTTTTGCGCAAAATACAAAAATCGTTGCATCGCCCCTTTAAAGTCGCTCCACAGCCAAGAGCGAGGGCCAGTAAGAACGCCCAAGAATGTATTGGGAACCAATAAGCGTGAATGTAAGGAGGCAAGCCCCCTCGTTTCTTAGGAAAGAGCTCCTGTGGTTTCTTGAGCTACCCAGAGAGATTTTTGGAATACCCAGACTCTTTCTGGCATGCTGTTTATTATCTCTGGACTTAAAATAGCTATTGGGGAAGCGGCCAATGAAGGTGATGCCAAAGTTGGTATTCAAATCTTTCCGCACACTCGAGCAGGGTGACCTCGCACGTTGCATAACCTGTAGGTCGAGCAGGCAGTCTAAGAAACGCAACACCTTGCTGGTGTTTTTCTTGCTGACGCGAGCTTATTCCACATTCATTTCAAACCATCAAACTTCTTGTAGCCCGTTGGCAATGAGCCGTAGTGCTCCCATGTTACATCCTTGACGTCACATTCGCAGCGTTGCCGATAGAACCTCCCACAAAAGGTATTGTGACTCGTGATTTCGGTGTCTAGTTAAAATGTGTGTAGTAATGGGTAAGACCAATTTTGAGACGAGTTAGTGGCTGTAAAAATGATGCTGGACGAGCTGCGCAGTAACGAGTTGGCTGTAGAGGTACGTTCATGTTGTCGTTTTCCCTCTGCAGGGCCCAGTCCGGGACGGGCAAGACGGCCACCTTCTCCATCGGCGTGCTGCAGACCATCGACACCCAGATGCGGGAGACCCAGGCGCTGATACTCTCTCCCACCAGGGAGCTGGCCGGACAGATCCAGAAGGTGGGCACTACTGGAGGCACTCGACGCTTTGGAGCGATAACCATCTCGCCGCCCGAAATCACTGTTGCCAGTTACGCGAAGCCTTGCCTGAAATCGCGGGAAACACTTTTCCGTCCCCAGAAATGGACCCTTTTCAAAATTCAGTGCCATCTGGTGACTCAGAAACCGGTTTCACTTTCGACAAACTAATGGCAGTCGTAAAACTATTTCGTCAGGCAGTCACTTTCGTGCGTCAGTGGCAGATGAGATTTGGTTCTTCATTCACCTCGTAATTCTGTCTCGATTAGTTTCAGTTTCAATGGTGATAACTTGAGAACTGACCAGTTCAAAGCAGGGATTTAAGAGCCCCTCGTTTCAATTTCCGCCATGAAAACGCTTTAGAGCAAAACTTGTGCCGAGAGATTGATTGGACTGTACTCCGAAAGAAAAGCTTACGAGGCCGTCGTATATAATCCGTGCGTCGTGTTGAACCGACGTCTCGAACACACGGTCCTCGTGTACGCTCTGCTCCGTACCTTCAACTTCGTCCTTCGTCCTCCTCAAGAAGGCCGCCATTAGTTTGGCACAGATGCCACGCTTTGAGGTGATGATAGTGTTCAAAGTTGCCAGACTGACTTTCGAAAAGGTCTATTGTCAATGACAAAGAAAAGCAATATTGCCCAAACTTCCCGACACTCTGAAGCTCAGGAAGTAGCATGTTCGGGTTGTAAGTGTCGATAATTGCACCCTCTCTGCACTGGGCAATAAAATGGCGACGCCCTCCGGACAGTCGGGAAATGTGGATGCTCTAAGCACAGCTCTGAGTATGGACAGTCCATTCTTCGATCGTCTGCCTTTCTCAGTTTGATGGCATGTCCTAGCACCCCGAGAGCAAGATTGCATATACACAGTGGCATATGCTTTCTGCAAACTTGAATAGGAGGGCTGCCTTTTCTTTTTTACTTCGGATGAACTAAAAATGAAACTGAATGATGAAAAATATGTAAGATGTGGACACTTCATCATATAATGCGCCAATCTAGGCACTTAGGACGTGGCACAATTTTTTTAGATTCCCTCGTAAAAAAATGTTGTCGCCAGAGTTCTCAGTTGTGCATCCTACGAGACCGTCGGTCGCCAAGGACGTGTAGCGCTTGTGGAGGGAACCGCAGAATGTTTGGAGGAGGAGGAAAGGCCGTCTACGGTTATTGGGGCCGAGGAAGAATCTGTCTGGCGGGTCTGGTCACCATAATTGTCTAAATTTGCTCAGTGATAATAAGTACTAGATACACTGCATGCGTCAGCATTTTGTAAAAACATTTTTTGTCAATTTCTTTTTTCTTTTGCTTGGTTGATTGAATGTTTAAAAAAAAAAAAAAAAAGTGGACCTCGCTTGTTGGCGACTGTGTAGCCTATGGTGTCTGTGTGCATTATGAATGGCATTATGAATGGAGCCACGGGGCTTTAAGCATTCTTTCGGGGATGTGTTGTTCGACAGCTGCGGCACAGTGTAACTGGCCAGTGGGACGAAGGAATGTCCGTATTTGTGGCTAGAAACTTGCACAACTTTAGAGGTGAGCATTTCTGCTATGGTTTTCTTTCATGGTGGTATTTATTAATCATTCAGGGCTTGGAAATGGTGTGTGAAAGGTTCTCTGGTGAGGTAAACAAGCCTTACCAATATGCAAAAAAAAAAAACAAAAAAACTTCGCGATAGAAACAGCAATTTCAACAATCACTTCAGTTTGGCCCAGCTCACTGATGTTTGCTTGTAGCCATGGTGGTATGGAATGAATGAGGCTAGAAACTCATTGCTAGAGGTCAGTAAGATATAGTGATTGAACATTGTTGGTCTAGCTTGTATTCAGCCACACAAAATCTTTGCCTTCGAAGTTCAACTGCCGCAAACCTTTCATGACCGTTTGGGAGAGCAACGACAGTGCAAGGGGATTTGGACGTTCCGGCAGTTTTAACGCACAATGTGTTCTACGGCTAGCTTCCAAGCCACTAGCGTCGCAAAATTTAGTGACGAAACTACGACAATGCGGCGAACCGTCTTTACGAAAGACGGTCCCTCGGTGGGAATCGAACCACCAACCTCTGGCTTGGTCCAGTGCCTCGTCCCCCGCACTGATGGAGTGGTTTCGGCTGGCGCAGTTATGGTTGCTGCTCGTACTCGCGTTGCCTTTGCCGCCCCAATGGCCGAGGAGCTTCGAACATGCTGCTTTTTCTGCCTCCCGATCTCCACCGGGAGATTAAGATGCGTTTAACCTCATTTCTTTCCTGGGCATCAGGTGATCCTGGCGCTGGGCGACTACATGAACGTCCAGTGCCACTCGTGCATTGGGGGCACCAACCTGGGGGAGGACATCCGCAAGCTGGACTATGGGCAGCACATCGTGTCTGGAACGCCAGGACGTGTCTTCGGTGAGTTCGCCCTTCTCCTCGTCCTTAACGCAGAGTATGTTTAGGCCAAGATCTCCGAGAAAAGCACGACCTGTACAGGAGAGCGCTGAATTGAAAATAAATTGTATTTAATTGAGAAAAAAAAGGGGTGAGTTGCCTCCACGGGAATAGAGTCCACGACCCTGTGCTAAAGAGGGGCGGCGGTAAAGCGTTGACTCTATAAGGGTGGTGACAAATGCAAAAATGTCGGCGTTTGAACATGTTCAAACGGCGCGCAGAGACGATGACGGCTTGCTTCGTGTTTACCCATTAATCGTTTCAAGTAAAACTCGGTGCTTCGACGTACTCGCATTCTTTCATCTCCCTCGTTTTCTGTTAGTGTAACCAAATGAAATCGAGAAGAAAAAAAAAACCTACAAAGTTCGCCACATACTTCCTCGAGCATTCTTGGTATGTGGGCAACCGTCGGCAGCAAGCCGCACTTAGTCGAGCGTACTTAGTTTGCAGGCGACAGTTGGCGGCAAGTCGCACTTGGTCCGTCGTACTCCGTCGGCGGGCAATCGTAGGAGGCAAGTCGTACTTAGTTTGACATAATTAGACTTAAATCCTGTTACAGCCGAGGCCGCGATTGGACAAAGCCGATGGAGCATTGCGAAAAGTGCATTGTCACCAAACCAATCGCGCAAGCAAGCAAAATACGTAGGATTGGCTGGCGCACGCAGCTGGTTCCGTATGAGACGTAGCTCACCATGTGGACTCGTGACGTCGCGGCGTGAATCCTAACAGACCGAGGGAAAGCGCAGCGGGCATTCGACGTCGGAGCTTCGGACGATTATCAGTTGATAGAGTAAATGGTGCAAGGAACCTTCTCCCCTCGCGATTACTTGGGTTGCCACGAGGGGTCCCCAAAAATCCAAGAGCAGTAAGAACTCGAGGCCCTACGCACACCCACCAAAAAAGCAGAATCCCCGAAAAACTTCTTGTTGAGGGAGGTCCTGGTCTTGAACATGCTTTTGTCATTTCTGATCTAAATTATACGAAATTTTCGCGTGTACTATAAATGTTTCTGCTTTGCACAAACGTAAGCTCATTGTATTCCTTTCTGTTATTGTCTAAAAGAAAAACAAAAAAAAACCCTCAACTTGATTGCAAATGTTTCTGCCCAACTTTTTCGCAATACCAGCATAAAACAATCTGGCACAGTGCATGGCTCCATGTTCTAAAAATGGGACAGACCACAGCAAAACCATTCTTATCATTTTAGCGTCATTCTAGAAAAAGTTGTCGCAAGTAGAAATTTTTTACTGATAATTAGGAAGGAGCCATTAGAGTCTTCGTAAATGAGAAAGTTTTGTAACTAACATTTGTCAGAAATATTAGTCTCGTTGCACACTCCGATTCATGAAGTATTAAACCCTGAAAAAATTACGCAGATTCAAATTCTAGTCCAAAAGATACCTTGGGTGAAACTGTGTTGAGACGAAAAAATTTAATTCTGCTGAAACAGGAAAACCTTTTGAAAGCATGCTGGCAAACAGCCCGGATAAAAAGCTTTTAATTAATGTAACTATATAAATGCGCACTTCCTGAGTGCAGTACTTACATATATGTCCTTTGTGACTCGTAAATAAAAAAAATTAAAGGTTTTCAGAAATATTTTTTGTTGTAATCTTTGTTTCTTAAGATCTCGCCTTAAAACGTGCTCGTGAGACACTCTACTGTTGAAAAAATTTCCACTTGTCAATCAATCTAGTGCACCCGGAGATCACAAGAGCGTCATGCGTGCAGCGCATTCGAAACCACCCACAGCAACCAAGCATAGCAAATCATATTGCACACTAATACACGCACAACACGCTATGTGCTCTCCGGGTTTATCAGGGTCATCGAAGCAATTTTTTTTTAAAGCATGCTTGTCACTGCTTAACACAGTCTTGTATGACAGTGAATGCCGAAGCGTTGTCCTTTTTATCCAAATTTTATCCAAATTTTAAAGTTTGAATTGTGTAGAAAATTTATTTTTGAATAGCAGTTGAATTATTGAATATGCGCATAATGGAAACACCCTGGACCATTTACACTCACCTCAATTTTTTTTGCATTGAGTCAAGTTACAGAGTGCATCATGTACGGTCGGCCCGGTTATATCACACCCGGCATTTCGAATTATTGCTTATATCGAACAGTCCAAACATCGCCTTGAAAATCGCATGTTATAGTAGAGGAGCGTTGTTTTTCTGTATCGAACTCCCATGGCGGGGACACTCAATATAGCAAAAACGACTGCCGTGGCTTCTCCCGCGGTCAGATCCAATAATTTAACCGCTATTCAAAAATAAATTTTCTACACAATTCAAACTTTAAAATTTTGGTAATTTGGATTTGGATAATTTGGATAAAAAGGACAACCGGCAGCGAACAGATAGCTTGCGTTGCGGCGCTGGAAGTCTGCCAAGCCAGCATATGGGCACACGGGAATACGTAGCGAAAGATGATTAGTAAACAAAAACAGAAAAAAAAAATGACCGCATCTCCACTTGGTGAATGATGTTGATTGGGGCGAAGCTCTGGTGGTGCTGCTGATACTGATTTTGTTCATAGGTAGTGCTGATGGTGCTGTTTTTTTTTTATTGCTCATAGGTAGTGCTGATTTTTTCTTTTAATCCTCTCCGGAGCAGCTTGCTGTCTGCGTAGACGCTGAGCCGCAGCATGCCAAGCTTTTCGCTCATTTTCATCCATGTCAGAAGGAGAATGTGTGGTATGGAACGTGGTTATATACGCATTTGAGCATTTGACCACATCGCCCTCTCATCTATAAACGTTGAGCCAATGCATGCAAAGTTTACCGCAATTATATACGCATTTGACCGCAGCGCCCCCTCCTGTATAGACGTTGAGTGGCTACATGCAACGTTTCATCCATGACATCCCAGCTCTTGAGTTGCTACCACATCTCAGAGCCCCATCCTCGTCCCGCAGTCGTGGCCGGGTGGTTAAGGCGATGGACTAGAAATCCATTGGGGTCTCCCCACATGGGTTTGAATCCTGTCGACTGCGCAAACATTTTTTCTTTTAAGAAGACAGATGGGATGGCAATCGATGTGAGCATGGACGCTGGACAAGGCTAGACCCTAAGGAGCTTCGCCCCTAAAAAAGTGGTGGATGGCAAAAGCAAGAAGAAGGGCACGGGCGTCCAAACAGAACACCGCTGTCGCTGCGCGACTCCTTGAACCCAAAATAAAATAAGCCTTGGGTCTGCTTCTGTAAGCAGCTGGTGTATCTGACAGTATGTGAAGTCGCAGGCCATGCTCATATGACCCTAAATTCGCACAAAGTCGCACAACATTCTAGCGTGGCCGCGATGTCACATAAAGTCACATTAACGGGACCCTTCGAAAACCTAGAAAGATTGAAATTTAGTAATCCATCTTTAACAAGATTGATTTTTTTTTTTTTTTTCCAAATTAGAAATTGCAGATGTTGGAGTGGCTGTCCACTTTTGCTGTAAACTGGGCTACTAATTGTGCAAGATTGTATCGCATTGCCTCACAATATGTTTGCCTGTCTCGGTCCCAGACATGATCAAGAGGAGGAATCTGCGCACCCGTTCCATCAAGATGCTGGTACTCGATGAAGCCGACGAAATGCTCAACAAGGGTACGTAGTTTGAATGTTGCCCCTTTTGCAGGTTGGGAATCCATGAGTGGTAAAGCACATAGCCACAGCTACATTGCTCCTACATCTTAAAAAAAAAAACGCTTTGTTTGCCACAGACACGGGGACAGAATTGTCTGCGGACAGGCTATGTATGCTCTGAACTTGTCTAAAGGCAGTTTTTGTACACTTAAAGGGGGAACACTGGTCTTGGAGCTTTTTATCTTATTTTAAGACCAAAGTTAATGAAACTGCACAAGCTTATTCAGCTTTTTGTGCTGATTTCATATATCTGGTCATTTTCTCAGTCGGTAGCATTGTCCTCAAAGTAATTAAAACTTGCCTGCCTTTGTTTAGAAAAACGATAGAAAAAAAACTGCTCAACAAAATATTCTCTTTAACACATGGCTAGATACTATGAAGTGTAGAGAATACAATGTTGGAAGCACTTTTAAGATAAACTCATTATTAGAGATTTTACCACACATTGAAGTTCAGTGCTCAATGCATGGCTAACAAGTAATATAGCAAAAAATCAAATAGAAATTTTTCTAGACTATAATAAAAAATCTGCTCTCAACATTGTATGCTTCACACATTCAGCTATACATTTCAGGAACGGTTATATTTCTATCTGCTGTAGATGCTGTAAATTTTCAACGAGTCCAAAAATTGTGTTTTGTGAAAACAATGTTTTAGAGTCAACTTCAATGCACATACAGCCCGCATAGATATTATAAGTTGATTTATAGCTCAAATATTCATTCACGATATTATAAGCCTGGTAGATTCAGAAAAACAACAGCCATCACCATTTTCAAAAGCATGAAGTTTTAGGAAGTTTTTGGCTCCAGAGACCCATGTCGCGCCTTAAACCTGGATGTAACGAGCCTGTATACAACGAAATCCCCTATTTAAGAGACTTCTTCAATTCCCCGACGCAATCTTCATAGAAGCGCTTGTATTCGTGAACTCCATGTAACGAAGCTCTCGCACTGGATAACCTTGATTTAATGAACTCGCTCAGCCGCAATCTCCTTTTTTTTTTTCTTTTTCTTTTTTTCGGACTCCGCTAATTTTGACTTGTTCAATATTTTGGATCTAAAGGCAGAACCGTGACTTACCTTATAAAAATAGTGTATATACACGACCAATGTTTCGGACAGCTTGAAGTCCGAAAGTTTGATTATTCGGACAAAATCGTCGCGAGCGATCAGCGGAAAATACCATCGAGAAGCGGCCATTCCGAATTCTATGTTGGCTGCACAGTTCGAACTTGGGTAGCTCCATTGCATTCTTTAAAACCAATCTATAACGCCTAACGAAAATACCTGCGTATAAAATGTATGTTTGTGTTGTAGAAATATGATAAGCTGCTAAATGATTTGTAAATTACTTTTCACGTTTGAGTTAGGCGAATAATTGTCATTGATCCTGAATAAGCCATTGAAGAACACCAATGTGTTGTGCAACCTTAATTCTAAATTTTTTCGTTTGTCTTTATTTGTTTGGGTATGCATTGCTTTTATTTGTTTGGGTACGCATTTGTTTCTTAAGGTTCAAAACCCCTCACTTACTATGTTGTCTTTCTGCATTGTAGTACAGTAATATCCCGAGTCATTGCCCATCCCCCCCCCCCTTACACACACAAACACACACACACACTTTTTGGGTGAATATCGATATCCAAAAAAGCAGAGTGACCGCCCACCTATACAAATACCCAACGCAGGCTCCGCAATTCGCGAATATTAATCCTACCCGAATTAGGCGGCCGTGGACGTTATGGTGTGAGGATGCCTCGATAAAAGGAAATGGAGGAAGAAAAGACACTTCTCTTTGTTTACGCATTTCCTCCCCGATTTCTGCGACCCCAAAGTCGGAGTACAGGCGTGCAAAAGGAAAATTATAAAAATAACAGAATGAAACTTTGTTTCTCTTACTAAAAAGTTTGTTCAGACTCAAAATAAAAGTAAAATGTAACTCGGATGCCCCATATCCTGGAATCTAACCGAGGAGTGGAAGGTCAAAGATGTAAGGTCAAAGTTCATCTTTACCGAAATAGGGTTACTGCGAATGCGTAATCATTCTCTGAGAACGTTGCGACCGCAATTGGTAAGCTCGTCCAATGTTTGAGACAAAGCCTAGGGATAGAAAAAGACTTGCTAGAACGCCGCACTTAGACGTTTGTAAAGTGTCCCTCTTTGAGCTTTGTGTTCGTGGTGCCACACGGGCACACGCATGTATGCTCCAAACTGGGAAGTTGCACGAGCCTGCTCCTTGGAATTGACTAGCGCCCAACTTTTCCCGGCGCCAAAGTATTTGTCAACGCAATGGCCAGCTTTCCCCACTCTTCTAGCATCGCCCTTCGTCACTTATTTTGCCCGCTTGCTCGTTTCGCCTGGTTGGATTTTCTATTTTTTTTGCTGTCTTTTCTACTAACGAAGAGAACATAGGGGTGCTAGAAACCTACTTTCACGGAACAAACATTCCCGTTGTGTGTCGACCGGCGGTATTCATTGCGCGCATGCAAGCGGTGGACTTTGCGATATAAAAACATTCTTTCATGAGCATTTCTTGTGTAAAACAATGAAATTAATTTGAGTTTTGAGTTCATTGTATCACTTGTGTGGGTGCACTAAATATGTACAGAAAAATGGGCTTTTTTTTTTTAGCTTTTTCTAAACTTTTAATGCTTACCCACCGAGACGAGGCATATCCCACTTTTTTTTATGAATTTCAGGCGAGGGTGCGCAATAGCTCTAGATATTACGGTAGATGAATTGAAAAAATGGAAGCCGTTTACAACTCCCTGTGACACTGAATTAGAGCGCAGCTCTTGAGGAGTAGGGGAAGGACCCTCCTCCCTCCTCCTCACATCCCCATCCTGTCTGCTACTCCTCCCTCCGAGTGGCATCGCCGTCGTCTCACAAGAGTCACGTGACCTCACGGGGGTCTCATGACGTCACTCACGTCACGTGACCCCTATGATGTCACGTGACGATGACGTCATCAGTAACGTCACTGTTGATCTCATCATCACTGGTGACGTCATCATCACTGGTGACGTCATCAGTGACGATGTCGATGCCGATGATGTCATCAGTGGCGTCACTGATGACATCATCAGTGACGATGCTGATAACGTCATCAGTGGCGATGACGATGCAGATGCTGATGACGTCATCAGTGACGACGTCGATGACGTCATCAGTGACGTCACCGATGACGCGATCGGCATCGTCACTGATGATGTCATCAGCATCCGCATCGTCATCGCCACTTATGACGTCATCAGTGACGATGGCGATGCCGATGACGTCACTGGTGACATCATCAGTGACGATGACGATAGTGATGCCGATGACGTCACTGATGACGTTATCAGTGACATCACGCGTCCCATAATGCACCGTGCGGTTACGCCGACGGTGACACCACTCAAGCCGGAAACGGGCGCCTAACAGCTGCGCTCTAAAGAAACAAGAAAAGAACGGTGGTTTCTGCTTGCCAATTGAGGCACTTAGCTCTCGAGAAACTCTTGTTTTTTTGTGGTTAAATAGCACATGTATGTCGAAAAACACAAAGTGCAGTGTTGGGAGACACATGTTGAGTCAAAACAGTTTCCAAAAGACACTCCAATTTCTAGATTTTGGTCCCGAAATAGTCCCTAGACATAAATATTGCCCTTGGGGAAAGTTCATCTTCTATCCTATTACTTAAAGGGGCCCTGCAAGCACTTTTTTATGTCTTTTAATTTGCACCGAACCTGAGCGCTCTGACCGTAGTAACTTAATGAAACCTTTCTTTTCTCGAATTTCGCTTTATTTTAAAAGTTATAGGCAAATTAGAATTATAAAAACAAGCAAAAAATAACCTCCCTCATGACGTCGTAGGTCCTGGCTTGAGTGGCCGTGAACTAGAGGAGGGATAGTGAGCACAGCGAGCGCTCATGGCTGCCGCACTCCGTGTCGACAGCGCGAGAGGGCGCCACCAACGCGTGTTCTGGATAGGTTGTATACAACGGGCCGCCAGAGCGGCTCTCATTGCATTTGCTGTGCGATTTAATACTAATTCGGCATGACCCTTCGTTGGCCACAAACGACAGCAAACACGGGGTAAAGATCAGTTCAGAATGGGAGCCACTTCGCGCTGCCATGCCGCGAAACGGCCAAACCGCAAGACAAAGCTGCTCGCTGAAGGCCTTCGGAACGCTCGGAGCTGGTCGGATCCTCCAGTCCGTAAACGACCGCAGCGCCGCCACGTACATCCGGGACCTTTCCGTGTCGGTGCCTGATCCCACTACTCCTTTCTAGTATGCGCCGCCTTTTCCACTGCTTGGTGGTGGGTATATCGACGCGTCATTTCTTGTTTCCGTACTTTATAAACTGCATTTGTCTCTTTTCTGATCTAAAATACTGAACAAAAAGTACTTTTATAAATAATTGAAACAGCTCGCGCCACTTATATTTTGTATTTCGACTAAAAAGAAGCTTTTAGCGGCTCTGACCATTAGTAAGCCCAGGACCAAAAACGTCACATTTCGCGCGCTTTCGGTACCGCGGGTCGCCCCCATCGGTGGAGGCGGTTTCCGCGTCGTCCGGTTAAAATATGATGCAGTGATATTTAGTTACTCTCTCCGTGCCCGCTGGCTTGCCCGAACCCCAAGAGACGTGGAAACCGCAAAAAAGGTAGACACTTAAATATGATTGCAGGGCCCCTTTAAAGGGGCCCTGCAATGACTTTTTGACTGGTTTTTAATTTGCACTGAACCTGAGCGTACTGAACGTAGTAACTTAATCCAACTTTTCTTTTCTCAAATTTCGCTTTATTTTAAAAGTTATAGGCAAATTAGAATTACAAAAACAAGCAAAAAATAACCTCCTTCATGACGTTGTAGGTCCTGGCTTGAGTGGCCTTGAACTAGGGGAGGAGTAGTGAGCTCATCGAGCGCACACGGCTGTCGCACTCCGTGTCGACGGCTCGAGAGGGCGCCACTAAAGCACGTGTTGGATACGCTGTATGAAGCGGGCGGCCAGGGCAGCTCGCATTGCATTTGCTGCGCGACTAATCACTAATTCGGCATAACACTTCATTGGCCACAAACGACAGCAAACACGGGGTAAATATCAGTTCAGAACGGGAGCCACTTCGCGCTGACGCACAGACAAATGGCCAAATCGCCAGCAGGGCCCACGCCGAAGGCCTTCGGAACGCTCGGAACCGGTCGGATTCTTGAGCCGGTATACGACCACAGCGCCGCCGCGTACATCCGGGACCTTTCTACGCTCCTCGTTCGTCGTAGCCTCATCCCACTAGCCTTTTCTAGTATGCGCCGTTTTTCTCCGCCGATTGGTGGCGGGTTTGTCGACGGGTCATTTCTCGTTTCCGTACTTTCTAAACTGCATTTGTTTCTTTTCTGATCTAAAATAGTGAACAAAAACTACTTTCATACGTAATTGAAATGGTTCGCGACACTTTTATTTTGTATCTCGACTAAAAAAAAGCTCTTAGCGGCTTTGACCAGTGGCAAGCCCAGGACCAAAGACGTCACATTTTGCGCGCTTTCGGTACCGTGGCTCGCCCTCGTCGGTGGAGGAGGTTTCCGCGTCGTCCGGTTAAAATATGACGCACTAATATTTAGCTACTCTCTCCGTGCCCGCTGGCTTGCCCGAACCCCAAGAGACGTGGAAACCGCAAAAAAGGTAGATGCTTAAATATGATTGCAGGGCCCCTTTAAGGAGGAGCACACCCAGAAAAAAAAATTTATGAAAAAAAAAAGTTGATTTTGAACAATGCCATTTTTACATCCAATAACATCTGGAGAGTATTCCCAGAAAGCTTCATTAGTTGAAACTTCATAGTTATTATTTTATAAATTATTCTGGGTTCACTGATGCTAAAGAAAAGGGGTTAGAGCACCTTGGATGCAATTTTCTCCGTTCCACTCTTCGTGATAAATTTCACTTTAGGAAAACTATCGTTTGTTAACGGGACTAGCAGAAAGACTCGCTCATTGTTTTTCTCATCTGAAATTTTATGGGCAATGTAACATTGTTTTTTTACTTTCGGGATGTTTTTTATAAAAGATGTCCAGATTTTGTCTACGACGTAAAAGGTTAAAAATATATTACCGTAATATCCCGAGTCATCGCCCGCCCCCCTACCGCCTGAAATTCATTAAAAAAGTGGGGTGGGCCATGTCTCGGTGGGTGAGCACAAACACTTTAAAAAAAGCGGAAAAAACCGCCTATTTTTCTCTGCGTATCTAGCGCTGATGCACAAGAGATACATCAAACTCAAAATTCGATTTAGTTTCATTGTTTTATAGAAAAAAAATGCGCACGAAAGAATATTTTACTATAGCGAAGTCCGTTGCTTGCATACGCGCTAGAAACACCGCCGATCTGCATATAGCGCGAACGTTTGTTCCGTGAAAGAATGTCACCACTATGTTCTCCTAGTTGGTAAAAAAAAAAAAAGAAAGAAAAGTCTACAAGAAAATAGAAAAACCGACCAGGCGCAACGAGCGAGCGAGCGAGCGGACCAAAGAAGCGACCAAGAGCAATGCTGGGAAAGCGGGAAAGCCGGCGGTCGCGTTGGCAAATACTTTGGCGTCGGGCCAAGTCGGGCGCCTTGTCAATTGCAAGCTCTTGCGCAACTTTCTTGTTTGGCGCGTACATACGTGCGTCGGTGCACGGCGGGCTATCAATGCACGGTTGGGACGCTCTGCAAACGTCTGTGTAGGGCGTTCCAGCAAAGCTTTATTTACGCGTTGGCTTTGCCTAAAATATTGCACAACCGCGGTCGCGACGGGCGGGAAGAAGGAGCGGGTTCGCGGTGACCTTATTTCGGCGGAGACAGACTTTGGCCTAACACTCCGCGGTTACATTAACAAACTCTTATTTTGGTATCTCCATCGTTTTCTTTTCGCACGGATACACGACCACTTTGGGGTCGCTGACGGATGTAAACAAAAAGAAGTGTCTTTCCCTTCTTCGTTTTACTTTGTCACGGACGTCCTCGAACTGTAAGGTCCGCGGCCGCGACATTCGGGTAGGATGAGTGTTCGCGGATCGCAGAGTCCGCGCTGGGGTATTTGAAGGGGTGGGCGATGACTCGGTGTTTTTTCGGAAATCGATATTGGCCCAAAAAATGGGGTGGGCGATGGCTCGGGGATGGGCGATGACTCATGATATTACGGTAGATATTTCGCTGCAATGTTAGCAAAAAAAGAAGTTTTTTGAAAATTTGTTTTCACAGTTTCACTTTCCAGGCATTGTGCTGCAGGTCTGAAGAAAGATGTTGGGTATTACATAAGTTTCCTAACGATAGTTTTCCTAAACAAAGTCGCTGTGTTCCTGATGAAAACGACTACCGTAAAATTCCCAGCAAGAGCCCCCCCAACTTCACTGCTAATTTCGAATTTCCGAGCCGTTCAGGGAAAGCACCCCGCTCCCCGCTCCGCACCCATTTCATGCACCGTGCTGACCGCGCCCAGGCAACACTGGTCTGCGAAATTCAGTCCGAGAATCCAATCCAATCCTACTTTGCAGCCCGATCAGCCCGGTCGCTACGCGCTATGGTCGCTTTGTTTTGGGGGTGTCAGGTCGTCTATGCGTTCTTACACAGTGGCAAAGAAAATCTAGGCCGTCCAATGGCATTGTGAAAATGGGAGAAACGTACACCAGACGTCTGGACATATCAAGCTCAACCGGATACGGGAATGGGACAAGAATTTTGATAATTTGCAGCCAAACAACAGCCAAACTACGGGGAAGCCAGACTTCGACAAAAGCTAAGTAACGGCGTGCCGGTGTTCAGTGAATACGTGGACGAGGCGCTTTTTGAATACCTGGAGCGCGAAAGAAGGGCAGAATGAACCATTAGCAACCGGCTTCTTTCTGAAGAGGCTGTCAAAATAGCCAACGGCACGCAGTTGGGAAACTTCGCGGAATGCTGCAGACTTTTTCTTGCGATTGACTCTGAGGAGTCTTTTGGTGGCTTTGAAAGTGATTAACATAGCACTGACAAATCTTTGTCCTAATAAAGTCTATGTTCTCAGAGATCAATAAAATATTAAATCCGTGTGCACACCGTTTTTGTTTCTTTTTCTGGCAAAAAAATTTTGTCGTCATCATCTTGAATTTTGTTGCCGTTCCAGAATAGCCCCCCCCCCCCGCCACTCCACCCCACCCCACTTTGCAGGTAATTTTGATGTGTGTGGGAAGGGGGGGGGGAGGTGGCTGGCATTTGATTGGAATTTTACGGTATAATTTATTTTACAATTCATGTACATAGATGAAACTTTGACCAGCATTTTGCCTTGCAACTGCCAGTATATACTGTTATTTTTATCCATATTAATCCATCGGTTCAGAAGTTGACCCTCTTGGGTCAACTTTAAAACTTTAAACCTTAACCTTAAAAAATGTTTTGCATAGGCCGGAGTGTCCTTTTATGGGTTGGCAACGTCCACGTGTTTCTGGAGACGTGGCTCAGATTTTGCGCTTGTGCAGGCTTCAAGGAGCAGATCTACGACGTGTACCGGTACCTGCCCCCGTGCACCCAGGTGGTGCTCATCTCGGCCACCCTGCCCCACGAGATCCTCGAGATGACCAGCAAGTTCATGACGGACCCTGTGCGCATCCTCGTCAAGCGGTGGGTCCTCCCACTAGCCCCTTTTTCCGACACCCGTTGCGGGCATCTAGGCTCTCCGTCGTGGACATTGTTGCACACACTGCGACGTCAAAAGGAAGTTACGAAGATCAAATGACGAGCTAGTTGGTTATACATTGAACAAATAAAGGTGGCGCAGAAGTCGAGGACGAGTAGAAGACGGCGTTTGTCCGTGTCTGCGTCTTTTACTCGTCCTCGTCTTGTGACGAAGTGGCAATGTCACGTGATTAGCATAGGCCACGGAACATCATCTGTCTAGATGGTTTTATAGTTAGAGACAAGCATCTTCGCTCCGAGCAGACATTGGCAATGGTTCCTCAACCTAAGGGGCAAGATACATTAAGGTCTGATACGTTGTCTCGGCTATTGCCGAGACTGTACCGTTTTTTTTTAAACTGTGCATTTTATTTGTGGCTTTTAACAGTTTTTGGTGGCCCCGTAAAGGCTAGTCGACACATTTGCGTTTGAGTGCTCTCTGGGGCGTTTTCTGCTTACGAGTTTCGGTGGCGCGTGTAACTGGACTGAAAGGTGCTCAGCATTTGCGAGATAGCATTCATCTCCGAGTAGCGGTGGCTCGTAACACTGTCAGAATTATTTTGAGCCCGCGGCAAGAGAGGGTTTTGCGTAAAGCACGGTAGGAGTGCATGCAGGGGTCGGGAGCGTTCCGGGGCTCTCCAACACATGGTGCCAGCACGTTCTCTCGTCGTAATTGGTCGCCGATACGCGAGCCGACCTCGGTGCGCATGTCCCGTCTATTTGCAGTCGTAACTCGGCGCAAGTCCTGGGAATGTAGTGAAACCCAGCGAAACGTTAACTACCTGCGTGAGTCTTCATCTTGGAGGCGTCGAAGGAACGGCGGGAAGGCGTGCGGGAGACGGGAGGGAAGGAGGTTCGGAGGAAGCGGGGACATAAGAGCAGAGGTCGGCATTTTAGGTCGCCCTCACTCACCCTTACCCTCACAGCCACACTCACCTAAGCCCCTGACTCGCCCTCACCCTCACAGCTACACTCACCTTGAACCCTTCACTCACCCTCACAGTCACACTCACCTTCAGCCCTTCACTCACCCTCACTGAACCTCACGCACTCACCGTCCTCACGCCCCTCACCGCCCTCACGCCCCTCACTCACTCATGGCCCTCACCGCCCTCACGGCCCTCACGCACTCATAGCCCTCACGCCACTCACCGCCCTCACGGCCCTCACGGCCCTGACTGCCCTCATGGCCCTCACCGCCCTCACGGCCCTCACGGCCCTTACTCACCCTCACACTCATGAATTTTCCTGGTTCAGAAACTCACTCACCCTCACCTCACCTGTGAGGATGAGGGTGAGTGAGGGCCCTCATGAGTGAGGTTTGCCGAGATATGCATAAGAGACGGTGGGGTCGGAACCGAGGCATGTGACAGCGAGAGGCATTTCGCTCCCGCCGGAGCTCTAGCTTTGGGGGGACCTCCCTTTAGTGACGCCGTACGCGCCGACGTTCCCGGCGCCGAGGCGTGAAATGTATACCGAGCTCCTCCGCGTAGCTCTGCCACGATGACGGGGGAAAGGGGCTAATTTTCATTTCCTCAGCATCAGGTGAGGAAATGCACGTTGAAGGTTTGACGGCTCACTCGTGATTTTGCTCTCCTTTCATCGACACCCTTTGATTTTGCTGTCCTCCCCAACATGCACCGCACAAAACTGCTCGTGGGAACGAGCCGTCACTGTTTTTCTTTATCGTCGAGCGTTCCTTGGCTAGGTGTTTGGCATTTCGTGAAGCCCAGATAAAAGTGAATGCCGGATAAAAGCGTGGCTGCGAGGCTCTACAGTTATTATCGTCGTTTTGGCTGGGAGAGGAGGAGTGAGGAGTTCACGAGACCAAGGGGTAGGCGAGGAGGAGGTCGACCTCCCGTGTGCGCCGAGGGAGAGGACCTTGAGAGCTTGGAAGGCTCTGGACGATTGCCAGGTTTCTGGGCCCGATTAGCGGTAGTATCGCTTCGTTCTAGGAACAACTATAGAGTGTACACATGGTAAGCGTTAAACTATCTCCTTAAGAGTACCTTGAGGGTAGGCGTCTGGAAACTGGGAGTATCGCTATACGTTTGTGATGAAAGCGCAGTTGCTGCTGCGACAGCGCGGCACTTTTACGGCTTTTACCCAAGCGGTAAAATCGAGTGCTCGTCGACATACCCCGCTTGGGCGGAAGAAGGACGTTGGTGTTGACCGAGTGCTTTCCCTCTGCCCCCAGTGATGAGCTGACCCTGGAGGGCATCAAGCAGTTCTTTGTGGCGGTCGAGAGGGAGGAGTGGAAGTTTGACACCCTGTGCGACCTGTACGACACCCTCACCATCACCCAGGCCGTCATCTTCTGCAACACCAAGAGGAAGGTGGGCATTCCTCCTACTTGGACCCAGAAACATCTCTGCGAAAGAAGTTGATTTTGGAAACTGCCCTTTTTACATCTGGCAACATTAGAGTGTTCCCAGAAAGTTGCCTTTGTTTACAGTGCATAGTGATTTTTTCTATAAATTATTCTCAGTCCACGAATGCTAAAGGTTCGAGCACTTTGAATGCGTTCTTCTCCGATCCACTTTTTGGCATAAATCCAACCTTAATTCAGTAGAACCATGTTAATACAGTCTAAGCTCATTATAACAGACCTTGATTTTGATCAAGATTTTGGTCTGTTGTAAAAGGAGTATGTTGTATGCAGATATGAAGTGGAGTCAATGGTGCATAGAGAAAACCAGCTGAACTTCACAAAATTGGTATGTTATATCCATACTGATGTAACCAGGCCTGTTATAATGAGCTTAGACTGTATGTTTTTCAGGGAATGCAGAAAAAAAAAACGCATCACCCGGGAAAACGTCACAACCGATAACGCTTTTGGTGGGGCTACAGATGTGATGGGAAGTAACGCTCACACTGGGATTTACTCCGGAATGACTTTCGGGGGTTTGGAGAACTACCATGTTACCATATAGCCGGGCATTCTTTTTCGGCCCAGTTGTTTAGAACTAGCAGTCAACCTGTACACCGTGTCTACCCGATCAAAGCGCAAACTGCTATCTCGAGGGTCAACTTTTCATATTGTTCAGTGCGGAAAATAGAACCACAAATGTGGCACGAGGCTAATAGAGAAATAAAGCGGTGCCTTTATTTTGCTGCAAATAGTTTCCAGCACGATTTCTGGCAACTGCACTCAATCACGTCCAGCAGCAACCAAATGTTTCTCGGCTCTTGCTCCACTCTCGGAAGTCGGAACGGGCGTCCCACTGAGCCCTCTGCATTGCCATCAGTTCCATCAAAACGTCCGATAGGAACGGAATCCGTTAAAGACCGACGATCAGTTCACGCTTTCCACTTTTCCCTCGCTTCCTCCTCCCCCCTTCCACCCTGTCCACCGTTGTCTGTTCCCTCGTGCCCCACGGCGAGGAGGATCTTCTCCCTCGCAGAATCTCGAGTCTGGACGTCGGCCTTGAAGATCCAGGAACTAAAACATGTGCTTGAGACTAGCGCGTTAAAAATTTGAAATATTGAGCTGGTTGAGCTATCCCAAACGGACTCCAATCGTGCCATCGCTTGCTCACTAGCTGCTATGGATTAAATTGCACTTGGATTCGACTGCATAATTTGAAGAATCTAGCAGAGAGGTCGAGAGGCATACGTTGCTAACAGAAGACCGAAAATCCGCCGCACGCGGCTCAGGAGCGAAGGTTTGGGAGCGCCGAGGGGCAGAGTTTGGACGTAACAACCGGGGAATGAAACGTAACGGACGGAAAACTAGTTCATGTATCTCAATGGGAGTCAAACGGGACTGGCGCTTGTGAACGTAACAGCCGAAAAAAAACATCAGCGAGGTTCTACTGTACTATTGTTTCAGTATGAAACTTTCGAGACTTAATATTTGCGACTTATATGCCGAAATTTTATGTAGCCGGTTACTATCAACTTAGATTTTGCATTTTCATGTTCCTCTATTAGGAACAATTGTAATCTAAAAAACTTGGCAAAAATGGAAACTTTTTTCTTTCTAAATATTTTTTACCCGCAAAATGCATGGCTTTTGGATTTTGTTTTTATGTAACTGGCAACAATTTTTTATAAAAAAGACTATTTTTATTTTTATTTATTGTGGTTCAACAACTCATTGTGCACACTCCTGCAAATTTGCATTGCAATATCTGATATATTTACGGAAAAATAAAACATTCTCGATAAGCCAACGGTGCAAAATCATCTGTTTTGGACAAGTGAAAGTTTTCTAACAGCTGTAGCTCTGCCCCGGTATGCCCTAGAATGATGATCATACCCGGGTTGGAAAGAGCATTTCTTCACAGTGTCAGTACATTAAACATATTTGTTTTGGAGTGAAAACTATTCGGGCAAGAACACCATAGGAGTCGAGCATTGCCGTGGAAGAGGCTACGCACATGGCCAAGAAACGAAAATCCCGCCGCCCTGATGGAACAGAAAACTAACTAAAACCAACATTCGTTTTGAGAAATTCATGTGGGTTTGTCTGCCTTGTTTTTCGACGATGCTTGCCCTGCCCCTAATTGCTGACGCTGGTTTGTGTATTGCAAGCATATGCCATTACTCACTCATTTCATAATCAAATGTCCACATGTCAACAATCTCGAAGAAAGCGTTTCAAGCTCGGCAAGGCCATGCAGGAGATTGGGTGTGAGAAGGAGGCGCACCACCTGTGCTCCTGGTGCCTTTGGTTGCCACCACCACCAGTAAAAGCAAATGTAATGAGGTCTGGAAACTTCAAACAGGCTTTTCTTCAGTTTCACTTCTTTGCAGCGACTATCGTTTTAGGAAATCTATCATTTCAATGAATTACAGAATTTATTCTTAGCTGTCGATGTTTCTGAATGGAAATTTAAAAAAAATACGGCTAGATATGTTTTCAAAATTCAAATTAGTTGTTATTGCCAAAAAATAGGGTTTTGATGAGGAGAAAAAAAAAAGCACAATGTGGAATGCTTCTCAAATCGTCATTTTGCTTAGGAAAAGTGCAGATTTCAAGGTAAAAAAAAAGAAAGCTGCGCCCTTCCCGTAAGCTCTAGTCAAGGCTGAAGCTTAGAAATGCTCAATATTGGAGCAATTTTATATGATAGGTTTCCTTGCCAAGTGAGGCGACTTACATTAAGGGCACAGGGTAAGGTAAAATTGAAAAAAAAAATCGATTTTAGTTTTTTTCGCAATTTGAAAAGTTTAGTTCTTTCTGCACAATTTCCATTGTCCCAGTGTTTTTAGAAAGCTATATTTCGGGCTGAAAATCACTTCTTCCGAAAGCAAGTAGCAGGTGACCACGCCTCCTTTTGGGATACACTCCCTGTTTATAGATGAATTCTCCAACAAAACAAAATCAACACAAGACCTAAAAGCTTGTCCAGTAACAGATAATCTCAAAAAAATTATTTCGCAACTATTGCATAGCTTTTTTTCAACCAAGACAATCACGAGACGCTGTGCACGTTTTTCCCAGGTGTGTACCGTGTGTACATTCAAGCGTTTGTGTTTTCGTAACGACAAAATGGCGCCATTGGATGCTGTTCCTTTATTCAATGGTGGCAGCATTGCAGAAGCCAATGTTTTGAAGTTTTGTGGATGGAACCCTGTGTGGAAAACCATCAAGTGGTTGAGGGAAGTTGACGTCACTCTAATATACTTTACGGACCAAGCGACATGGCAGGTCACAAAAAAGGCGCCGGCAAGCAAGGCGATAAGCCTAAAGGCGAAGACATGACTTTAGCAATGCCTTTCAAGCTGGTGGCTATTGAAAAAGTGACTCTGAGGCTGTTAGTGCCAATAGAAATTCGTTATTCACCAGTTTTTTTACTTTAAACTCAATTATCTCAAAACAGTGTTTTTTAGTACATAGGTACCATTTTTTCCTTAACCTGACATTATAGAGGGTTGATTTTTTATTCCTACCACCTACATGGGTGTTCCAAAATACTGAACTAAAATTAAAAATGTGCACCTAGCAGTTTTTGAGTTACAAAGTTTTTAATCGATGAAAAAAAACTAAAATTTCAGTACTAAAATAAAAAAATAAAAAAAAAACTTATTTTCGATTGGTTCAAATAATTCTAGTTCAGTGGATAAAACACAATATTTCGAACAAAATGATATATACATGACAGGAATACTCCTAATGGCCACCGAGAAAAATGTTCCTCAACATGGCCTCAAATGCATGGGGAGTATAGGACTTACCCTGTGCCCTTAATAGCTGTACACCTTCCCCTGTGGCGTACCGGAAATTTGTCCTGTGGAGGTGAGACGTCATACAGTGCATTCAGGCTGCGAGATGAATGCACCCTTTAAATTCATCAGTATTGAGCGACTGGTTTAAAAGTCGACAGTTGAAGTTGGTATCACCCCTTAACTGCCGTCCCATGACTTGATAGACGGTTGAATTCTAGTTGCTATTGGAGTTCCCAGCAGCAGATTGCTTGGCAATGGAACCTGGTTGACACCTTTTCCTGAAAACCTCGGTAGAGGTAAAAAATGCATAACCCCGTATAACAAAACAGCTGGTTTTAGAGGTCTTTAGAGGAGAGTAGCGATTTATTTTTTGTAAACTTTGTTGGCTGTGGGGGACTATACCACATTTATTCGAATAGAAGTCCACATTATCTCTGTGGAACCGCCACCTAATATTGAGGGCCTATATGCAATCATAACGAAAAGTGTCAACCTTTAAGAGTGAGCACGATTTCCGAGCCTGCTGAACTTGATGAGAGGAGCTCGGGGGTGGAAGTGGTAAAGCTCGTCGCTTGCACGAGTGCAAAGCAGTGAAACTGACACGTACGGTGCACAATTACAAACTCCCAGCTCCACGCGAGATGGGTCTGGCAGAACCGGGAGCTCCGGCACAACGGGAGATCATTGGGAGAAAGATGTGGAGGTAGACGGGCGATTACAAAAGTCTGGATTGCTTTTGAGCCTTGCCCAGTCCAAGGTATAGGACGCTTCGGAGTAACAACGCTTCATCTTGTTGCTGCATTGTCGCCGGCTACGTGAAAGTTTTTCTGAAATCGCTGGAAACGCTTTTCCGTCCTTCAGAAAGGCTGAAAGAGTCTGCGAGGGAGCAGAGCGGTGTCGCCTTGCTCAAAGAGACGCAATCCCATTTAGAAAAACGAGTCATTAGTCGGCAGTGTGTCTCCGTATTTGTTCCACTTGTCCCCGTGTCCTTTTGTGCCGTTCTCTTTTCCTCGTTACGCGTGCCGGCTCGTCCAGCTATCTCACTAGGTGCGCATAGTGGCGGGGAGGGGAACGCCGCTTTTGTGCGAATTTTGAGTGACAGGCTCCGAGGGGGACATAAGCGCCGTCTGGGGTGCACAAAAGAGACTTTGTGTAAGAAGGGAGTTCCTCGTCTCCATCCTCTTTAACGGCTTGGGTTACGCCCTCCCCACCTTTGGCGACGCCGCATGCAGTTAGTGAAATAGAGGAAATAGAAAGTGTGCGGATGATTGAACCATACTCGATGGAATGGAACAACGGTGACGAAAGACGAAATCTTTGGCATCGCCGGGGTTCAGACTCTGGGCTTCCAACATCCGGCCGGAAATGCTAACCTTTGCCTTTTCAGCGTTTTCTATCTGCCTTATGGGGTCACTGAGCCACTTTCTGCTAGAGTCTATTTACGTCGTAAACCTGCAGGCATCCTAAAAAACCATACATTACATTCGTGCATGCCCAATTTCTCTGTTAACATCGGTATACAAAGATTGATTACCTGGGAACTGTCGCCGAAACCAGACGGCACCGTGGCACAAAAAAAGGTAGGTTTCGGCCTTCCCTTGTCCGATGACGTCATCTGGTGTCTATCTTTTGATACCGATTTTAATTGAGAAATCTTCTAGGTATGAACAGTGATGTTTCGTTTTTTGATGCTGCTCAGAGCCCATGGATTGAGTTATGACCGTAAATACACCATCGCAAAAAGTGATCTAGTGCCGCTTTCTAGGTGGAACCCGGCACCACGCTTGCCGGCATGTGGCACGTGCTTGTCGTGCTCCACAACTCCTCTCGCTGTTTGTCATGTCACATGTACACATAATGTTTCTTGTTTACGAGCTTTAGTGACACCATATCGTCATTTGCGAGAGTCAAGAGCCACGTTTTTTTTAATAGATAAGCCACGGGGCACTTTCACCATCTTACGTGGTCTCCAAAAGGAAAAATTTTGAAAATATACGAATGAACATGAGCGAATGTTGCCTCTCGTAGGCAACGTAAGATGATGAAAGTGCCCCATCATACAGTGAGATGAGTGTAGAAGCGCTGCTAGAACCCTCTTAATTTTGTCTGGTTTCCGAATGGTGTCGCAGGTGGACTGGCTGAGCGAGAAGATGCGCGAGGCCAACTTCACGGTGTCCTCGATGCACGGCGACATGCCCCAAAAGGAGAGGGACGCCATCATGAAGGAGTTCCGCTCGGGCTCCAGGTCAGTGCGCTCCCGCTCGCCCCTGCTGTACTCCGTTGGGGTTGAAAGTCAGGGTTGCTCCAGGGTCATTGGACGTGTCCAACGGGGATGCAGGTCGTCACGAGGTTGTGCATGAAAATTTTGCGACCAAAGTGAGCGGAAGCGTTTTCGCTCCTCGACCGTCGATGTTCCGTCCTTGGGTCGGAATATTTAGAGAATCCAGAGCCTACAAGCCCCGTAAAAGTAGCCCGCGAGGCCGTAGAAAGGGAGACAAAAGTCGTTCGCTTTTGCCACGCTGGTTTCCTTAGGCTGTTGAGGAGACTGCAGTGCAGGGTTAAGCACATGGGGGTGCAAGAGCCTGAACTAGAACTTGAGGCGGCGCCGCATCTGCTGCCGCTGTGCCGCGCATTCTCGGTTTTTTGGGTCCAGATAATTCGTTAGTGTGCAACTTCGTGTCTTGTTGTCATTATGCAACAACGTTGCTGCATAGAAAGCCTGTACGCAGAAACATAATCACGTAGCATCATCATTGCCCGAACAGAGCGTTTCTCAACGCACTGTCTGGGCAATGTCCGTAATTGTTTCTTTTTTTTTATTTGCAGGCACTCCGGCGCATTTCAAAAGACCCAGGTGAACTAGAGTATATTAATAAGATATTTTCATGGGCAGTCGCAACCTTTTTATACTGTCTTGGCATTTGACTGACGCAACAATCTTTGTCAGGATCCAAGATTCCCAACCTTACTCGATCGGAGTCCCAAGTGGTTCCTCCTCGGAGCGATAACGTGCAGTTGAGGAAGCATTTTGTGACTAGCCATGTTGTTAGAGTCCAAGCGAAATCGGCAGAGCCGCGCAGAAAGAAATGCGCCTTTTTGTCCCGTATAGATGCGAAAAGGGCTTAGTCGGCTCAGTTGTGTGCCTTTCCCCATCCCCTGCGCCGGCAGCTGTCGCATGCCGATTCTGCAGTATGCTGCCACACCCGCTCCTACGCCTTCTAATGACTATGCGTGTAGTCGAGAGCAGCGCAGCCGCTTGGAGAGCCTCGTCCAAACAACACGTGATGGCGCAAGCCGCTGCTTGTCATTTGGAAACGCCACATTAATTAAAAAAGGCCAAACTTGCGCAGTCGGGGAATGCCTTTGCCGCGTGATCGGGGGCCGATGTCTGTGGTTTAGTGATAGTTGCGATTCATATTTTGATGAGTCAGTTTTGTCAGGTGGAAGTTTGGACAGCGGGAATTTGGTCTGCAGCAAAAAGCGCGTGGAGTCTCGGCCATAGACGACAAACTTTGCCAGTGGCGGTACTGGTGGTTTACTCCGACGTGTATACGCCCCTCGCTCAGCGCCTCCCAAGCTTCGGCATTGCACCTCTCGTTGCGCTGAAAGCTTTCGTTGCTCGCTGAATGCGTGCTGCACAAGGAAGCTCCCTGCTAGTAGCAGCTTGCTCATTCGCATGCTCCTACGATACTATGTCACTAGTTGCATGCAGTGCAGGCGAAGGCAACGCCAGGCAAACAGAGAGAGCGCGAGCACCAGGGAGGCAGGACGGCAGCAATGGAGGGAGAAAAAGAGAGCACTAGGAACGTTGGAGAGGAGTTTTCTCTCCTCCTCCCCAGCCTTCCCGGTGTTTGCCCTTTTTCCCCTCGCCCGGCGTTGCCTTCGCCTGTACTGCACGTAACTAGTGATGCGGAGTATAGCGGCGAACTTCCTGGCACCACACGCGCCAAGCAAGCAACGATAGCGGCAAAGGTTTTCACCACACTAAGAGGTGCAGTGATGAAGCTTGGGAAGCGCCGAGCGAGGGGCGTAGACACACCAGAGTAGGCCACACACCCTTGCGGCTAAGCTCACTTCTTGACGGTGCAGCCTGTACCGAGAGCCTGTTCGTATTTCATTTTTCCTCAATAGTAGGTTGTATTTTCAAAAATTGAATTTTTGAAACATTTTTCCGCATTATACCAACCTCGGTTTCTTTTGAAAGAATGACTAATTGGCCACATTTTGATGTTTCATATTGCTTCATATGCAAATTAGGCAGGAAAATAAAAGGGTTTGCACCGATATTTTGAAAATTGCTATTTTCCCTTGGTCACGGAAGAGATAAAAAGAAAAATTGTGCAACATGGGGGCATTCTAGACGGTCACTCCGGTAGCTAACCCAATTTTTATAATTGTTCTGTTTCAAGTAAATGGGTTAATGGTATAGGCTCTTGTGTTAAAAATGGATCAGCAAACAGATACTATTATCAGTCTTCTATGTCTATGTTTTATCTCAAACTGTGGATGCATTTGGAACAACATGCAAACTGAACAAACTTTAAAAAAAAAAATATGCCAACACCAACGTGCTCCTTGATCGTGCCATGGATGAGCGCTCCTTCCAACATCCATTAGTTCAGTAGTCGTGTGCCGTGAAGAAGCGTTCTCAACAACAGAGCTACATCCAATCTGCCGTGAAAGCTCCAAAAATATTCCCAGTTTTAAACGTCCACACATCTAATTTGGCCACCCTACTTGTTCAGTAACGCCAAGCATACCCTCGAAGCTGTCCGATGGCCCTGGAACCACTCAAGGTGATGAGAAAGAACTCGCAAGTGGCAATGCCAGAACAACCGTGGTTACGCTAGAAGCATGATTCTGAAACCCTGCAGGGGACATTGGGCTTGCCTCTCAAGTTGCTGGAGGGTTGCAGCCTAACCTCTTCCGTCTCTTCTCTATCACGCAGCCGGGTCTTGATCACGACGGACATCTGGGCCAGGGGCATCGACGTCCAGCAGGTGTCTCTGGTCATCAACTACGACCTTCCCAACAACCGAGAGTTGTACATCCACAGGTGAGGTCCTCGGTGGTGCATGACGGGTGCTTTGTGATGCATAGCGGCTGGCAGATGTCCCGTCCTTTGATTTCATCTGCTAGTTAAAACCGTGTCACTTAGGACCTACAGAGTTCAGGTAGCAAGTCTGAGGAAAAGATCCGGCATGTTCACACGCTTTCGGCCATTTTCAAATGGCAGCCCATAGAGGCAGAGATTGGGGGTCCCAATGGGTCCATGCATAGTTATAGTTTGGTCGTGCGCATGACTGAAAAGGAACACTTCTCCGTACTTCTGGGAGATTTGAATGTGCTCTTACCCTGAGTGTAAAAAGAAGAGGTCAGCATGACCTTGCTGAACCAGTCTCCCCCTAGCTCACTCCCGAACATTCTAGGTCAAATATTCGAGATGGCACGCGTAATAGATAAGAAGCACAGTGCGGCCTCGCCAACTTGCTCCGTTTCGCAGTTGCGCTCCAGCCAGCTGTTGCACCGACGCTGCTATGTTCGCTTTTTGTGGTTTCGACGCTCATTCTTTCTCTCGTTTCTGGCGCAAAATCGCCGGTTAAACCTTCATTTTCAGCTTGCGCTTGCCGAGCCTTTTTTATCCGCAACAATTTTAATAACCTAGAGGGAAAGGTCCTGCGCATTCCAGCCGCTTCGGAACTGGGAGGCATAGATGCAGCCATCGGTTGTCCCATTGGGTTGTCCCGATGGGCCCATATTGCTGGTGAAGCCTTAACATATTTAAGGCAGCAGCAAAGCATCAGCTGTGAGGCCTGTGCCAAGTTCTTTTCTAGCTTACTCTCCAGTAAAAGCACAGACATCATGCATAATATGAAGATAAATGAAGTTGACTAGCACTCGAAAAACTTCATCGCAGCAAAACGAACATGCCTCATACATCGTCTGCTTTCTTTCTCCACTGTGCTGTCGCTTTCTTTCTCGTTTTTTCTCTTGTAAATACTGATGTGATGTCAGTGCTTTCGATTTGCCATCTCTGATCCTGTCTTTACCCTCTAAATTCATGTTTCTTGCAAGTTTTTTATATATATTTTTTTTTACAGAAAGATGCTTGTAAGCTATTCTGCTTCAGAATTATCAAAATGGAAGTATGAAGGGCAAAAAGTTGTCACATTTCTTTCTTTCAGTTTTATTTTGGCTCGTCCATTTCCGTGGCAGTCCAGCGGTCTTAGACTCTGAACCAGAGGTACTTTATAGAGTTCTCCATTGACTGAGAAGCTCTCATTCTCTGAAATCAACTCTGATAAGCGTTAAAAGTTTGAATTGAGGGAGCCAGCGTTCTGATTGCCACTACCATGGGGGCAGCCGACTTGCAAAGTGACCATCTGAGCGTATCACATGCACGGAGCTCCTGATTTCAGAACTATAAATAGTCCCAGCAAAGTGAAACACCGTACGAGTACAACGTTTATAGTTTTGCCAAAGACATAACAGATAGCAACATCTCCCGCGTTGCGGGCGGTTCCGCATTTGTTGTTCTCACCAAAACTCGACAGACCAGCTTGTGCTACGCTTCTGGCCGCGAGAGGGCGACGAAAGAAGCCGTCTGACCGCTCTTCACCTCGCTGTCTTCTCGCGCAGAATCGGCCGTTCGGGACGTTTTGGACGCAAGGGCGTGGCCATCAACTTTGTGAAGAACGACGACATCCGCATCCTGCGTGACATTGAGCAGTACTACAGTACCCAGATCGACGAGATGCCCATGAACGGTGAGGGGGGCTGTTTTCTCACCCTTTTTCTTCCTTGCTCGTCCTATGCGGTCGTCCGCTTCACTTGTGGGGGATGCTACTGTCGCTGGCACTATGAGCTCAGATGGTCTTTCGTGCCTTTTTTTGGCGTGCCGGCCAGCTTTTGAGAAAGCCGTGGTTCAAACTATAGAGGTGTCATACTGCAACTTGAGACTATTTGACATATTGAGAAATAATAAAGCTTGGGGGGACCACAGACGGAGCAAAAGGTCAGATCGGGCTTTTCAGATTATGTTTTTTGCAGAAGTATGGGGTGTTCTCCTTTAATTTAAACAGATTTCACAAAAAAAAAAGTACAGGAATAGTCTTTACTGCATATGTATTTGGTTTGACGCGCATTAGATCAGAGGATAAGTATGACGACCAGTAGGCTATTTAACTCGAGTCCAGTAAAGAACATGCGCAAAGGAAAAATTTTTTTGTTAAAAACAGCCTAGGGTAGAAAAAAGGTGGTAAAAAACAAACTTGTAACAAAAAAAAAATGACCGCGTCTGCACGTGCTGAATGATGTTCATTGGGGTGAAGCTCTGGCGCTGCTTGCCTGCGTTGACGCTGAGCCGCAGCATGCCGAGCCCTTCGTTCGTTTTCATCCATGTCAGAAAGAGAATATGTGGTATGGAATATGGTTATATACGCATTTGAGCATTTGACCGCAGCGCCGTCTCGTCTATAAACGTTGAGCCAATGCATGCAAAGTTTAACACAGTTGTATACGCATTTGACCGCAGCGCCCTCTCCTGTTGAGCGGCTACATGCAACGTTTCATCCATGACATCCGCAGCTCTTGAGTTACTACCACGTCTCAGAGCCCCCTACTCGTCCCGCAGTCGTGGCCGAGTGGTTAAGGCGATGGACTAGAAAGCCATTGGGGTCTCCCAACACAAATTCGTGGCTCATGTCCTCGTGAGCTCACAATCACAGGCACGAGCACCATCAAGATCATTGTGAGCACGGACGCCGGACAGACAAGGCTAGACCGTAAGGAGCTTTGCCCTTAAAAAAAAAATATTAGGGCTATATTTACGACGCGAAACAAATTTGTACTATGGTCACGTTACTAGCCGCTATGGTCACGTGGTGCTCGCGCTCTTTTGGGAGCTTCTTAGGGGCGAAGCTCCTTAGGGTCTAGCCTTGTCCGGCGTCCGTGCTCACATCGATTGCCATCCCATCTGTCTTCTTAAAAAAAGAAAAAATGTTTGAGCAGTCGACAGGATTCAAACCTGCGTGGGGAAACCCCAATGGATTTCTAGTCCATCGCCTTAACCACTTTGCCACGACTGCAGGACGAGTAGGGGGCTCTGAGTGTGGTAGTAACTCAAGAGCTGGGATGTCATGGATGAAACATTGCATGTAGCCGCTCAACAGCTATACAGGAGGGGGCGCTGCGGTCAAATGCGTATATAATTGCGTTAAACTTCGCATGCATTGGCTCAACGTTTATAGATGAGAGGGCGATGCGGTCAAATGCTCAAACGCGTATATAACCACGTTCCATACCACACATTCTCTTTCTGACATGGACCGTTGGCTTAAGCGGTAGAGGTGGGTTCCCACGGCTTCTAGCGGATCCAAGCTGATCCTCTAGAAGAACCACTGACTCTGCATTTCACAGATCATAAAGCAGTAATAATGATTTCGAAACGCAACCCGGAACCCAGCACTACCTATGAGGAATTAAAAAGAAAAAAATCGGCGCCATTAGCATTACCTATGAACAATAAGATGAGTATCATCGGCACCACCAGAGCTTCGCCCCAATCAACATCTTTCACCACGTGGAGATGCGGTCATTTTTCGTCCCTAAAAGTTACTTATTAGTCTATGTCTTATGGGGAACAAAAAAATGAAGATTAATAAGTACCTTTTAGAGCCCAAAGGAAGTTCCCGAAGGAGTGCAAGCACTACCTGATAGACTGGTGCGTCAATCAGAAATTGACGGTGGCAGCGTGGAGAAACGCATTGAATAGGTGGCACGCCATGCTCAGCGTGCGGCAGAAGTTTGCTGGGTCCGGGGACTTGAGCGGCGGCACTGAACGGCTCCGGCTTGACTTGCGGCGGCGGTGGTGCACAGGTCTGCCACTTGACCAGTGGCAGCTCCTGCGGGAGCCAACTACAAAGCAGTTTAAATATAGCTCCAAAAATTTCTTTTTCTCATTGTAAATTTATTTTATGGCATCCTTTCCCTGTCCAGGCTGTTTAAAAAGATATTGTTTTTCCTTTGCGTATGTCCTTTAATTAACTTTCTAATAGTTGGTTTGATGAGTCACGTTTTAATTACAGTTTTAATGGCAGCCATTATCGGGCTCAACAACTTGTGAAAAGGCAAAGGGTTTCATATAAGGGGTTTCGTTTCGTTGATTATACGACGTCTAGACAAACTAGGGCAGTAGGTGGAACTAAAATGTCATTCTTGTCTGGCATATTAAATTTAACAGTCTTTGGCGATTCCTCTTGCGGCTTTTTGGTTTCCGAGTTGCCACCACCACTCTGAGAACATTTGAAGAACCATCACACGCCGTTCGATACCTTAGCTACGGTGTCTGGAACACATGTCCGGTTGGTGTGTTTGACGTCCGCCAACGCATCAAAAGTGTTCCTCAAAGGAGATGTGCAACAATTTCGAGGCTTTGCTTAAATTATTGTGGAAGTTGATGCCTGACACTTCTGAAGTGAACTACAGAAAACAGTTTTTGCCTGGATACCCTAGTTTTTATTTTTAAAAAAATGAAAAAGATCCAGGTTTTTGCCGCCTCTCAACTCGTGCGTCGTCTTCCGGGTCACGTGCGCGGTGACGTTTATGGGGTAGGCGGGGGGTTCTGGAAAAGTTCTCTCTTTAGAGCCATCAGTGAGCAGCGAGAACTCATCCGCTCGCTACCGCGTGACCACGTACTGGCGGGCGCCGCACGAACAATATGGTGAAAGGAGGAAAGTCTCATCCGGGTCTGGCCATACCCTGTCCCCCTCCCCCTCCAGCTTCTGGCGGCTCTGTTCGTGGTAGCAGAGAGAGCTGACGGTTTTGTGGACTTAGGATAGATGGCGCCACTAAAACTCCGTATAATACAAGTTTTGTCAATGATACCAGGTTTTTGACGCATTTATATATATGTTGGAACGACAAGATTTATAGAAAAGTTACCTTTTAACGAGCAAGTATGTTTCTCATGGCTGCCGCTTGCGGCTGCAGGTCGGGGAATATTCCAAGTTTTGCCTCACTATTACGCGGCGGAATTGCAACATTTCGATGAAAGGAGGCGTGTTTTCTGTCATTTGTGACAAGGCAAACAATATCAAAAGCAGAAGATGCCAATTCTTTAAACGTTAAAATCGTTGCTCAGCTCCTTTAAGTGGAAACGAATGACGTCACAAAAGCTTGGGTGTCATGCCGTCGCATGTTGAGATCGGCAGTGTGTCGTAGAAATGCTGGCGAAAAGCACGAGTGATTGTGAGTGCTTCAAGCACCGTGCTTGAGTTTAGAATTGTGATGGCTTTTGCCCACTTGTGGTGATGTGCCTCTTCTCTTTCTTTCAGTTGCTGACCTCATCTAGAAGCCTCCCCACCCTGGCTGAATCATTCATCCTCTGTACAGACTTAAAATAAATGGCTCATCTTGATTGGAATCTTTCTGTGGTCTTGCACCTCTGACAAAGGCACCCAAGCCAGATTTGTCTCGTTGGCAATGTCTGTTCTTAATATGGCTTTCCTTCATTGGTTAGGTGCCATACTCAAAAAGTACCCTTTTTCACAATATTTTTTCTTACGGTTAAGTTGGGACAACCGGAAACTTGTTTAGCTGCGCTTTGTTGGTCTCAACAAAGCGTACATAGACTTTCAATGCTTCAGTTCCCTGGCTAGGGCTTTGATTTCTGCGTGGTGTGCCGCGAGGCGTATTCCATCAAGTTGCTCGTAACCTACCGTAAAATCCGGCGTGAATGCCCTCGGAGATTGCTCGTCCCGTTTTTTGGCTGCGTATACCTGACCTAGCAATTCAAAAACGTCGCCCACCCGTATTCCTATCGGATATCTCGCTGAATGTCCGACGAGAATTTCATCAACCGCACTACCTCTGGCACCAATGCGTGCTACAAGCGAGTTCGTAGCAGGTTTCTGCGCGTATATCTCGCTGTGACATGCAAATCTACTGCATCCGCGATGGTATCTGTTCCCGTAACATGCAAGTTTATTACAGGTCCTTGAGATTTTGTCTGCAATCCTGAGACTGATATTGTTTCCCGTAGTACGTGAGATTGTAGCCGTTTCCTATGTGTTTATGATATCGTGGAGCATGAATACGTATTGTGTGTCCGCAATCTGCGGTATTGGTTCCCGAGACATGCGAGTCTGCAGCGTGTTCCGGTGTCTTTTGTTTGCAATCTGCACACGCGACATAGATTCGTGTGACACCCGAGTTTGTAGCTGGTTCTCGCGTGCTCGTCGCACTGTAAGGCGCGAATTCAGTGCGTCTGCAATCCACAGCATCCGTTTCCAAGACAGCGCAGTTTGTAGCGAATTCCTGCGTGATTTTTGCACCGTGCAACACTAAATTGCCGTGTCCGCAACCTGCAGAGTCCAGGTGCCGTTTAATTTTTTATACACTTTCTCTGCCTCAAGCCCGAAAAATGCCCACCCCATGTTTTACAGCGATAGCTGTTAAGGGCTCTTCCCTCCACTGGAAATGATGCCCATTGCAGTTGTGGATGTAGTTGCCATAGTAGGACGTAGGGCGTCCATCATCGATCTTGCCAATTCTACCAAGATCGCCCAGCTTCTGCGGGATCTGACTCTGAGTCCGCCGCGTGTCAAATAACTGCATTACTGCCGAGCTGCGCCACAGCTTTGACTGGGCGCCTCAATGTCCCGTTTAGGGTGATGGATTGTTTGTAGGACCCAGTGGCAACAACATGTGCTCTCTGGAAAAATACAAAGTAATAGCCAATAACAAAATGCCACTGTAAAACTGTCAATGCCAATAGCTCGTGTCGGAAGGCACTTTTTTACACGCTCGAGAACGATGAAAACGGAAGCATTAAAAAAAAAATGGTCGGATGTCATCGCCCTAAGCGAAGCGCACATGAAGGCACCCTAGCTTTGACAATCCTCTTCATATACGATCTTAGTGAACCAAAGATGCACATAGGGCTCCCGTGCAGAGCCCACTAGATGGCCACAGTTGCCGTAACGTTGCGAGAGAATCCTTCGTCATTCCCAATTCTGAATTTAATTGAAGTTAATTGTTAAAATTAAAAACTTTGGCCGGGTGGCACAAGCCGCTGCCCAAATGAAAGGGTTTGGTCGCATCCATCCGTCCAATACCGCCTAGTAGACGGGCCCGCGCATTACGTCCTCATCAATGGATTCCCGAGACGCCACGAGGGGAAAAGGCGTTGAAGCGTGACGGGTTAATGGCGCAAAGCGGCGGATGCTTTTGTCTTGGGGTCACACGTGTTGTGAGATGCTGAAAAATGCTGATGCGTCTCGCCATTGCCCAACGCGACGCCATTGCCCAACGACTTCGCCGTGATGTGTCGCAGCTATTGCTGCGACTACTCTGGATAAATGTGGGACTGCTCATTTTTTCATCATCTATATTTTCAATTTGGGCTGGTCGTTCTTACGGGATTTTTTGGAGACGGTTGTCCACCAAAAGATTCCCCGGTTCTCTTTATAACCTATCGGGAGTGTGCGAGCCTGCCATCCGCACTGCCGTGGGCAACGTTGGTTGCGCGCTTTGATGCGCTTGGCGTGCGTACGGAATCGTGCGGAAGTGCATTTCTGCCTGCCATTCTTGGCATATGTCACATGGCATTTTTGCAGTTTGGCTTCTTGTGTTTCTTTTATTAGATGTTTGTTTACTTTAAGGCGAAAGCCTTTTATGTTTTGTCGTTCAGTCGATCTTCAAAGTCCTTGAGTGGAAACACGTCGGTGACACGAAAGGTACCAAAACCCATGGTTTGCCACTAGACCACGAGATGACGTTACTTGTGCCAGAATTGGCAGAGGCACGTGCATGGTGCAAACCCAGTGGGAGAGGAGGACGCTCCCCCTCGGGCAGCGGTGAAGAATGGGCGCGCGACATGCCATGAGATCGACACCAAATGTGCATTGTCAGAGAGCGTGCTGTTTTTGGAGGTTCATTATCACCGGTAAAATGGACAATTGGGCGAGTTGGTAAGAGTTCATAATTACTTACAGCGCGACTGGGACAAGGACAGACAAAGGAGAAACACAGGACAAGCACTGAACTAGCAACTGATTCTATTGAAAAGAAAAGACGTGATGCTGCTGCTGCTCGTGCAGGCATGCCCCTCCGGGGCCCTGGCGCTTCTTTCACTCAATGCGAAACCGGCCAAGTTATCCGAGATCCAAAAAGCCGATTTCGCTCTTTATCAAAGTCACTGTGGGCTGGCCCACACACAAGGATCCGGTTTTTGTTATGTGGTACGTCTCCATCATTTCTCGGGGTAGTTTGTGGTTGTGTCGGAACATCACTGTAGTCTTGTTGAACAGGGGTTGGCATCCGCAATCCCGGCAATGCATCGCGAGATGCGTGTGAGCGGTTCCTTTCATAGAACTGTGGTGTTCTCGTAGTCTTGTGTTGAGGCAACGCCCAGTCTGTCCTATGTAGGCACGCCCGCAGGAAAACGGAATCTTGTAGACCACGCCTTCTATGCAGGCGACAAACTGCATTCCGTGTTTGATGCTGCAGCCGCTGTGAGACTTAGGATCGTTATTTCTCGCGCGTTTGTTGACTGCGGAGCACACAGAGCTGAGCTTGTGGCGGGCGGAAAAAACAACATTTACGTTGTATCTTGAGGCAACTTTCTTGAGTCCGTGAAAAAGGCGGTGGATGTACGGTATGACTGAGGTTTTCTTTTTCTCTCTGCTCGAGGTCACGTTGCTCGATCGCGGGATCTGTTTTAAGGTGTTTCACGATTTTTTCGCAAGCTGAAGAAATGACCGAATTAGGATATCCCGAATCCTTGAGCCGTTGAATTTGGGACATGAAGCTGGAATTCAAATTGTGGATGCATGTGCTTGTTAGAGCAGTCCTCAGACAGGAAAATGCGATGCCTTGTTTGACGAGTTTGGAGTGGGCTGATTGAAAGTTAAGAAGAGCCTTCGCTGTTCTGGGACTGCAATACCAGCAAACATGATCGTTATCACCGGTGTTGGCATTTAAGCTTTCGCCTTCGTCTTGAGATAACATAAGAGACCCTGTAATTTTTTTTGCTACCCTTTGGTGTCGCCGAGAAATTTCCGAGGAGAAGGGCCGGCGAGAGAGTGGGCGTGAGCAGCTCCTCCGCTTGGGAGGAACGTGCCTCTTTTTCCGGGGCGGAACTTGGACCTCGTCAAACGGGGACCGGAAAGGTCTTCTGACGGTAGATCGGGGAGATGTCCCTCGTGTGGATCGGGGGTGTGTGTCGTCCGCGGGCCAATGGGAATAAATATAAGTCATTCCCTCTAGTTGTTGTCGTTGCCTCGCCGTCGGAGTTTCCGGCTGCGATTGAGGAGAGGATTTTCAACACCTTCCCCACTTTCCACCCCACTGAGAATGCTACTGTCACAGTGTGTGTTCTAACCTTTATGACCATATGCTCGACTAAGCGAACCTGCGTGAGGACTGAATTCCAAAGACACCCTCGAGAACCTTTGTAGTGGCAGTCAACGGGAGGACATGCTTGCACGGGGTGTCGGCAGACTGAGCGTGCAACTGGACAATGTTCCAAAGGTAGAGTAAATCGGAATGGCAGATTACCTCGTGCATGAAGCAAGCTTACAATCATTTGTTAGCTCTTTACACTGACAGCCGTTCTTGTTATCGATTATAAAATCAAAACGACATGCATTATGCGTCGATTGAATGCACACGGCGTAGAGGGTGCAACCTATTTTACCATCTAACCGTTCATAAATATTAAATTCATGTATGTGTTGTGTCTCCATAAGCATAAAGAAAAAATGAAAGCCCCGGAATATAAAGACCCTTTAAAGTTCTCAGTTTTCAGATGTGCATGCTGCCAAATCTTGATGTCGTTCCTCCCTTCCATGACCAATTTGTGAGTTATTCATGTAAAAGGCTATAGCAAGGAGAATAATGCACGGTCATCTGTCTGAAGCTGGTCTCTTGGGAACATAGAATCAAACCGCTTGCTTCCCGTCCGTCAATGTCAAGTGGCGACTTCAAAGGCGCGACGATCGGCCAATTTTTTTATTTTTCCTTCTTGCCGACCAGCATGTTGTGTGGTACTCATGACCGCAGAGCTTTAAGAGTTGTCTTTTTCAGATGCAAGAGTGTAACGCAAATGTCTTGGGGCAGCACCGAACAATGCCATCGCTGCGAGAACCAAACACTGGTGAGTATAATAATGTTGCTTTGAAAAACCTGCTTCTAAATATTGCTTCATCATTCATTTAGGAACAAGCATCAGAAACAATCATCTGTGCTTCTGGATCATTCATTAAAGTCCGACCTACCGAATCGTCTTCTACCGGGCAAAAAACCGGTTCCCAGTTTCCTTCTCTCCATTCCCGCTCACCCACTTTTCTCCTCATCTCCACACAGGAGCGGATCTCTGAACCAAATCTGAACTACTCCCGGTAGGGAGGAGGAGGGTCTCCCTCTTTCTCAAATGGAAGGGAGGAATTGAGGGAGAGTTTCCTTCTTTCTGCTTGTTGGTCGGCCTTTAAGGTGAGTGGCCTTACTCAATTCCTTAGTGCTAAGCCATATTAATGCTCCTGTGAGGACAAACCTTCAATGGACAACAATGTGACTGACGTATACGCTATTCTAAGAACCTAAATTGCACGTGATGCTTTGCTTGGCCGTCAGGCAGTTTTCTAAGTTAGCTTCTTTATTCCTTCAGGAAGAAGTCTCAGAAACCATTGTCTCTTCAGGAGCAACATCCCTTCTTTAAGGTGAGTGGTTTTGCCTAGTTTCCTAGAGCTTAGCCCCTTTAATGCTCCTGTGAGGACAAACCTTCAAAGGACAACAATGTGACTGACTTATACGCTATTCTGAGAACCTAAATTGCACGTGATGCTTTGCTTGGCCGTCAGGCAGTTTTCTAAGTTAGCTTCTTTATTCCTTCAGGAAGGAGCATCAGAAACCATTGTCTCTTCAAGAGCAACATTCCTTCTTTAAGGTGAGTGGTTTTGCCTAGTTTCCTAGAGCTTAGCCCCTTTAATGCTCCCGTGAGGACAAATCTTCAAAGGACAACAATGTGACTGACTTATACGCTATTCTGAGAACCTAAATTCCACGTGATGCTTTGCTTGGCCGTCAGGCAGTTTTCTAAGTTAGCTTCTTTATTCCTTCAGGAAGAAGCATCAGAAACCATTGTCTCTTCAAGAGCAACATTCCTTCTTTAAGGTGAGTGGTTTTGACTAGTTTCCTAGAGCTTAGCCCCTTTAATGCTCCTGTGAGGGCAAACCTTCAAAGGACAACAATGTGACTGACTTATACGCTATTCTGAGAACCTAAATTGCACATGATGCTTTGCTTGGCCGTCAAGCAGTTTTCTAAGTTAGCTTCTTTATTCCTTCAGGAAGAAGTCTCAGAAACCATTGTCTCTTCAAGAGCAACATTCCTTCTTTAAGGTGAGTGGTTTTGCCTAGTTTCCTAGAGCTTAGCCCTTTTAATGCTCCTGTGAGGACAAACCTTCAAAGGACAACAATGTGACTGACTTATACGCTATTCTGAGAACCTAAATTGCACGTGATGCTTTGCTTGGCCGTCAGGCAGTTTTCTGAGTTAGCTTCTTTATTCTTTCAGGAAGAAGCATCAGAAACCATCGTCTCTTCAAGAGCAACATTCCTTCTTTAAGGTGAGTGGTTTTGCCTAGTTTCCTTGAGCTCTTAGCCCCTTTAATGCTCCTGTGAGGACAAACCTTCAAAGGACAACAATGTGACTGACTTATACGCTATTCTGAGAACCTAAATTGCACGTGACGCTTTGCTTGGCCGTCAAGCAGTTTTCTAAGTTAGCTTCTTTATTCCTTCAGGAAGAAGTCTCAGAAACCATTGTCTCTTCAAGAGCAACATTCCTTCTTTAAGGTGAGTGGTTTTGCCTAGTTTCCTAGAGCTTAGCCCTTTTAATGCTCCTGTGAGGACAAACCTTCAAAGGACAACAATGTGACTGACTTATACGCTATTCTGAGAACCTAAATTGCACGTGATGCTTTGCTTGGCCGTCAGGCAGTTTTCTGAGTTAGCTTCTTTATTCTTTCAGGAAGAAGCATCAGAAACCATCGTCTCTTCAAGAGCAACATTCCTTCTTTAAGGTGAGTGGTTTTGCCTAGTTTACTTGAGCTTAGCCCCTTTAATGCTCCTGTGAGGACAAACCTTCAAAGGACAACAATGTGACTGACTTATACGCTATTCTGAGAACCTAAATTGCACATGATGCTTTGCTTGGCCGTCAAGCAGTTTTCTAAGTTAGCTTCTTTATTCCTTCAGGAAGAAGCATCAGAAACCATTGTCTCTTCAAGAGCAACATTCCTTCTTTAAGGTGAGTGGTTTTGCATGCCTAGTTTCCTAGAGCTTAGCCCCTTTAATGCTCCCGTGAGGACAAATCTTCAAAGGACAACAATGTGACTGACTTATACGCTATTCTGAGAACCTAAATTCCACGTGATGCTTTGCTTGGCCGTCAGGCAGTTTTCTAAGTTAGCTTCTTTATTCCTTCAGGAAGAAGCATCAGAAACCATTGTCTCTTCAAGAGCAACATTCCTTCTTTAAGGTGAGTGGTTTTGACTAGTTTCCTAGAGCTTAGCCCCTTTAATGCTCCTGTGAGGGCAAACCTTCAAAGGACAACAATGTGACTGACTTATACGCTATTCTGAGAACCTAAATTCCACGTGATGCTTTGCTTGGCCGTCAGGCAGTTTTCTAAGTTAGCTTCTTTATTCCTTCAGGAAGAAGCATCAGAAACCATTGTCTCTTCAAGAGCAACATTCCTTCTTTAAGGTGAGTGGTTTTGACTAGTTTCCTAGAGCTTAGCCCCTTTAATGCTCCTGTGAGGGCAAACCTTCAAAGGACAACAATGTGACTGACTTATACGCTATTCTGAGAACCTAAATTCCACGTGATGCTTTGCTTGGCCGTCAGGCAGTTTTCTAAGTTAGCTTCTTTATTCCTTCAGGAAGAAGCATCAGAAACCATTGTCTCTTCAAGAGCAACATTCCTTCTTTAAGGTGAGTGGTTTTGACTAGTTTCCTAGAGCTTAGCCCCTTTAATGCTCCTGTGAGGGCAAACCTTCAAAGGACAACAATGTGACTGACTTATACGCTATTCTGAGAACCTAAATTGCACATGATGCTTTGCTTGGCCGTCAAGCAGTTTTCTAAGTTAGCTTCTTTATTCCTTCAGGAAGAAGCATCAGAAACCATTGTCTCTTCAAGAGCAACATTCCTTCTTTAAGGTGAGTGGTTTTGCATGCCTAGTTTCCTAGAGCTTAGCCCCTTTAATGCTCCCGTGAGGACAAATCTTCAAAGGACAACAATGTGACTGACTTATACGCTATTCTGAGAACCTAAATTGCACATGATGCTTTGCTTGGCCGTCAAGCAGTTTTCTAAGTTAGCTTCTTTATTCCTTCAGGAAGAAGCATCAGAAACCATTGTCTCTTCAAGAGCAACATTCCTTCTTTAAGGTGAGTGGTTTTGCATGCCTAGTTTCCTAGAGCTTAGCCCCTTTAATGCTCCCGTGAGGACAAATCTTCAAAGGACAACAATGTGACTGACTTATACGCTATTCTGAGAACCTAAATTCCACGTGATGCTTTGCTTGGCCGTCAGGCAGTTTTCTAAGTCAGCTTCTTTATTCCTTCAGGAAGAAGCATCAGAAACCATTGTCTCTTCAAGAGCAACATTCCTTCTTTAAGGTGAGTGGTTTTGACTAGTTTCCTAGAGCTTAGCCCCTTTAATGCTCCTGTGAGGGCAAACCTTCAAAGGACAACAATGTGACTGACTTATACGCTATTCTGAGAACCTAAATTGCACATGATGCTTTGCTTGGCCGTCAAGCAGTTTTCTAAGTTAGCTTCTTTATTCCTTCAGGAAGAAGTCTCAGAAACCATTGTCTCTTCAAGAGCAACATTCCTTCTTTAAGGTGAGTGGTTTTGCCTAGTTTCCTAGAGCTTAGCCCTTTTAATGCTCCTGTGAGGACAAACCTTCAAAGGACAACAATGTGACTGACTTATACGCTATTCTGAGAACCTAAATTCCACGTGATGCTTTGCTTGGCCGTCAGGCAGTTTTCTGAGTTAGCTTCTTTATTCTTTCAGGAAGAAGCATCAGAAACCATCGTCTCTTCAAGAGCAACATTCCTTCTTTAAGGTGAGTGGTTTTGCCTAGTTTCCTTGAGCTTAGCCGCTTTAATGCTCCTGTGAGGACAAACCTTCAAAGGACAACAATGTGACTGACTTATACGCTATTCTGAGAACCTAAATTGCACATGATGCTTTGCTTGGCCGTCAAGCAGTTTTCTAAGTTAGCTTCTTTATTCCTTCAGGAAGAAGTCTCAGAAACCATTGTCTCTTCAAGAGCAACATTCCTTCTTTAAGGTGAGTGGTTTTGCCTAGTTTCCTTGAGCTTAGCCCCTTTAATGCTCCTGTGAGGACAAATCTTCAAAGGACAACAATGTGACTGACTTATACGCTATTCTGAGAACCTAAATTGCACATGATGCTTTGCTTGGCCGTCAAGCAGTTTTCTAAGTTAGCTTCTTTATTCCTTCAGGAAGAAGTCTCAGAAACCATTGTCTCTTCAAGAGCAACATTCCTTCTTTAAGGTGAGTGGTTTTGCCTAGTTTCCTAGAGCTTAGCCCTTTTAATGCTCCTGTGAGGACAAACCTTCAAAGGACAACAATGTGACTGACTTATACGCTATTCTGAGAACCTAAATTCCACGTGATGCTTTGCTTGGCCGTCAGGCAGTTTTCTGAGTTAGCTTCTTTATTCTTTCAGGAAGAAGCATCAGAAACCATCGTCTCTTCAAGAGCAACATTCCTTCTTTAAGGTGAGTGGTTTTGCCTAGTTTCCTTGAGCTTAGCCCCTTTAATGCTCCTGTGAGGACAAACCTTCAAAGGACAACAATGTGACTGACTTATACGCTATTCTGAGAACCTAAATTGCACATGATGCTTTGCTTGGCCGTCAAGCAGTTTTCTAAGTTAGCTTCTTTATTCCTTCAGGAAGAAGTCTCAGAAACCATTGTCTCTTCAAGAGCAACATTCCTTCTTTAAGGTGAGTGGTTTTGCCTAGTTTCCTTGAGCTTAGCCCCTTTAATGCTCCTGTGAGGACAAACCTTCAAAGGACAACAATGTGACTGACTTATACGCTATTCTGAGAACCTAAATTGCACATGATGCTTTGCTTGGCCGTCAAGCAGTTTTCTAAGTTAGCTTCTTTATTCCTTCAGGAAGAAGTCTCAGAAACCATTGTCTCTTCAAGAGCAACATTCCTTCTTTAAGGTGAGTGGTTTTGCCTAGTTTCCTAGAGCTTAGCCCTTTTAATGCTCCCGTGAGGACAAATCTTCAAAGGACAACAATGTGACTGACTTATACGCTATTCTGAGAACCTAAATTCCACGTGATGCTTTGCTTGGCCGTCAGGCAGTTTTTTAAGTCAGCTTCTTTATTCCTTCAGGAAGAAGCATCAGAAACCATTGTCTCTTCAAGAGCAACATTCCTTCTTTAAGGTGAGTGGTTTTGACTAGTTTCCTAGAGCTTAGCCCCTTTAATGCTCCTGTGAGGGCAAACCTTCAAAGGACAACAATGTGACTGACTTATACGCTATTCTGAGAACCTAAATTGCACATGATGCTTTGCTTGGCCGTCAAGCAGTTTTCTAAGTTAGCTTCTTTATTCCTTCAGGAAGAAGTCTCAGAAACCATTGTCTCTTCAAGAGCAACATTCCTTCTTTAAGGTGAGTGGTTTTGCCTAGTTTCCTAGAGCTTAGCCCTTTTAATGCTCCTGTGAGGACAAACCTTCAAAGGACAACAATGTGACTGACTTATACGCTATTCTGAGAACCTAAATTGCACATGATGCTTTGCTTGGCCGTCAAGCAGTTTTCTAAGTTAGCTTCTTTATTCCTTCAGGAAGAAGTCTCAGAAACCATTGTCTCTTCAAGAGCAACATTCCTTCTTTAAGGTGAGTGGTTTTGCCTAGTTTCCTTGAGCTTAGCCCCTTTAATGCTCCTGTGAGGACAAACCTTCAAAGGACAACAATGTGACTGACTTATACGCTATTCTGAGAACCTAAGTTGCACATGATGCTTTGCTTGGCCGTCAGGCAGTTTTCTAAGTTAGCTTCTTTATTCCTTCAGGAAGAAGTCTCAGAAACCATTTTCTCTTCAAGAGCAACATTCCTTCTTTAAGGTGAGTGGTTTTGCCTAGTTTCCTTGAGCTTAGCCCCTTTAATGCTCCTGTGAGGGCAAACCTTCAAAGGACAACAATGTGACTGACTTATACGCTATTCTGAGAACCTAAATTGCACATGATGCTTTGCTTGGCCGTCAAGCAGTTTTCTAAGTTAGCTTCTTTATTCCTTCAGGAAGAAGTCTCAGAAACCATTGTCTCTTCAAGAGCAACATTCCTTCTTTAAGGTGAGTGGTTTTGACTAGTTTCCTAGAGCTTAGCCCCTTTAATGCTCCTGTGAGGGCAAACTTTCAAAGGACAACAATGTGACTGACTTATACGCTATTCTGAGAACCTAAATTGCACATGATGCTTTGCTTGGCCGTCAAGCAGTTTTCTAAGTTAGCTTCTTTATTCCTTCAGGAAGAAGTCTCAGAAACCATTGTCTCTTCAAGAGCAACATTCCTTCTTTAAGGTGAGTGGTTTTGCCTAGTTTCCTAGAGCTTAGCCTTTTTAATGCTCCTGTGAGGACAAACCTTCAAAGGACAACAATGTGACTGACTTATACGCTATTCTGAGAACCTAAATTGCACGTGATGCTTTGCTTGGCCGTCAGGCAGTTTTCTGAGTTAGCTTCTTTATTCTTTCAGGAAGAAGCATCAGAAACCATCGTCTCTTCAAGAGCAACATTCCTTCTTTAAGGTGAGTGGTTTTGCCTAGTTTCCTTGAGCTTAGCCCCTTTAATGCTCCTGTGAGGACAAACCTTCAAAGGACAACAATGTGACTGACTTATACGCTATTCTGAGAACCTAAATTGCATGTGACGCTTTGCTTGGCCGTCAAGCAGTTTTCTAAGTTAGCTTCTTTATTCCTTCAGGAAGAAGCATCAGAAACCATTGTCTCTTCAAGAGCAACATTCCTTCTTTAAGGTGAGTGGTTTTGCCTAGTTTCCTTGAGCTTAGCCCCTTTAATGCTCCTGTGAGGACAAACCTTCAAAGGACGACAATGTGACTGACTTATACGCTATTCTGAGAACCTAAATTGCACGTGATGCTTTGCTTGGCCGTCAGGCAGTTCTTTGCTTGGCCGTCAGGCAGTTTTCTGAGTTAGCTTCTTTATTCTTTCAGGAAGAAGCATCAGAAACCATCGTCTCTTCAAGAGCAACATTCCTTCTTTAAGGTGAGTGGTTTTGCCTAGTTTCCTTGAGCTTAGCCCCTTTAATGCTCCTGTGAGGACAAACCTTCAAAGGACAACAATGTGACTGACTTATACGCTATTCTGAGAACCTAAATTGCACGTGACGCTTTGCTTGGCCGTCAAGCAGTTTTCTAAGTTAGCTTCTTTATTCCTTCAGGAAGAAGCATCAGAAACCATTGTCTCTTCAAGAGCAACATTCCTTCTTTAAGGTGAGTGGTTTTGCATGCCTAGTTTCCTAGAGCTTAGCCCCTTTATTGCTCCTGTGAGGACAAACCTTCAAAGGACAACAATGTGACTGACTTATACGCTTTTCTAAGAACCTAAATTGCACGTGATGCTTTGCTTGGCCGTCAGGCAGTTTTCTAAGTTAGCTTCTTTATTCCTTCAGGAAGAAGCATCAGAAACCATTGTTTCTTCAAGAGCAACATTCCTTCTTTAAGGTGAGTGGTTTTGCCTAGTTTCCTAGAGCTTAGCCCCTTTAATGCTCCTGTGAGGACAAACCTTCAAAGGACGACAATGTGACTGACTTATACGCTATTCTGAGAACCTAAATTCCACGTGATGCTTTGCTTGGCGGTCGGGCAGTTTTCTAAGTTAGCTTCTTTATTCCTTCAGGAAGAAGCATCAGAAACCATTGTTTCTTCAAGAGCAACATTCCTTCTTTAAGGTGAGTGGTTTTGCCTAGTTTCCTAAAGCTTAGCCCCTTTAATGCTCCTGTGAGGACAAACCTTCAAAGGACGACAATGTGACTGACTTATACGCTATTCTGAGAACCTAAATTCCACTTGATGCTTTGCTTGGCCGTCAGGCAGTTTTCTAAGTTAGCTTCTTTATTCCTTCAGGAAGAAGCATCAGAAACCATTGTTTCTTCAAGAGCAACATTCCTTCTTTAAGGTGAGTGGTTTTGCCTAGTTTCCTAGAGCTTAGCCCCTCTAATGCTCCTGTGAGGACAAACCTTCAAAGGACAACAATGTGACTGACTTATACGCTATTCTAAGAACCTAAATTGCACGTGATGCTTTGCTTGGCCGTCAGGCAGTTTTCTAAGTTAGCTTCTTTATTCCTTCAGGAAGAAGCATCAGAAAGCATTGTTTCTTCAAGAGCAACAATCCTTCTTTAAGGTGAGTGGTTTTGCCTAGTTTCCTAGAGCTTAGCCCCTTTAATGCTCCTGTGAGGACAAACCGTCAAAGGACGACAATGTGACTGACTTATACGCTATTCTGAGAACCTAAATTCCACGTGATGCTTTGCTTGGCGGTCGGGCAGTTTTCTAAGTTAGCTTCTTTATTCCTTCAGGAAGAAGCATCAGAAACCATTGTTTCTTCAAGAGCAACATTCCTTCTTTAAGGTGAGTGGTTTTGCCTAGTTTCCTAGAGCTTAGCCCCTTTAATGCTCCTGTGAGGACAAACCTTCAAAGGACAACAATGTGACTGACTTATACGCTATTCTAAGAACCTAAATTGCACGTGATGCTTTGCTTGGCCGTCAGGCAGTTTTCTAAGTTAGCTTCTTTATTCCTTCAGGAAGAAGCATCAGAAACCATTGTTTCTTCAAGAGCAACATTCCTTCTTTAAGGTGAGTGGTTTTGCCTAGTTTCCTAGAGCTTAGCCCCTTTAATGCTCCTGTGAGGACAAACCTTCAAAGGACAACAATGTGACTGACTTATACGCTATTCTGAGAACCTAAATTCCACGTGATGCTTTGCTTGGCGGTCGGGCAGTTTTCTAAGTTGGCTCTTGTTAATGTCTTTGGCTCCGGTGATTGTCACTTGGCTCCGGTGATCGGTGTGCTGGTGTTCGGAAG